ACGAAGCAGACGAAGCAGACAGAGCAGAGCAGAGACAGAGCCTGTCGTCGACGTAGCCGCCGTCTATACCACCGTCAATTGCTTCCTGAGGCCTCTGCCCGCTGCGGGACATCCTCATCCCCATCCCTATCCTCGTCCGTCACCGCAACAACGACGAAGCTCTCCCACGCCCGCATAAAAAAGAAACACCACCCCCAGCTAATCTCCTCGAGTAATAATAATAACGGTCGACTCGTCTGTCTCTCGTGGCTGGAACGAAAGAAGCAGCAGCAGAAGCAGCAGAAGTGAACTAGTCCCTGCTAACGCGCCACCAAAGCTGGTTTTTTGATATCTCGAAGAAGCCAAAAGACGAACCTCCTGGACTCTCTCATCTCCTTCATCTACTCTTACACCCATCAGCTTGTTTGCCTGGACTCAAAGCAAGAAAAGGTCTTTTCACTTACCTTTGTCTCTCCTTCTTCCCTTGCTTCTCCCTGACTGACTCTCTGCTTAAATAGCTGCTCTTCACCTCTTCATCCGCTTGTTCCTCTTCACCCACCGCGTCTTCTCACAGATCAACAACAAGACCTGCAGCTCAGCATAACAGAAGATGGCTTCTGGTCCAGCTACTCAGTCGCTGAAAGTTGGTCTCTCTTTATATCTTTGTCTTTATATCTATGTGTTGAAAAGAAGAAGCGTTGCTAACTGTTTTGCAGTGCGTCGTTACTGGTGACGGAGCCGTGGGCAAGGTGCGTCTCTCTCTTATTATTCTATGCAACTTCCTCCTCCACTTCTTCTTCTGCTACTGCTACTTCTACTTCTACAGCTTCATCTTCTTCATGCTAACATCTTCTAGACATGTCTGCTCATCTCCTACACTACCAATGCGTTCCCGGGAGAGTACATCCCCACCGTGTATGTCCAAGACCACCGCGTACCAGCACCAGCACCTTTACTCACACTGCTTCTACAGGTTCGACAACTACTCGGCCAGCGTCATGGTGGACGGGAAGCCCATCAGTCTCGGGCTCTGGGATACCGCCGGTCAGGAAGACTACGACAGACTGCGTCCGCTTTCCTACCCGCAGACCGACGTGTTCCTGATATGCTTCTCCATCGTCAGCCCGCCGTCTTTCGACAACGTCAAGGCAAAGGTACACCCCCTTTTTTTTTCGCGCGTGAGCCGGTGATAGACACTACGATAAGCAAGAGACGACTTATTAATAATATGGCGTGTTGCAGTGGTATCCTGAGATCGAACATCACGCGCCAAACGTACCCATCATCCTCGTTGGCACCAAGCTCGACCTCAGAGAGGACAGGGCCACCGCAGACGCTCTCCGGGCCAAGAAGATGGAGCCAGTCTCCTACGAACAGGCTCTCGCAGTCGCAAAGGAGATCAAGGCCCAGAAGTACCTCGAGTGCTCCGCTCTCACCCAGCGCAACCTCAAGAGCGTCTTTGACGAAGCTATCCGGTTGGTCTTGTCCCAGTTACTCTCTACTACAACTACAGTATTAACAAGCTTGTTTCTACAGGGCCGTATTGAACCCCCGTCCCACTCAGAAACCAAAGAGAAAGTGCCAGATACTCTAGATGCGATGTCGAGACGCAACTCTCCAGATGACTACACGTTCCAGCGATCAATCAACGACCTTGAAGAGCAGAAGATAACATAGATCTCCTTTCCTCTACCACCTCCCAACCCGCCCGCAGCCTACAGCTCACAGCCACAGGCCTGACGACTACCACTATCAACCACCGCACAAACACACCCGATCCCCGACAGATGCGAAACCTGCAATAACCTTCTCAAGCCCTGTTCTTTCTACACTGTTTGTTTCCGCTTTTACCGATTTTAATGACGAGCGTTTCTCATGTTTTCCCACCACCTTCCTGCATTTGGGACGGAGCAACTGCTCGTACTGCAAGGTTATCTCTTCATCTTCTTCCATCTTTCTCCTTTTTCTCTTTCTCTTTCAACTTTCTTCACACTTCACGAAGTAAATAAATATCCATCCATTCCAGATACCACGAATCCAAATCTCCCTTCACCCCCCCTATCTGTTTACTTATGATGACACCCCCTTAACTATCATCCTCGTCGGTGGAGAATATCTGTTACACCTTTTAACTCCATACATCTGTCTCCCGAGCTCGACATCCCTGCTCAAACTTCAGCTTCTCTCTCCCGGCTTTTAGTCCTCTGTCATGTTAATTGTGCCCTGGTTTCAATTCTATCTTATCTCTTCTTCCTCTTCTTCATCTTCTCTCCCCCCGGATCGGATCTTAATACCCTTTCCTTGTCTCTCTTCACCACCAAAGCTTCAGCCTGTTTCTAGTGCTCCTACATAATCAACTTCTTACCTGTTTTACGTATGCGCCTCTCTTTGCTTCTTCCTCGTTTTTCTTTTCTTTTTAACGTTTCCCTGGGCTGGACGGAAAGTGGCTGTGGTGTCACTCACGGCCTGTTCAGTCTCTCTTCCATGCTCCAGGCACAGGTAACACGCCGCGTACGCAAGTACAATCTCGAGCCTGTTGCAACTTAGCATTCATAATCTATAGAAAACGATGCTATACGCTTTGACACGACTGAAGGAATGCAGCTATTCTCTCTCTCTCTCTCTCTCTTGTTTTTCCAAAAGCCAGCACTTTATCAATATAATAATACACGCCCTCTAAACGCCAGTCCCAGTCCAAAAACATAATCCAACGCTTTTTCTCTTGAAGGAAATCAATTATGTTTGCGTATATAATTATACCGGGACCCACGCCCTTCGGCTAGGATGGATATGCGACTGATCGTCAGCCGCCGATGCACTGGCTCCATTATTGGTCGTGGCAGACGCCGTCTTGGCTCGTTTGGCCTCCTGCGCATCTCGGGCTCGCTCCTCGTTCAGCTTCTGGTTCTTCTCGAGGATCTTCATCTTCCTCGCTTCAGACTTCGAGCCTCCTCCCCCGGCGCTGCAAAGAGTCAGTCAAAATACTACAAAGGATAGGTCTGCGGGTAGCGATAGGGCAGGGACTCACGTTAGTTCGACCTTGATCTTACGGGCTGGTTTGTTCCCGTCTTCAAACATGGTGCCGTGGTATTGCTTTAGACAGGTCTTCATGCGGTCGAAGCCGGAGAATTCAATAAAGGCGAATCCCCTGCCTTTCTTCCCGCCTCTCTCCAGCGGCACGCGGACGGAGCTTGGCTGCAGCTTTTCAAAGTGTTTCGTCACGGACTCTTGCGTCGCGGTGTACGGTAGGTTGCCTGTAGATGAGACGTTAGTTACTGCCATCATCATATAATCTTCAAACTAGAAGATAGCATTGAAAAGACAGTAAACATACTTATGAAGACGATGAATCTCTGGCTCTTCTGGGCTTCGTCCATCTCGACGTCTCCAACGGCGCCGTCAGTAGTAGTCTCTTCTGCGCCGTTCTCAGCGGGTGTCTCTGTCTCGGCTGCGGCAGCTCGTGTTGATTCTTCAGCCTCTGCGCCATTGCCATTGACACCGTTCTCCTCTTTCTCTTCCTCCTTCTGCTTCTTTTCCTTCTTCTCTTTCTTCTTCTCTTTCTTTGCTTTCTTCTCCTTCTTATCAGTCTTTTCCTCTTCCTCTTCCTCGCTCTTCGCTTTCTTCTCCTTTTTGGCCTTCTTATCCTTGTCCTCTCTCTTCACTTTCTTGCTCTTCTCTGCCTTCTCAACTCCGTTCGTCTGCCCGTCCACCTCCATCTTGTCCTCGTCCGCAGAACCGTCCACGTCATTAGCATTCACCGTCTCCTCCGCTTCTTCTTCAGCTTTTCGTTTCTTTTCCTTCTTTTCCTTCTTCTCTTTCTTTTCCTTCTTCTCTTCCTTCTCCTCCTTCTTGTCCTTCTTCTCCTTCTTCTCTTTCTTCTCCTTTTTCTCCTTCTTCACTTTCTCCTTATCGCCACTCTTCACCTTCTTAGATGACTTCGAAATATCAACCACAGCTTCATCGTGCTCGTCGGCAGCAGCTTCGTCGCGTTTTCGCTTATCGCCCATGATCGCAGCTATATTTTGACTTCCGTTCGGCGCGGGGTATAATGATTCCAGCCAACAATTAGATCGCCAGTCCTTAAGGATTGTGTTCAATTGACAAAATGCTTCTTCACACTCGCTTGTTCTCCAAAATAAATGGCATCAACACACCTGAATCTTTTGCTTCTTCGTCTTTTCTTGTTCTTTAAAATAAAAAATAAAAAACTTCTTGTGGGTCCAAAATTCTGCCGGCCGAGGAAGTAAAGGCGGTGAGAAGGATTAAGGTTAGAACCTTGTTTGCTGAGTAAGAGAATGTATCATGTCATCTTCGAGATTTATTCAAAGGTCTCCTACATAGAGTAAGGAAGGCATTTAAAAACGGTTTTTGAAGGTTATTGGATGGTATATAGCTTTAAATGATCTATATACCCGCAAGGCGGAGGCCTATGTTTTTTGTAGAGATAATGGGTGAATGTAATAGAATAAATATAGATTCCAGAGGTAGTTTTTAGCTTCTTTAGAAAACTCATTTGATAGACGCCTCGCTAGGTATGGTAAAGCATGCTCTCTATCTTGTGTACAGAAGAAAAGAATAATAAGCTCTGGAAATAGGCTATAAATATTCTTGTATGCCCTATTCAAGGGCCTTGCATCGTAATGGCATTGAACGGTAGAAATTCCTAGCCAAGGGTATCAAAATACAATAATTTGCACCTTATCACTTTTCTTTGACTGATATCGGTCTCTAAGCTCGGCTCGATTTAAAAGCTCCATAAGAGGGAAATGGAGCTCCTTCATATCAAATATGCCGCGCTTCTTTTGGTCAACATAGGAGCCATCAACAACAATACGCTTCAACGAATCAAGCTTTAGTGATCCTATACTCGCTTTGTTAGTTATATATCCAACTTTGGTCCGACGAGGTGATACATCTTACCCGAGTTCACAAGATCATTCAGCCTGACCGGCGTTCCGATACCTATACCTATCCTATCCGCAAGTTAGCAAACAAAGCAGTCTAATAATCAAAGATCTCAATTGGCATACCTTGTCTTCTCCACTGTTTCCTGAGCTTCTTTCAGTTTAATATGTTTAGCAAAGAGCTTGGCAACAGCGCAGTCCTGGTTTTGAAATTGCCGTAGCGCCCTTGAAAGCTGTTAGTATCATATGCTTCGCTCGAAACGTCCTTCATCCACCCACCTTGTTATCTCTGCCGCTCTGAGGCCTGCTAGAGTGACAACCAGTGTATGTGGAGATCCGTGAACTTCAGAAGCCTTGGAAAGAGATGCGCCTTTCTCTGGACTGAACGCTTTCAGGAAGGATGGCATGTTATCGAGCTCCCGAGACGATTCCCAGGATGAGGTATCGAGAAATGCATGTTCTATGAAAAAGTTAGCTATGGTACATTGAGATAAACTGATTTAAAAAGACTCTAACATACCTGGGATATAGAAATCGTCCAATTCCACAGCGGTCAAGTTCTTGTTATGCCTCTTCACTCGCTGCACGAAGTAATCTCCAAGGAGCTTCCCGTCCATCTTTCCAATGGACTCGTCAATCCCTCCATCCTTACCCATAACCTTATTCGCATCGTAGTCGTTCCCGCCTTTCGCACCTTTTGACCGTTTCTTCTTCTTTTTCTTGCTGGGCTGTTGTCCGCCAGCTGTCTTGGATGTGTTCTCTGCACCATCTTCCTCCTCAACCCGCTTTCGCTTATTCGACCCAACCTGCGCATCTTGCGAAGTTACTGACGACACCATTATGGAATATCTCTCTGTGTCTGCTCCCAATTGTGGTATTTTACCTTCCTCTTTTTCTTTTCTTCTTTCCATCAAAACTCGCTTTTGCGATAAGAAAAAAAGTTGCGGCTCTTATCGTGCTTAGTCAACTTGTTATCGCAACTTTCCGCGTCGCGACTTTGGAGAATCGAAAAGCCTGAAGAAACAAAGTCAACAACTTGTCGACTTTGGTCTATCCTGGAGCATCTGCGGGCTGCTGGAGCTCAGTGGCACACAGGACGATAAGGTTGCCCAATATGTCGGCATCAAATGATCGTGGTAATGGACAGACGCCGCGAAACTCGGCGGGACCAAGCTCCAGTCCAGCCAAAACACCTTACAATGCGGTAGGATGGGTCTTTTAACTGTGTATATTACAACTTCGATCTAACATTGCAACATAGCTATTTAAACTATCGAGACTAGCTGGCGCTCCTTCAACCCCGGCTCAACAGAATGCTGCCTATTTTAACTCGAACCGACCATCGGTATCCCGGACTGGCCGGCGGAATTCAGGAATAACGCCGTCCAGAGCAAGGGGAGGTGACCGTATACCAGTAACACCTCATGCGATCCGAGCATTCCAGAGGCGCGCAGCTACATATACTCCGGGTCGAGATAGACGGAAGAGCCAGCGCTTTAAGCGGGAGACGCCAATGGATATATTAAAGAACTTGGGGAAAGGTCAGTCGTCGACGTCGCTATTTCTAGAATGAATGTCTGTTAAAGCTGACCTCCTATGATACAGTCCTCGCACCAGTATCTAAGACGGTATCTTCTTCTCCACCAGCTGAGCCGGAGGAAGAGTCAGAGTCATCAGTAGACGAGATCGATGAGCTGGACAAGGAGCCTCCTATTCCTCCCCCTCGTCTTTCATTGCCGCTCAATGAAATGACTGTGGTTCAGGATGACGAAGATAACAGCCCGGAGATGCCACCGCCCAGATTGTCACTTCTCCCCGAGGACGAGGACGTTACGCGAGGATCTATTGAACTGCCTAGAAGAGAGAGGTCAGCGCGCGATCTAGCTAGGCTGTCAAGGGTAAGCTTTGCTAGTAACCGGTTCAGCGACCACTTCGGAGACACAACGAACATTGAAGACCCCGGAGATGGGCTAGACTTTCGTGTTGGGCAAGAAGATGACTTCGATGAGGATCTGGATAATACGACCGGACAGCCAATGTTGGATGCTGGGTGAGTGTTTGAATTATATTCTAATTATACAGGTACCGCAGGGTTCTAATGTTACAATATAGGGGTGAAACCGAGGATCTGGGCCGTTTTAACCTCGATTTTGCCTTTCCAACTCCAGAGGCGCCTCACACTATGCCAATTGAGAACGAGAATGAACAAGACACATTCGAGTTAGATGCAGTGCCGCCAGAATTCGGGGGTCCAGATAGTCCATCGTCAGGCAGTGATTTCGGGGCCGGCGGATTTGAGCCGGCCATGGATGATATGCTGTCCAACAGAGGAACACCGGGACCCAGGGGGGACGAAGAGCAGCAGCAGGAGGAGGAGGAGGAGGAGGAAGAAGAGGTGAACATGGATCAGGAAGACCAGCCTGAACCACCACAGAAGAAGCAAAAGTTGTCCAAACATGGGATTCCGGTGCCAAGCCTGCCTTCGGGAGTCGTAAAGAAGCTGGCGATGCGGTTTGCTAGGTCTGGCAATAGGAAAACAAGGATCACCAAGGACACCATGGCTGCGATCCAGCAGGCAACCGATTGGTTCTTTGAGCAGGCAAGCGGGGATCTGTCGACTTACTCCAAACACTCTGGCCGTAAAACAATCGACGAAACGGATGTCATCGCTCTCATGAGAAGGTAAGTTGTGCCATCAAAGACATGCATAAAACCAAAAAGCTAACGCACGGAATGAAAGACAGCGACATGTCGGCAGGAATGCATCGGTGTTTGCTCTCGCTCAAAAGCATCTTCCCAAGGAGCTTCTGCAGGACATCCGTCTCCCCAAAGGCTGAGTGACCTGGATCTAGATGTGTCCCCGATGAGACTGAGATTGGTAGCTGGAATTACCAGCTCTTGTTCTGACGGACTCGTCGAACTGCTTCGTTTGGTCGCTTCTTGATAACCATCCCCAGCATGACAGCAGTGGCTAGGGAGAGCCCGTACCTAGATTTAAGTGGGTTAGCTCAAACTCCCGCGCATGTCCGGGGATGTCTTAATCTCAACGTACCAGGTGAAGATGTACTGGGCATGGTTATTGCGGAGGTTCACTTCTGCAGCACGCCCAATTGGTATACCCTTGTCCTCCCTTGTGTACATGGACAAGAGGTCCTGCACTGTTGACTTGTCAGCCAGAAGTGTCACACGGGACCAAGACTTGCAGCCAGGGTCGCGAATTGCGGATTGCAGATTGCGGCATATCGGTTACAGGTTACGAGGAAGACTCAGGACTTACCCATCGTTTCTTCTATCCAGACAGGCTGGCTTCCCGTCAACTCAGCCATCTGCTTGACGTCCGGGAAGTAGAACTTGCCCTCCTCAGGCTTGTTATCGGGAGTGAACATGTTCTTCTTCCACGGTGACCGCAGCAGCCCTTCGACCACGACCTCTTCCTGTGGCAGCCCTTCCCGCCGCTCCGACTGTCGCTCTAGCGACTTTGCAATCCAACCGCGATTGACAAGGATTGTGCTTTCACCCTCCCCTCTTTCCAGTGGCGTGACAACGAGATAACCATCCTTTCCTTCATGCATGCGGGGCCCAATCAGCATTTCTTTGTCGTGTCGTAAACGGCCTTTTGCATAAACCCGTCGATATTCAAAGTCTTCTACCGAGTCAGGGTCGACGACTGGAGGGAGAGGCAGCGGCGGCTTGATGAGACGGTCTTCGTACTTTGCTATGAGGTTTGACTTCCACTCGAGGCGTTGGACCTGCCACGTCCCGAGGACGAATGCTGTGACCGGTATAATAGCTAGATAAGGTGTGTATGTTAGCTATACATCCCACAACTACAACCACGTAACCACATAACCATTGCAACCAGAGCAAAAAAGAAAAGAAAACGAAGTAGTCTTGGATATGCTGCGTACCTAGTAGGATCAACCCGTAGCCATGCTTCCCTCCTGTCCGGACCAGCTTTGCAGGGTTGTCCACGATCGATGTCCAATTGGGGTCTTCGGCCGGCGTATGAGCTCGTCGAAGCTGAGTCCTCGCGCATTGCAATTGCAGCCCATGTATCCGACCTGTGCCTGTGCCAGTACCAGTAACCGTGCCAGTACCCGTACCTATACCCGTAGACCGAAGAACCGTCCTGCTGCCCATCGACGAGAGCGCAAACCGCCGTAGACCCAACGCTGCTGCTGCCATTTTGTCCCTGAAGCTCGCGGTTTGGCTGGTAGCCTATGACATCCGGGGGGGCGAGAAAGAAAAGAGACTCCAACTCCAGCAGGCCCGTAGTCAACTGTCGCCGTCTCTGACTCGAATGATATCTTCCAGCTTGTCTCTCTCTCTCTCTCTCTCTCTCTCTCTCTCTCTCTCTCGGGGCCAAAGAAAAGAAACCAAAAACTGCGTCGGATTCTTCGGATTTTATTTCATTTTTATTTTTATTTTTATTGTTTTTCTCTGATTGGTCCGTGCACTTTCTAGTTACGTTTCTTCGTATTTAATCGAGACTCGACGAAGCAGAAGAAGAGAAGAAAAGAAGACGATAAAGACGAGGGATAAGAAGGAGACGAAGAAGAGGAAGAGGAGACAGAGAGACCCGGCTTGTTACTAGGAAAGCGTTGAGAGACATCTACACCACCATGTTCTACCAAGGAGACCTGCAGAGCGGGATCAACGAGGCGGTTCGCGAGGTCAAGCAGGTTGTTTGCTTCATCACAGGTCCGTATTCTAGCCAGCCCAGCCCAGCTCTCTAGATCTTCATCTCCACTGGCCTTGCTGACGCCACGGATTGACTGTGTTCTAGACAACGGAGAGCTCAGTGGCGTGTGGGAGCACAACTATCTCAGAGACGAGAGGGTACGTTCGGCGGTTTAACTAGTTATTCGTGCTGCCAGGCGGACAGCGAGCTAACGTGAGCTACACTAGATCGCTCGGTTGATAACGTCGAATGCGGTGGCGTTGCGGCTGATCGAGGGCTCGCAGGAGGCAGAGTTCCTCTCGACCTTCTGTCCCGTGAATGAGTCGCCTACCCTTATCGTTATAAAGTGAGTGCAGTAGCCCGTCGACGGTGTTGAAGCTAGAAGTGACCAAAGTGACCCTGTGGCGCTAATGGGATAACTGGTAGGAATGGCATCGTTCGAGAGTACATTGCGGCAAGGACGGAAGAGCATATGTTCAAGCGTCGGTTGATAGCCGCTCTAGAAGACAACAAACCGCCGAGGAGGATGCGGGAGGCCATGGCACAGGCACAGGCTCAAGCTCAAGCTCAGGCGCAGGCACAAGCACAGGGGCAAGCTCAAAGGACATCGAACCAGACAGGGAGCGGCACAGTGTCTCCAACAACGGTTCCTGCAGCCCCTGCAGCTTCTGGAACTCCCGTTACTACCCCTCCTCCTGCTCCTCCTGCTCCGTCTCCCCCTCTGGCCACGCCAGCAGCATCTAGCAGTGTTATAGATCCGCCCAGTGACAGTCAGAGCAACGACCAACAGAGAAGGGCGAGTATCCGAGACGGCAAACGGCCCGCTGAGCCCGATAACGAAAAGAAAGAACAAGCGGACTGGAAGGGCAAACAGAAGAGAAGACACCAGCAGGAACGAGAAGAACGGGAACGGGTTCTTGAACGAATTAGGCGGGACAATGAGGAACGAAAGGCAAAAGCAGAAAGGCAGAAGGCTGAAGCAGCAGAGAAACATGAATCTTTACACGCACCACCCCCTGTCGCACAAAAGTACCGTCTCCAGGTCCGTCTGTTCGATGGAAGCTCGATAAGAAACACCTTCTCTCCCAACCAGACTATAGGTGCCGATGTCCGGTCATGGCTGGACAAGGAACGCTCAGATGGAGATGCACCATATACCCTCAAGCATATATTAACTCCACTTGAGAATAAGTCAATCTCACTCTCAGAGGAAGACCAGTCTCTCCAGGAGCTAGGCGTTGGTCCAACGGCAACACTAGTCATGGTGCCGATAAAGACGTATACAGAGGCATATTCAGATACTGGTGGCTCGTTGCCATACCGAGTTATTTCTGGAGGGTACAACCTTGTTGCCGGTACCGTTAACGCTGTAGCTGGCGTGGTAGGGTCAGCTCTGGGAATTGGACAGAATCCAGCTGCTGTTGGGCGTAATGCGCAAACGCCAGCTGCAGCTACAGAAGAGACATCTGCTGCTGCTGCTAGTAGACAATCTCCCAAGCCGTCGTCTACACGCAACCGGGTCCGAACTCTACACGATGCCAACTCGGGGAAAAATGATCACCAATTTTATAACGGCAATCAGGTAAGTCTAGACCATCGAACATATCTTTTAGTCATTTAGTCAAAATGCTAATTTATGCATAGTTGAACTTTGAGCCTCGGAAAAAGGATGATGATAATTAATGACTCTCTATCTTGCATGTTGCATGTTGTGTTGCATAATATTTATGTCTGTCAAGCTAATTCTACCATTTAATTACGATTCGCATACTTCCAGTAGGGGATATTGTTATATAACAAATGTATTTCGCTATGGATTCTATAACAAAAGCCAAAGGATAAGAGATGTCATAGACTATGCTGATGCATGGTTAGATTCTATAGTATTACAAAGACATGAGATCGTTCTGGTCTGGAGCTGGGAGACAGGACGCGAACAGAACATAGGTAAGAAGATGGATTTACATCCCCGCATCACCCTAGTAAGGCTTAGCAGCCTGCTGGCAAGCTTTCTATAAAAAAGTTAGTCATGTATATATATATGCGAGTGTATATATTTGGCAACGTACCAGCTGGTCCATGTACCATCCGCAGATGGAAAGGTCACCCCGGTTGTCATCCATGCACTTCCTGAAAGATCGAGCATCGGCGGCACAGGGAGCATCCTCGGCCCATCCGCTGGTGGAGTTGCTCTGGTACATTGAGCTGTCCATGGGTTGAGCAGCAACGGCCTGCTGGGTCTCGGCTGGGGCAGCACTGGAAGAGCCACCTGTGAAGAAGCTTCCGACAGCATGGCCGATGGAGGAACCGATAGCAACACCACTATATATCACCCGTCAGTTCCATGTCGTTGATTATCGGCACCTGTCCGTCTGGATTGATATGTATATATCTTCTTCCAGATCGGGGAAATACTACTTACCCGGCGGTGGCAGCCATCTGGCCAAACAAGCTGGATCCGCCGCTGGACTGAGCAGCGGGAGCCTGCTGGGTTTGAGGAGGAGCAGCGGCGGTAGAAGATGGTCTCTGCTGCTGCATCTGAGGAGCAGCTGGTCTGGCTGGGGCAGCAGTAGGTCTGGTAGGGGCGCTGCGAGCGGGAGCAGCGGAACGACGTTGGCGGGCCATTGTGAGTGTGTGAAGAGGCGGTTAATCTGGCGATTCGAAAGGGTTATTCGTGGTATATGCGGGCTGATAAATGAGTTTGCTAGAGGTCGACGTTGTTGACTGGCGAAGTTGAAGATGAAGATGAAGAAAAATATGGGGATCGCATTTGGAGACGGAGATAAGTCGGGCCGGATGGGATATGAAATGCTTAACTCCGATTGGTCGAAAGCTGCGGAAAGCGCTTGCCAGTCGATCTCGCATGAGGAAGTTAGAAGTAGATAGAAGAGAGTAGAAGTAGCAGAGTAGGAGTCATAATAGTGGTCTATAGAGAATTGGTAATAGTAATAGTAATAGGAATACCCTGTAGTTGATATCTAGATAGAGCTTGGTGGCCGGAACTCGTCTCTGTTTGTTGACGATAGATGATAGCTCAGGATGATATCTAGATCCAATGCTATGCTGGACGATAGCTAGGGCATCGGAATGTACTGTATGAGTAACAGTAGCCGGCCCACCGGAGGGCGTGTGATGAGAGTATGCATAAGGGTACGCACATCCACTCGTTCAGCCGTTATTTGAAGGTTGAGCAGCTCCAGTTTTCTTGAACTTCTTATTTTTCTTCTTATGCCTCCTCTTTGGGGCAATTTTTCCGTCCTTTCCGTGCATGGCCCTTTTCTCGGCCTTGCTTAGCTTTTTCTCGTTCTTTTGCAAGCTCTCCACGGTCGGCAGCTTGATAAACGCCTCTTCTTTCTTATCACCGGCCTGCTCATTAGCTTCGGAATCTTCTTCTTCCACTTCTCCTTCTTCTCCTTCTTCCTCGTCTTCCTCCTCTTGTTCGTCATCGTCATCATCATCTTCAGGGTCTATTATTTTAGTCTTCTTTGACTCCGGTGTCGACACTGCCGTACTGTCACGTTCAGACGAGTCGGGTTCTTCAGCAGACCGTTTCTGCGGTACTGTTCCAGATACCTTCGCCTTCATCTTAGCCATTTGTGCAGCCCGTAGCTGTGCCATCGCTTTCTCCTTTGCTTCTCTCTCGGCGCGCTCGAGGTCAAACTTGTCGTTTCCGGCCTGTACCTGTTAGACATTGCAGCGCATAGATACGAACGGGCAAACTTACAAGACCGTGCTTGATAAACCTCCCCGCAGCCTGTTTATCCAGTGTCATTGTTCTTTTCTCTGGAGGGGCCTCTAGGGTCTTAATCTTGTCATGATACTGCCTCACTCGCTTCAGTTCCCTGAACACGGGATGTTCTTTTGCATCTACATCGTTCAGTCTCAGATATGCTAGAAGAGGTCAGCGATCAGTTAACTTCATGTATTAAGAGGGTGCGTACAGAATATCAAAGACTCAATGGAGTATGTGAGCAGAATATGGAGCTTTGCCTTGTCCAGCAAAGGCAGCTTCTGCGCCGTCGCGGTTAGTCCCCGCTCCAGAAGCGGCCCTAGAGCGTCTTCTAGATCATCAATGTCATCTTCCAGCTGCTCCAACAGCGGTGTCAAATCTGTAGCCTCCGTAGCCATGGTCTGCTGCGATATCTCTTGTATGCTTGAAACCGTCAACTTCTTGTCTTTCTCTTGTTTCTTTTCAAAATTAATCAAAATTGATGATTACATAATAATTTACTAGTAAACTCTATAAGGAAACTTAATTTATGTGATATCAACTTCGCGACTTCAACTTTTTTCTCTACAAGCTTGAGGATTATTGAATCAATTGATATCAAACTGCAGTTGAGCTGGATCTCGCTGATTATACTTTTTTTTAGCAGAGCCCATCGATTTATCCAATATTTTTCTGCATATACGGAAGTGTGAAGACATAATTAGCTACAAGGGCCTGGCCAGATGAATAGGACCTCCAAGAGGCTATGGGCGAGGCTCGGGAGTTTCTCACCTATTAATGAACCGCATCCATGCACATATACCCATACCCACACATGGAAGACCGGTTCAATACGCCTCTTCACTACTGAGTGGCCACTTCAGCACAACTCAAGCCGCAATACCATGCGCAAGCAAATACACATCATGGGCGTGGGCAATATAGGCTCGTTCGTTGCCCACTCGCTCGCTGCCCGGCCTATCTCCGAGAGAGCCCGGTTGACGCTTCTCTTCCACCACCCAGCTTTCTACAAAGATTGGAACCGCTACGGCCGGGTAGTCGCCGTGAAACGACACGGTATAGCCGAGCAGCGGTCAGGTTTCAGCATCAACGTCCTGCAGGACCAAGAATGGTACTACCCGTCTGAAATCGAGGGAGCGCCAAACGAGCTAGTCGAGGAAGAGTTTGCTTTACGTGAGGGAGATAGGTTGGATAGCGATGGCCATCCTATCCCCGCGAACGAGGAGTGGATTGAACATTTGATAGTGACGGTGAAGACGACGCAGATTGAAAAGGCAATGAAATCTGTACGGCATCGACTTACGCCGGAGTCGTCTGTGTTGTTCCTTACTAATGGTTTGGGTGTGCTGGAGGAGGTGAATGAGAAGATATGGCCTGATGAAAGCAAGAGGCCGAACTACCTCTTTGGAGTTACGAGCCATGGACTGTTTAAGTCGGGATTGTTTGAGACGACGCATGCAGGTGTGGGAACTACAAGTATAGGTGTTGTTCGCCAGTCTCCACGGGACGATACGGAGGAGGATGCTGCCGCTGATGCTACTTCTACTGCTCTGGCACCGTCGACAAATTACCTGCTTAACACGCTTACACAGACCCCCGAGTTGGCCTGCGTATCCACCAACGCAACTGACCTGTTACTACTGCAGCTCGAAAAGCTGGCAGTAAACTGTGTGATCAACCCGTTAACACTGCTTATGGACTGCAAGAATGGCGAACTGCTATACCACTACAACCTCACGCGCGCCCAACGGTTGCTGCTCATCGAAGTAAGCACTGTGATCTGTGCCCTGCCTGAGCTCCAGGGTGTGCCAGGCCTGCGGTCCCGGTTCTCACCCGAGCGACTACGGACACTTGCGGTTGGCGTGGCAGGACGGACAGCGGAGAACACCAGCTCTATGCTGCAGGACGCGAGGATGGGGAAAGAGAGTGAGATTGAGTATATGAATGGGTATATTGTTCGCAGGGGGGAGGAAGTAGGGGTGAGGTGTGCGTTGAACTATATGGTGGTGCAGCTTGTGCAGGCCAAGTCGAGGATCTCAGGGAGAAAGCGAGACGAGGAGGTTCCCTTTGACCTGTCGAAACTGTAGATTATCAATATCCATGTAATTTAATGTTTGGCCATCTTTTAATCTGTTCTTCCTATGTATGTATCTATGCCCTCCTCTATCTATATGCTTAGTCAGCAGTGGCATGATAGCTCGGTCAACTTTAAACTTCTCCAAAAGTCGCAGCTTGAAGAACAAGCAGAAGAGAAACAAAAGTAATAATAATGATAACAGTGATAAATAGATGAAAAGATGCCTCCACGGATAAAGATATCCAGTCAATTGCTTCGAGGCAGCAGGCAATTCTCGGTGCTAGGCCGACCAGCACCAAACTACCCGGGCCATGTCCCTCTGACGACAGTTGAGCGGTGCTCGATGGCCATCGGCTCAGCTATAGGCTCACTTCTCAACCCACGACGGCATGGTATATTACACTATATTTAGCAATATGGAAGGCTACAATATAAGGTCAATGCTAAAAAAAGGAGGAGAATAGATTTGATAGCTACGCTGGGCGAGACAACAGCAACACCGTACTTCATCTACCGACTACGAGACGCCATGCTCTCCGACCCAACCGGCCGACGCATCCTCCGCGACCGACCACGCATAACCTCACAGACACTCTCACTCCCCTACCTACGCTCCCTACCACCGAATAGCCTGGGATATACTTATGCAGCGTGGCTTGATCGCGAGGGCGTGACTCCCGACACCCGCAGCAGCGTACGGTACATCGACGACGAAGAATGCGCATACGTGATGCAGCGGTACCGAGAGTGTCATGACTTCTACCATGCCGTGACCGGGCTGCCTATCGTGGTGGAAGGCGAGCTTGCGCTAAAGGTGTTTGAGTTTATGAATACCGGACTGCCGATGACGGGGCTGAGTGCAGCTGCAGTGGTGAGGTTGAAGGGAGCAGAGAGGGAGAGATTCTGGGATATCCATCTTCCGTGGGCAGTGAGGAGTGGAGCAGCGAGTAAAGAGCTGATTTGTGTTTATTGGGAGAAGATGCTTGAGCGGGATGTGGCGGAGATACGGAGTGAGTTGGGGATAGAGGTGCCGCCGGATCTGAGGGAGATACGACGACAGCAGAGGAAGAGGGATAAGGAGAGGAAGGAGAAGGCAAAGCAGGCTGTACAATAGAATAAGCAATGAAGCAAAGGAAAGAAAAATAGAGAGAGAGAGAAAGAAGAATGTATTATAGGTCCAAGAGGTCGTCATCGTCGTCCCATCCTCCGCGGCGGTTGATGACTATCTTCTTCTCCTCCTTGTTCTCGGCGACTGCATTGAGTAGTTCCTTGAGCTGCTCCTCGGTGACCTTCTGGCGCAGCTGCCCGGACCTGGCGAGCATGATCAGCCTGTTCTCTATGTCTGTGGCGCGGGACTCCTTGACGAGTCTGATGCGTCCGAGTCTGTCTGCGGCTTCGGGGAGGAGGATCTGGTTGAGTATCGACTGGCGGGCCTCGGACTCCTTGCTTCTGCTCGAGTTAGTTATCTACCTAGGAGGATGTAACTATAGTATATATAGAGTGTAGGTAGGAGTGGGCGGGATACCGCTGGTCATCGTCACCGGAGGGGCCACCACCCTGCTGCTGGAGCTGTGCCAGGCGAGCTTTTCTGATCTAGAAGGGCCAGTCAGTATCAGGCAGACAATTAGCAGCAAGAGAACTCACCTCTTCGAGCTCTGCGTCTGCCATGGCTGTGTTGTGGGATGTGGTGTGCTGTCTTGTGTCTCTTGCAGGTGGGATGGCGGGGAAGTAGTAGAGGTCGAGGATGAAGCTATGAGAATCAAGAGTCGAGTCTTTTGGCCTTAGAAGTAAGAGTATGTAGTGAGTAGTGAGTAGTGAGTTGTAAGTCTCTTCTTCTTCTTTAAGTCTTCTTATTGTATGGTTAGTTTAATGCTTATCAAGCTGTCTCTCTCTATCCTAGGAAATATTTTGATATCAACAACTTTTGCCTTGAGAGCTTAATTGTGGATGTTTTAGTGACAGAGAGAGCTCTGCTTCTTCTACCAAACCATCCACCAACCATCAACTACTTATAGAGACAGAGAGAGTACAAGTACAAGACAGTTAGAAGACAACTCTTAATTTACTCTGTCTAACACAGGGTCTATCTATGCATGTGAGAGCTGCCAACTTCCAGGTCAAAGCAGAGAAGAAAGACTCAACTTGCTACAAAAACAGCCATCAACTCATGATAACAGGATGTCTAGACAGTAATATAGATATGCATAGTATCATTATATGTTACAAGGGTCGTAGAAGTAAAACAGCCATAAAGGAGTAAAGGTAGAAGCATATACATAGGTAGGCAGAGGGAAAGAGAAGTAGAAGCAGCACTTAGACTCTCTCTCTCTCTCTCTCTCCATGTCTAGTTATGTCTATGCCTGCCTCTTGTCTGCTTCTTCTACTCCTTCTATACAGCATCTTCTTGCCACTCTCTCCTCACTCTTATATACTATTACTATTACTATTACTATCTTTAATGTCATCATCATCATCACCATCGACTCTTCTTTGCCTCCACGTGACCTGTCAAAAACTGTCTTTCTCTTCCTTTTCTTTTCTTCTTCTTCTTCTAACAAACTCGCTCCCTTTTTCCTTCAGGTTCGTCCCGCGAGCAACCCAAGTCGCAAGAGACTCGAGCCAGCCAGCGCACAGCAAGGCCGACGACAAGACCGACGACGAGACCGAGGATATCAGCTGCTAATATTACCCAAGGACCCTGTTACTCCTTCAGAGACAGACAAGACGGTTTGCTAGGGAGTTAGACCGGCCGAGGAGGTGGATCGCCCCAGCCTTCGACCACACGTCAACTTTTCTCCGCCGGTGACGCTCTTCACTCCTACGCTTCTAACACTTCTAACGCCTTAACGACTCTACTCTACGCCTGCTTCTACTTCTACATTGCCTCGAGATACATAAGTGGCTGCTCTGTTGCTTGGTTGAGAGGCTGCGCGGACGCTTCTGCCGCCATGTTGTGTTGCTAGCTGCCCATCTCGATCCCTCTCGCTAGCGCCCACCAGCCAGCCAGCCCCTGCGTCTTGTCGACGACGATACGAGCCGCCAGTCCGCTCGCAGCCCAAGCAAGCCGCCATGGCAGAGTGCGTCTCAACCTCATTCCCCAGAGACTTCTCTCTCTCGTTCTCTTTTACTTTATTTTACTCTACTTCTACTTATTTCTATCGACTGACTGAGTGACCGACAGATTCATTGCGTACGGGCTGTACTCGGACCGGCCGTCGAAGCTCGTCTCGCGCGCAAAATCTTCAAATGCCCTCGCCGAGATGGCTGCCGCCGTTGCCCAGGGCCCTTCTGTCCGTCGCCCCAAGGACAGAGACCGAGACAGAGACAGAGACAGAGACAGGTCGGAGAACTCGCTGTCGACGCTGCGTGACCCTCGAGTAGCCAGCACATCGGACCTCTCTCGTACCAGATCGGCGTCGACGGCCTCACACCACCCGGACCTCAGCAACGAGGTAGCCAATCTCAGTGATAAGCTGATCCAGGCCATCAACCACCAGACCCTGCTCGATGACAGCCTCGCAGTCGCCCGTCAGGAGCTCGAGGAGGAGCGGAAGCGCCGGAGTACCGTTGAGAAGGAGAAGAAGGGGATTGAGACCGAGCTCGAGACTCTCACTGCTGCCTTGTTCGAGGAAGCCAATAAGGTATGCATTTAATATTATCTATATAATTCTAGTCATGCTGACTTCCGTAGATGGTAGCGGCGGCGAAGAAGGAGAGAGAAGCGGTGGAACGGAAGAACGAACAGCTACGAGCCCAGATCAAGGACACAGAGCTCCTGCTGGCCTCGCACCAGGAACAGCTGGCCGAGCTCAAGTCCGTCATCGAGCAGATGAACAGCAGACACGACGACCAAGACACAGCTACCACCGCGACCTCCATCAGCTCTCCCTCAGATCCCTTCCCTGACCAATCCACAACAAACGGTGGCAACAATGGCAACAACAGTAATATCAACCGTCTCTTCGAAGCCATGAACCTGTCTCCAGTAACGCCGGGCTCGGATGACATCCCTCCTGCTCCCCCAACAAGCTTCTCTCACCTGCTCAAACCCGTCTGTCGAACAGATATCCTCGCCTTCGAGGACTTCAACACTCTCCTGCAGCTCTCTCGCTCAAGGCCGCCCAGTCGTGTAGGCAGTGGCTCCTACAGCGGGCTCAACGTCATGAACCTGGCCAACCTGACCTCTTCCCGTCCAAAGTCGACCACCCACACTCCCACAAACTCCCAGGACAACCACAATAACAACAGCAACCACCATAGTAATAACCATGTCAATGCTGGTAGTCCAGCAGGAGCTAGTTCTTCGGTTGCCTCTTCTCCCTCCCCGTCTCACGGCGGCATCTCTTCCTCCCCTCGAGAAAACATCACCTCCTCCATGCAGCTCAAGGAAACCCGCTTCTACAAACGCATCCTCGCCGAAGACATCGAACCCACTCTCCGTCTCGACATGGCTCCCGGCATATCATGGCTCACCCGCCGCTCCGTTATGAGTAGTCTCGTCGAAGGCGAACTCATCATCGAACCTATCCCGTCCACCACAGCCACCAACTCCGCTACAGACATGCCCTCTCCTCCCTCAACCCCTTCAAGCATGTCCAGTACTTCTACCCCTTGTGCTCTCTGCGGCGATAGACGGTTATCAGTGAACCCTCGCACCCACCGATTTCGTACCTCGAGCTCGGACTCGGCTCCAAAACATGCTCTCTGCTTACTATGCCTGGAGAAGATGCGTGCCTGCTGTGAGTTCGTGGGTTACCTGAGATTGGTTGTTGATGGCCATGTTCGCACCAGTGGAGAAGGGGATGCTGAAGTTAAGGAGCGTGAGAGAGAAGCCTGGGAGGAGACCGTGCGATTGAGAGAGAGGATCTTCTGGGCCAGAATCGGTGGTGGTGTTATTCCCGCTTTTCTTGCCGGTAGGAAACCGGAGGACGAGAACAATAACGAAAAGGTCGGGCAGCTTGATGATGGAACAGTCATCATCAAGGACATCACCGTTAATACTTCTCCGGTCGAAACTAGAGCAATAACTGTATCAACACCGACAAAGGCAGAGGCAGAGAAGGAGAAGGAGGAACACTTGCCGTCTAGTCCCACTCCAACGCCCACTCCGGTACCTGCAGCAGCAGAACCCGCTGCAGAACAGGCCCCAACGGCACCAACAGATGCTCCGTCCACCTCTACCCTGTCACCATCAACCACGGCAGCACCAGCACCGCCAACAAGCTCACGCGGCATCTCTCTCTCTCCATCTCGGTACAGATCTCGCTCTCCATCTCCTTCACCAGCTCCATCTTCAATCACATCACCCACAAACACGCCCACGCCTCCAAAGGTCCTACGTCGTCTCAAATCTGTACCACCAGCAGCTCCAACTCCTGCATCCTCATCAACCGTGACTTCACCAGATACTCCCAAATTCCCCAAAGTCATGTCCGTCTCTCTCCGCGCAAGCCTGACTGCCGCCAACAACGGCACCAACGCCCCGTCTACGCCCACATCTACATCCACATCTACACCCGGCCCGGCACCAGGAGAAGGCAAGCTGAAGGTGAAGATTCCCGCTGCTTTCTTGCATGATAAATAAATAAACTACCACACCACACCACACTCCATCACATCACATCACACCGCGTTACGACCAGTCCAGTTTCCAACATGCATACGTACAGCGTTTTCTTAGACAAAAGAAAAGCAAACAAGACGAATTCTTTTCCAAAATAGGCTGTGGATGGCCAGATACTTACCCTCCATTCGTTTCAAATTGATGATACCCCTTACATATCTACAACACCGCTACCAAACAAACACCCACCATCCCATCCCTTCCAATTCAATTCAATTCTCATTCTATTTGCCCCCTTTTTGACCTTACTTCTTATTCTTAATCATTCGCTCATACTCGGGTTCGTTCTTAGTCCCGAGTTTGACCCTCGCTCACTACAGCATTATTTCCTTTCTTCTGTCTTCTCATACTTTGTTATTGCATCCGCCACCACCATACCACATCCAGCGGCTTCCCTTACTTACTTTTACTTCTACTTCTCTTTTCTTCACTTCTCTTCACCCTGTGATTCTTCCTACTTCTTCTCTTGTTCATTTTACCTTTCAATTCGGGAGAGTGTACGTTATTAGTAGTTGCCTTTTCATACATATTCATACATAGAGGGTCCAGTCGGTTTGGTCGTTTGGATGGTCGGTCGGTTGGTCGGGCAGGTTTAATTGATTTATTGATGGATGGATGGATTTAATTGGGCCTTTTATACCTCGAAGCCGAAGCCGAAGCCGAAGCCGGAGTTCAAGTTGAAGATGTTAATTCGCTTAGGTAGAAAGTGAGAAGAATGAATGATTGAGCCGAGGTATTAATTGATTGCTTTCCCTTTCCAATTTATCCCATTGACCGTACCGTACCGTACCGGTAGAGGTAGTTAGCTAGTTAAGTTAGATAATACATGTAGTTGGTTGTTTGTTTTATACGATATCACTGCTTCATCTTCTCGTGAATCTTCCTTATTTGCTCGTTAATATTCACCGGTGGTGTATCTGGTTTCTCCTCGGGTGTCTGCGATTGAACAGGCGGTGGCTTCTGTATAGGTGGCTGAGGCAGTTCGCGCATCGTGGGCGGCTTGCTGCTTGGTCTAGGGATGCCCACGCCCGGTGGTCCTACCCCTGGAGCTAGAGGCATGGTTCCTGGTGCTCCGGGAGGCATTCCCGGTACCGTACCTGGTGCATGGGTATGGGTATGGGCATGAGAGTGAGCGTGGGAGTGGGCGTGGGCGTGGGCACGGGCGTGTGCCTGAGGATGTGCAGGCAGGGCGTGTGGTTGTGAGTATGACTGCTGTTGGTGCTGCGGAACAGGTGCGCTCAATTTCACAGGCACTCCATTGGGGCCAACAGCTACTCTCTTCCGTCTAATTTCTTCGTCTTCAGCTTCGGCTTGGCCTGATGCCGCAGCGCCGCCGGACAGCACTGGGTCAAACACGTCGCTTCTCTGACTGGCTAGGCGTTTCAGGTTATTTGCTACGTCGGCGGTAGACAAATTTGTACTGGCAAACCGCGCCTCGGCTTTAGCGCGCTGTTCCTTCCAGCGTGGATCCTGTAGTTCAATGCGCATGTGCTGCTCCATCTCTGCAATGGGAATTTGCTGTCTGCAATTGGGACATATGGATGTAGGCTGGTTGGCGTTTGAGAGATGTTTGGCCTGCGCACGAGGAACGTAGTCTGATCGAATGCGCATGGGTGGTTGGCCGGGTAGAGGTGAAGGTGATGGAGCTGCGCGCATCCGGTCTCGAGCTGGAAGCTGATCTGGTATTGCTGCCGCGGACGGGGTGGGAGATGCGGTTGCTGGCATCGGGGCGGGAGAGAGAGAGGCGGAAGTGACTGCTGTTGAAGGGAAAGGCGACGGTGACTGTGCTGGTGGTTGTATAGGGCCGGTGGAGATAGGGCGTTGTGGTTGTAGGATGGGGAGAGAAGGTTGGTGTACTGTGTCTGTTGTTGCGTTGTAGTATGTCGTCGAGTCATCTTCCGTGGGCATGGCTTCTTCTATTCGTCTGTCATGAGGCTGCAGGGACATCATCGCCTTCTGCTCGAGTGACGCAGTCTGTAGGTCGTTCAGCGATGTTGGGGGTGGTAGCTCTGTCTGGTCGTCTGCCTCTGTGAACAGCACCGTCTCAACCACCACAAAGTCATGCCAGTCGATCTGCGCGTATGCCACCTTCTCTTCCTCCTCTTCTTCCTCCTTTTGCAGCTTCTGCATTTCCTGGTATTTCACCCATTCTGCTCGTTGCTTTGCGCGCCCAAGAACGTTGTATTTGTTCTTCACATTCTCCCGCAGGTCTGCCCGACGCTGTTCCTCCGTCACGGCACTCTCTCGGCCCTCAACCTGTAGCAATTCTCGGTACTGATCCACTAGCCTCGTGAAAAACTGATATAAACTGTGCTGCGGCCGAAGAAAGTCGAACTGGAAGTTTCTCGTCTCGCGCTGGGATAGAGATGTCATGAACGATTTCCCTCTCTTAGCCACAAATAATGCCGTCAGCTTGACTACCTCCAAATCCAGCGCGTTTATATTGGGCATCCGGGCTGAGAACTGGAACTCCGGCGGCGGCTTGGGGGCGTTTGTCTCCTCTTCCTTCTTGACTGGCGCGGCCTCTCCAGCGCGCCCGGCAGACACATCTGTCCCTCTGCCGGCCTTGATCTCGCTCAGTCTCCATGCGTAAAAGGGGGCGTAGGCATCATGCGGGTTTAGAAAGCAGAACTTGGTATTGTTCTTCTCTTTCTCCCTCACTCGGTCTATATCATATCAATCAGCATATCTCCATTCCCAGGTAGCCGTATATTTATGCCAGGATCAACCACTCTACCTTCGAAAACATGTCCGTTACGCGCAACGAAACCCGCGGTCTTCTCGACAATAACTATCTCACGGTCAGTATTCTATTATCTCCCTCGAGAACGGTTCATCTTCCGCCTACCTTTGATATCCTTTGGTGGCAAGATAACGCCCTCTGGCGGCTTGTTAACCTCGTCTGGCAGCTCTGACGGCGTACCAGCGGCTTCACTCACAGCTGACGGAGCCATCTCACTCTTCTACCTCGTCAAAAAGTCACCGTCTAGTCCTCCTGGTGACCGGCTTTGCTGGTCCAAATGCTGTCGGTTGTTCGTCTTCTCCATCGTCGCCGTCCAGCTTTTTTTCTTCAACTTGATAGCTTCGCCCAAAAGTCTCTGCTTACCTAATCGCCCCTTTTCTTCTTCCTTAACACCAGAAAAAAGAGAACACCATCCAACAACTGACGACTTTATCGTCTTCTTGCAACTTCAGCTGCTTCACGGACGAACTTCTCGCTGTCGTTTCTCGTCTCTCGAGGCGGCGTCGTCGGGCTCTTCTTCTTCTTCTCTTCGTCTTGACTGTGTCGACCTTTTTTCTTCTTCTTGACTCTCGCTTGGATTATCTACTTCTACTTCATTCAGCCTCCCTTGGCGTCTACTTATCGTCTCTTATAATCAATGTGGCCCGTTTAGCAACCTGTCTGACACTTCTCTCTATCATATCGCGATCTTCTCTTTTTCTTTCTGTTTTGTCGCTATATTTAATCCGTGATAATGGCGTCCAAGGCCTCGAATGCCGGTCTGGAGGCAAAGACGCCGAGTAAAAGTCGCTCGAAGAGCCGTTCGAAAAGTCGATCCCCGGGACCCAAGGGCACGTCGAAGAGGTCGAAAACCAACGATTACCGCTCGGATGGCGTCAAGGACTATGATGTCCTCAATCTGCCCGTCAGAGACTACAAGATAATGCTCGTCATCACTGCAATTGCAACAGTGGTGCGGCTGTTCAGGATCTACCAGCCTACCAGCGTTGTCTTCGACGAGGTCCAGTAAGTTTCCCCCTCCTCTCCCCTGCTACGACAGCAGAAGCAGCAACAATTGAGAGACTAACGGGATATTGATAGCTTCGGAGGCTTCGCTACCAAGTATATCAAAGGCAAATTCTTCATGGACGTCCACCCACCGCTGGCTAAACTGCTCATCACCCTCGCTGGTTACCTCGCCGGGTTCACGGGAAATTTTGACTTCAAGGAAATTGGCAAGGATTATATAGAACCTGGTGTTCCTTACGTTGCCATGCGCATGCTTCCCGCTATCCTGGGCGTGTTGACCGTCCCTACCATGTTCCTTACGCTGAAAGCAACAGGCTGCCGCACTTCTACTGCATCGTTCGGTGCTCTCCTGGTCACCTTTGGTGAGTTTCCAAACCATACCTCAAACATATATGAAGTATATTCTAACAACTAGTAGAAAACGCACTCGTCACCCAGTCACGCTTCATTCTGTTGGACTCTCCTCTGATTATCTTCACTGCCTTGACTGTTCTATCTTTCGTCTCGTTCTCCAACCAGCACGAACAGGGCCCGCCAAAGGCCTTCGGATCTTCTTGGTGGTTCTGGCTGGTGGCATCCGGACTGTTCCTTGGTGCAACCGCCAGCGTGAAATGGGTTGGTCTCTTCACGATTGCGTGGGTTGGATCATTGACCCTTGTCCAACTCTGGGTTCTCCTCGGTGATCCAAAGACTGTTACTGCGGTAAGCTCTAACCCTCCAGTATCAACCGAAACCATTTCAATCAAAGCTAAAACTAATATTCTTGTAGCACATCTGGTTCAAACACTTCTTTGCTCGTGCCTTCTGTTTAATTGTCATCCCTGTTGGCTTCTACATGGCCATGTTCGGAGTTCACTTCCTCTGCCTCCGAAACCCCGGCGAGGGTGACGGATTCATGTCCTCTGAATTCCAAGCAACTCTCAACTCAAAGGGGATGAGTGACACTCCCGTAGATGTCGTCTTTGGGTCTCGAGTATCAATTAGACACCACAATACCCAGGGAGGCTATCTCCACTCGCACAACCACATGTATCCCGGTGGAAGCAAGCAGCAGCAAATCACCCTTTACCCACACAAAGATGACAACAACGTTTTCATTCTTGAGAACCAGACCCAGCCTCTTGGGCCATATGGCCAGGTCCCTGGACCAAAGGCTTGGGACAACATTACTACCGAACACATCATGGATGGCAGCACCATCAAGCTCTACCACGTAAATACTGATAGACGCCTTCACTCTCATGATGTTCGTCCTCCGGTTACCGAAGCCGATTGGCAGTTCGAAGTTTCAGCCTATGGTTATGAAGGATTCGAAGGAGATGCCAATGATCTCTTCCGTGTGGAAATTGTCCCTTCCATGTCTGACGGAGCAGAGGCAAAGAAGAGGCTGAGGACCATCCAGACAAAGTTCAAGCTTGTACACGTTATGACTGGTTGTGTCTTGTTCTCTCACAAAGTGAAGCTACCAGAATGGGGTTTCGAGCAACAGGAGGTTACCTGTGCCAAGGGCGGTTCTCTGCCCAACAGTATCTGGTACATTGAACAGAACAGCCAACCCGCTCTTCCTGACGATGCTGAGAAAGTGAACTACAAGGTTCCTGGCTTCCTCGCCAAGTTCTGGGAGCTTCACAAGGTTATGTGGAGGACAAACGCTGGCCTCGTCGACTCTCATGCCTGGGACTCCCGTCCTCCATCCTGGCCTATCCTGTCCCGTGGTATCAACTTCTGGGGTAGAAACCACCGTCACATCTACCTTATCGGCAACCCAATCATCTGGTGGACTTCTACCGCCACAGTTGTCGTCTGGGTACTCTTCAAGGGTGTTGCCGTCCTCCGATGGCAGCGTGGCTTCAAGGACTACAACAATGTTCACTTTAAGCGCTTCGATTACGAGGTCGGCCAAACCCTCCTCGGCTGGGCTCTTCACTACTTCCCATTCTACCTCATGGCTCGCCAGCTTTTCCTCCACCACTATCTCCCTGCTCTGTACTTTGCCATCCTGGCATTCTGTCAGACTTACGACTTCGTCGCTAACAGGTTTAGCAAGCCATCCATCTTTGGCAAGCTGTTCACCGTTGGATTCTTGTCCCTCAGTGTTGCTGCCTTCTGTATCTTTTCACCACTGGCATATGGCAACATTTGGACCAGAGACATGTGCCAGAAGACCAAGTTGATCTCTACCTGGGACTTCGACTGCAACCTTTACCATACTGACGTAAGTGTTCCAACATGGAAGGCTCCCCAACGTGGTCGTGGTTGAATTGAGTTACTGACTTGGTTCAGCTATCCCAATATTCTACCCCTGAGGTTATCAGCACCTCAAATGCCGCCCAGACTTCCATAGCTGCTCCGCCCGTGCAGCAGCAGCAGCAGCAGCCACCTCAGGTAGAACAGAAGCAAGAACATCAACCTGAACAGCAACCGGAACAGCAACCTGAACAGCAACCCGAACAGCAGGAGAACCAAGTTCCTGTTCAACCCGAATCAGTTGATTCCCCACTACAGCCACCAGCAGTGGACCCAGAACTTCGTAAAGTCCGTGAAGTCGAGTACCGCGATTCTGAAGGCAACATTCTCAGTGAGGAACAAGTCAAACTCCTCCAGGACCAGGGAGAAATCTCGTTCGAAACCCGCTACGAGACTCGCACCAGACTAATCGACTCTCAAGGCCGAGAAATCCCTAGGGAAGTTCTTGTCGCACCCGAACACCCAGACGTGCAGGGATCTAACCCGGAAACCGTTCCTAAGAACGAACCAAAAGCTCCAGCTAATAAGCCAGCTGATGTTGAGGGAGAGAGTCAATCCATAGAGAGGAAAGAAGAAAAGCCAAAGCCAGCTAGCGAGGCTAAAGCCGCTACAAACTAATTTGAGTCTCTACGATATCTAATGGTTTTTCATTCTTTTATCAGTCTGTTTTTTTTTCCTGTACTATACTAATTACCGTTTATGGCCAGCTTGTTGCGAAATGATGTTTTCAGGTGTTTTTTACTTGTTTGCTTCTTCAAAAAGAGAAATAGAATAGCTAAAATGTCAACTCTGAATGTCAATTTGTGTGCTGCGCTCCTCAAGAATCTAGCCATTTGCACCCCCTGGTAGCTCGAATATCATTGGTAATAGCACTGCATCAATTGGTCCACAGCTAGTAATGTCATGTCATACGATACTCCGTGCCAGAGGTGAACATATGAAACCAATGATTGAATTCAAAACTGGATTTTACACAATTAAGATCTAGAGGGGTAATTGTGAGAGATTAACCAAACATATCAAGGAAAGGCCCAGGAATTGACACAAGGGGTGATGTGATGCTGCTTAAACAGCAGCGAGAGGGAGGTAGTAAAGATGGCAAGGTGTTACAATTGTAGGAATATATACAGGAATCTCGATGCTGCGGCTAAGTCCAAGCATAATATCAAATCCACCCTTGATGGGATAGGCATAGGCGCCTGGAATTTGATTTAGAGATCCTTTCCGTACTTGTTGAATCGTTCGTGGAGGTCCTATTCAATTGGTCAGTATTTGTGACAAAATCGTACAGCGGGTATAGACATGCACATACAACTGGGAGGGTCACGTTTGGAATGATGACCTCGTTCAAAGCACTGGGAGCCTCCTTGAGGGGCTTGCTCTTGTCTCCGTGGGGGTGGTACTTGTACTTGAAGTTGCCCTTGCTCTCGGAATCCTTCTCATCAACCTCCCATGGCATAGAGCCGCTCTCACCAACACGGACGTTGCTCTCAGAGCTAACGCTGGTAGGAGTGCTACCTAGGTACCAGCCGACGATTCCGAAAGCACCGGCCATAACAGTGAGAAGGACCTAATAGTTTTTTCAACCACCACCGATCAGCTTCATTTATTGCATTTAAAACAGGCGCAAGATAACCAAGGCCGCATCAATTGCAGTCACCACACGCTTATCGACGTACATAGAGCTCGGGGTCCTTCTTGGCGCCCTTGTCGAGACCGGCTTCAGCGGCCTTGGAGGAGGCATGTCGTTGGAATGGCTGTGGCGTGACGAATCTGCGGACAGGCTGCTGGCGCAGGAAGGCCCGGCGGGCCATGATGGCGGAGAGGGAGGACATGGTGAAGCAGTTCTTGATCAACGCTGCTGTCAATTGCCTTGATCTGGGTGAATCTCGGTCGACTTCTTCGTCGTTGTCGTCGTCTTTGCGTCTTTTGATATCTCGACGTCGTTAAAGAACTTGCTTGTTCTTTTCCGCTTCCGACGGTTTGTTTAGTCAGTCACGTGTAGATGAGTCAGCATAAGATCACATGACGCGTCTCGAAATTAAAGGAGAAGCAAAAAAGGAACGAAAAGCTGAAGAATTGAAGAAAACAACGAGAGCGACAGCAGGAAGAAGACGAAGAGAAGACGAAGCGAAGCGAAGAAGACGCTGTTTTTGGCCATATTATACGCCCTGATAAGATTCGAGACCGCAGCTTCGCTTAATTCCTGCGACCTGCGACCGCGACCGCCTTGCTTGATACAAACATCTCCAGCCTCTGCCCAGTCAACAAACAATATATGAGAGCTTGAAACCTGCTATCTATATTAATATATCGACATGATAATGCGTTGATACTATTGCATCTGGATACTAATAGCACGGATCAATCGCGACCATGACTCCACCCGAAACGAATCCCGAAGATTCAAGCTCCCGTCACCCGCCTCCTGCATCCCAGAATGTTCGCTCAGGATCCCACATACCCTCCCATATTACGAGTGTTGTATCTGAAGATGACCACCGGACTCAGCATTCAGCGTCATGGTCACAGCCGACGCAAGCGCAGTCGCTTCGGGGGCCTCCACCGATGAGGAACCCAATGCTGAATACACGGCCGCCCAGCGCGCAGAGCAAGATGAGCAGGACACACGTCTCCTCTCTTACCTCCCAGGCCTTTTTCCGACCCATGAGCTCTCAGAGACTACAGGCGCAGCGTGGTGGAAGACCTACAACAACGACAAACAGTACTACTGGGTATGAAGATAATCAGAGTGATGTGGCCAGCCAGACGCGCAGGAGTATGGTATCAAATACGACAGCACATCTAGACAATGAACTCCGGCCACCATCAAGAGGGACGGAGTTTACGGATCCGATACTGCCTGATAGGTTGACGGCTAATACCAGTCCTTCTGGACATACGACAATCCGCAGTCTGGGCGACAATGTCAGGCTGCTACAGGATAGATCGCAAAGATCATCTACCCCTATACAGGTGAATCTGGGGGAGAACTATACCAACCCAACCGCGTCACATGAGCCGCCTTCCAAGCCGCCTATCTCGTTCCCATCTGGGCTTCTAGGCGGGAATGCTTCTGAAGCTACGATACGTCGTGGTGACCAGAGGAGTCACACAAGACTCGCCTCCAATGCAACGTCTGTCCCCGAGCCTGAGCCCGAAAAGGTTGAGGCACAACAGGCCGTAGAAAAGGGGAAGAATTATCAATACTTTACGGGCAACACTACATTCTTTGGTGGCGGCAGGTTCCAGAATGCCCGTGATAGGCCAATTAACGTTGTTACTGGATTCTTAATTGTTCTTCCTACGGTTCTCTTTTTTGCTTCCTCGTGAGTTTTATTACTTCCCTGGATATTCAGATCTGATATTGCTAACATATATCTCCAGGGCACCTTGGTTGTGGAATAATATGTCACAAGCAATACCTATCGTGTTTGGGTATATTTTCTACCTTTGCTTTTCGTCTTTCCTTCATGCATCCTTAGTTGATCCTGGAGTGAGTGACATCTGATTCTCACCCTTTATATACCTCCTTAACTGACAGCCCAATGACAGATTCTTCCTCGAAATCTTCACATCATACCTCCACCTGACCCTGATGCTGACCCTCTAGCCCTTGGACCTCCCACCAGCGACTGGGTTATGATAAAGCTAGCAACCTCTGAAGTTGCAGCAATGGATGTGCCAGTAAAGTATTGCAAGACCTGTAGCATCTGGCGCCCACCGCGTTGTTATCACTGCAGAGTATGCAACAACTGTGTTGAAACACTGGACCATCATTGCGTCTGGCTCAACAATTGTGTTGGGCGTCGAAATTATCGGTACTTCTTCAGCTTCGTTGCTACATGCACATTACTCGCCATCTTCCTTTTCTGTGCAAGTCTCGCCCATATTATTAGCTATATGAGGATGGAAGGCGTAACTTTTGGCGACGCTATCAACAAGTGGCGTCTCCCCTTTGCCATGGTCATATATGGCGGGCTTGCAGCCACATACCCTGCCGCTCTGGCGGTCTACCATATCTTCCTGATGGGCCGAAGCGAGACAACACGAGAATACCTGAACTCGCGAAAGTTTAAGAAGGAAGATAGACACCGCCCCTTCACCCAAGGAGGCGTCTTCAAAAACCTGGGCGCCGTCCTTGGAAAGCCTCGGACTCCGAGCTACCTCCAGTTTAAATACCCCCATGCCGAAGGCGATCAACGCTTTGCTACTCATCCAGTGAACAAGCGGCGAAACGACGTCGAGGCACAAAACGGCGGCCTTGAGATGCAGCAGGTCGGCAACGGACACCCGGCCAGCGCCAGCGGCACCGTTACTATCATCAGCTCGAATGGCCATGCGCCCAATTGACCTCCGATATAACGAACCCGTGAACAACTGTGTATTCTACCTTCAGCCCATTTCTCAAAATCCTTTCACTGACTTGTTTTTTTGTTCAACTTCCTCTTCAACCTCTACTTCTCGTGTATATTTTGGCCCTACCATTTGACCTGACCCCTGGTTGATTTATGTTTCTAATACCCCTTGCTTACACCCATCTTGACCATGGGAATTTTCCTTTCTCTGCGGGCTGTCTTCGCGCTACGACGCGTTTGCTATGTGTTTTCTTGTTTCTTTCTAGATAGACCCTGTACCAGCGCTGTCTCTGGGGGCGTCTCTGAGCCTCCTTCATCCAACAATGTCTCAGCAGGAACCAATCTGCTATGAACAAAAGTTGCGACTGTTCTACCATCAGAGAATTAAGCTAGAATTCGAATACTTAATGTCTAACTCCTACTATCTCTTCTTGCCTTTTGACTCCAACCCCCCTTTTCCCCTGATAAGCATTGACTTCTATATAAAATTTACCAGTGGCGCATTTCTTCCCTGCTGAAACCACCAAACTTGGACACCAACAGATCTCCGCTGTATAAGTAACGGGCAATGCGCTGTGACTATAACTATACCTGCGTCTCTTGGAGACCCTGCTACTGTTTATAACTAATGCGAGCTGGCCCCTGCCGTATCTCTTGTTACTTGCATTGTTGACTCCCCACAGGCCCTGGAACAGGCTGTCCAACACCCGCGTCGCGCCTTTTCTCCTATCAAACTTCTCTTAATCACCTTTCGCCATTCACTTCCGACACAAAACTCGATTATTCCTCAGAAATCGACCGTCATCTACTCCCTTTCATAGGCAGGATACCTTTAGTTTTGATCTAGAAACCCTCATTCGGTGGCTGGTTGGTCCAGCGTCGTTTTATATGCAGCCATGTCGCGTGTCGCCAGGGACTCGACAACATCAATATCTACCACTCCAGACAGCGACTCAACTCTTCTCGAATCGACCAGAAACACGCTGACACCGGCAACAAGCGTCTCTGAGACCTCGAGCAATGCTGATATTCCAGTTACAAAGACCGCCTCTCAGACGAATGCGCCCCAGACGCGTCGCGTAACTCGAGCATCTATCGGAGACCGGAGAGACAACAATGCTGAGAATAATAGAGATAGACAGGAAGATGGCTTGAAGGAGGATATATCCGCGTCATTTTCCGAGGGCGAAGCTGTTGTTAAGTGTGAACCGGCCCAAGGACTTGGACGGGGTTCTTTACGTGGCCGTCGTGGGTTGTCTGCGGCAGCATTGGAGCCATTTCAAGAAGAGGCGACGGCGGATATACAACTGGAGAAAACCAAGAGTAACACTACAAACGATCATCTAAAGGAAGAAACTGGATCGAGGCCTGAGTCGTCTGGAAAGGCTGATCCGGCGCAACCTAGGAGACGGTCCGGTCGACTGACCCTTTTAGAGAAAACTAAGACAGTTTTAAACCAGGTTTCCTCAATCCTAGGGAAACGGCAGAGAGATGGCAAGGAGTCCTTGAAGTCCAAGTCTAAGGTGGAGGATAGAAGGTCCAGTCTACGTTCGAGAACAGCTGTGCCTAAGGAGCCCCATGAGGAGCCTGCTGCCAAGAAGAGACGCGTACCTGAGAGTGCCTCCTCTCTAAAGAAAGAACAGGCAACAGACCAGCCATCTTCAGCTACGCATAAAGAAGTTATCCAGACAGCGCCAAAGAGGAAGAAATGGCTCACACATGGCCTCTATGCTGGCCCCAATGCCTTTGCTAAGCTCGAGCTCCCTGGCCCCCAAAGCAAACGAAAGGGAACTAGACAACCCACGCGCGAGCGTGTGCTGTTTCCTATGCCCAAGTACTCTGGCGCTTTATTACTGGAAAGAGGGAGGCCCTTTAGATTACCCTATGATATATTTTCTCCGTTGCCTCGCGGCCAGCCTAAGCCAGACGAATGGCGTAAGATAAACAAGAGTAAGTGCTAAAATTTGACTCTGATAAGTGACTATCAACTAACGGGATATAGATATATTCATTGGAGATGCGGCTGGTATCTGGAGGGCTACCATGCCAACTGAGCAATCTACTTGTCTCTGTACCCCTGAGATGGGATGTGAAGAGAACTGCCAGAACCGCCACATGTTCTATGAATGTGACGAGAACAATTGCAAACTCGGCGAAGACATCTGCAGGAACCGCAATTTTTCTGAGCTGCGCAGACGGAATAAAACGGGAGGTAAGTATAACATTGGAGTTGAGGTCATAAAAACAGAAAGCCGCGGATATGGTGTCCGAAGCAACAGGACTTTTGAACCCAACCAAATTATTGTCGAGTATACGGGGGAGATACTCACTCAAATTGAGGCTCAGCGCCGAATGAAAACGATTTACAAGAAAAATGAGGTTTGTCTAACGCTGCCATTGACTTGGAAATAATAACTAACTCCCTGCGATAGTGCTTTTATTTGATGGATTTTGACCAAGATATGATCATTGACGCGACACGAGGATCGATTGCACGCTTTGTGAATCACTCATGCGAACCTAACTGCAAGATGGAGAAATGGATTGTTGCCGGAAAGCCGAGGATTGCCCTCTTTGCTGGTGATAATGGTATTATGACTGGCGAAGAGTTAACCTATGACTACAACTTTGAGTACAGCCACCTATCCTTTTTTCATTAGAAATTCGCTAACTGACTTCAAAAATATAGCCCCTACTCCAATAAGAATGTCCAAGAATGCCGTTGCGGCACGCCATCTTGCCGCGGTGTATTGGGACCAAGACCAAAAGGGAAAGATTCCAAAGAGAAATCCGCTACCAAATCAGCCGGCGCTGGAACCAAGCGCAAGTCACAGGGAGTTGCCGATGAGCCAGTTTCGAAGAAACAACAAACAATCAAGCAGTCATCCGTTAAAGCTGGTTTGAAGCGAGTTGTCTCAAAGGCTTCCCAGGGCATAAAGGCCCAGGCTAAGGCAATAAAGGCGCCCAAGAAACGAGTGGGTGTTCGATTCAACAAATCTGCAAAGACCAAGGCTGCTGCGACTACGGCTGCTGCTGACGTCTCATTCAAATCCGTTTCCCGTTCTTCAAAGACCAGTAAGCAAGCCCAAGTTAGAATTACTGCGAAGACGGCTGTCCAAGCTGTTCTGCGAGGAAGTAGAGGTGGACGGAGGTCAACTACCAAGTCTTGAATTATTGATCGATTTGCAGCGTGTTTTGAAGCTTTTTTTTTTTGACACTGATTGATAGCGATTAAGCCTAAGCCGAATTCCTGTCATACTCATACGTTTTTGAAGCTTTTCAACTAGTTTATGAGCGTCGAGAGCAGAAATAATATATTCAACATTGTACTATTGTTCAAACGAGAACAATCCTGACTGATGTTTTGGTGATAAGAAGAACCCCATAATGTAATAATTATGAACTTTGAGCGCAAAAGGGATATATTGTTTACTCTGTGCCATACGCTGTCTGAAATCAATCAACGCCAGCCTAGTCTATCCAAAGGCGTATCAGTGAACCTCGGATAAATGTGTTCAAAAGAAAATGAAGACAACTCCAACGGGAGTCAAAACCCCAACCAAGAATTCAAAAGAAGCCAAGACATGGAGTCAATCCAAAAAAGCACATTAACCAGTCATTTCAACGTCCCTGTCCCTGTCCTTATCCCCTTCCTTGCTTTCTTCATCTTTAGCAGGGGGTGCTTCGGCCTGGGTATCATTATCGTTTATCTTTTGTTCTGAGGCAGTTGCCGTTGCTGATGTATCATCTGGCTTATCTTGCGCCGTAGGGTCCGGGTTCTTACCCAGGCTTGCCTCCAGGCTTCCTAGCAGGTCGACTTCACCGTCTTCAAAACGGACAGGTCCAGTGGATGTAGCCTCTGGTTTGCTCTCTGCGGTTGTTTCGGGCGGAGGGAGAGAGCTGGGAGCTGCAGGTTCCTCGGCTGTAGGTTCGCTGGGGTCCGTAGGGGCAGTAGATGAGGGTACCCTCTCGGGAAGTGGATTTGATGTGTGTGCATCAGGAGGAGTCTGGGGTTTGGATTCTACCTCCGTGGTGCTCGGCCGGATAGTCGGTGGTGAAACTTGCTCTTCCTTGGCCAGTGTTGGAGGGCTAACAGCCTTTTCAGGGGTAGGTTGATGTGCTTCATTCTCAGCTGTGTCCATCTTGATACCAAGGCTTTCTGGGAGAGGTGCTACAGGTAATGCAGGCTTTGCATCTTCCGCCGCCGAAGCTGGGGGAGGACTAATTTTAGGCTGTCCAGCGGCCTCTGCGTCCGCCTGCTGCGGTTCACTGGGTGGCGCAACTTGATTTGAAGGTTCGGTAGAGCTAGTGGTCTCCTTTGGTTCTTCAGTGGGTGATTTTGAAGGCCGTTCGGAGGTAGAGGTTGTGATGATCGGCAGTTCTGGGGATTTTGAGATGGTTCGAGGAGGTTCTGGTTCTATGGAGTCCTTCCCAGTAGAAGGTGGTTGTTGCGGTGTATCCTGTGGTTCTGATGTGATATCAACCGACGGGGTCGTATTATCCCCATCAATGGGGCCATCGGCCGTTGGAGTTGGTTTGGAATCGGTTGCGGTATCGTCTTCGTCGCTCTCATCGCCTTCTTCCTCGTCTTCATCTCCTTCGTCTTCTGCCACAGATGCCGTTCCAGAAGGTGTAGCACCATTTTCTGAAACAGCGGGCTGAGCAGCAGCCCCAGTTCCCTTAGAACCCGGGGCCACAGGCTGCTCAGCTCCATTTGTTGAAGCAAACATGACCTTCTTCCTGCTCTTTGCTTTACCGGCTTTTAATTTCCGCTTTCCCCTGTTCGGCTTGGGTACAACCGCACTTCCCTCAGTAGTAGCAACAACGACGCCATCCTGGTTCACCATTCCAATATCCGCAACAACAGTTCCGGGAGCCGGCTCAACGTTGACGACCTTTGCATCCGGGTTTTCAGCTATGACTTGGGCTTCTTGGGCAATCTCTCCTTCGACCTCGTACCCTTCTGGCACCCAAGCTTCATATATTGATATAACGCCAGTTGTAGGATCTATCTTTCTGAACTTTGTCTTGCGCATTGGGATCGATGAGCTGGCGGCCGAGGCACCGTTTGGTTGAGCTCCAGCTCCGTACAAGGACGGCAGCCCAGCTCTCCTGGGAGCTAAGAATTCTATCTCCGGAAGCTCAACTGTTCTGGGTATGGCGGTCCACTTCACGGCTGCAAAGGTTCGCTCGTCAACCGGCGGCTCTATAACGGCATCGTCATCCTCCTTCTGGTCAATTTCTTCGGGCTCGGGGTCCTTGCGGATAGGTCGTATGTACGTGCATCCGGATCTGGCAGCGCGAAGAAGCGCCCGACTGACAGGAGTCAAGAGGTTGCTATCCCTAGGCATTGGCAGTTCCGGCAGACTCTGGGAGTCTACTACGTTTGTCTCTTCTTCTGTGGGCTTGGGTTCCTGGGAGACTGTAGCGAGCTGGCGAGCCCAGCGGCGGACAGGCAGCCCCTCGAAGACATCGTGGTCGACTGGGCCCGATCGATTGGGGCGAGATGATCGAGTCTATATTATAATCAGTAAAAACGAGCAAAGCAGCGTCTCTAAACTGTGAATAAGACATGCGCGCGCCGTGAGATGTAGATTCATGATGATGCGCGCCGGTGCTGGCTTGACGCGCCAGGGATTTGCCAGCGGCCAGCAGCCCAACTGGCCATAGACGAGACAACGAAACAGCGACGGAGTATGACTATGGAGGTTCGGGAGCACTTACGAGGCCCATCCTGCTTCTGTCGCTTGAACCGGGTGAATTCTTCTGCCAAAGATCGAGATTCGTAGCTTGAGATTCGCTTTTCAGCGTCAAGTTTGCGATGAAGTTGAGGTGCTTAGTCATTACTTACTAATATTTATATATATTTTTTTCCAGTAGAAGCAGAAAGAGAAAGAGAAGAAGAGGAAGTGGACAGAGACTGCAGCATTAAATCTATATTCTACATGTTTCCCTGGTTAAAAAGAGAGAGTATCCGTCCCTGCTATAGTCCTACAGTCCCCGCGGTAGCCCTGGCCCCATTCCTAGTTAATTGACATTTTAGTTTGACCTAGAGGAGAGTCAACATTGATAACGACATCTTTCAACTGGGATGGAATCTTGACAGTAAAAAAGAACCTACCCAGGGTCATTTTGTCTGACTATGCTGCCTTCGTTTCCAGTCTCCTTGCCCTAGAGGGTGGTAAGTTCATACTGTAACTGATAGACACCGACTCAAGCCTTCAACGTACCGACTTCTGCCCTTCTACAACTAGTCTGTCGAGCTGGTAGAACTGGCTTATCACTGTTTGTCTCTATTGAGCATGTAGCATTAGCCAGTGCTCGGATGGCATTAGGAGATAGGGTTGCTACCTTCATCATCTGTAGATTTGTCAACCCCTTCTGCATCAACTCTTGTATCTTCCGCTCCTCGGTCTCATGCTGGTGTTCTCTGAAGGCATCGATGGTCCGTCTTCGCGCGTACTCTCGGAAGTTATAAGCGGAGAATTGGTTTGCTTGACGGAGGAGAGATCGAAACTGCGTAGTTTGGTAGCATCTAGTTAGCAAAGCGTGCGGGTCACAGAGCCGTACGTATAGCGAGGCTACAGCGGTGAACATACGAGTGATCGCGCCTGGAAGGCAGAGTTGTTGCTCAATGACGGTACAGACATGTTGAGTATAATGTCTATAAAAGCTGTTTGATGTCGAAGGGCCTGGTTACGGCCGATATTTGTCTGCCTGCTAAGGTGAAAAATGCCCAGGTCAAGGACTGCTCCGGGACGGAAAGCAGCGACAGCAACAGCAAGGATGGGCGTTGGCGGATAGTATAGATGGCGTCCCCTCTTTGGCTGTGACTTGCTATCGGATGCAGTATCTTTTGAAGCAGCAGAACTCGCAGAACCGCATGAACGAAGAAGCGTTTACGAAGACACGGAAGAAATCTCAACGGGCATCGGAGATAAGCTTGGTCCGCGGCGCTTCAGAGCGAGGGCGAGAATGAGCAGAGGGTATCGGGGGGCGCGGCGCCGTAGTATCGCCGAATTGCTCAGGAAAGGCCTGGTATTAGCTATATACAAACAAGACAGGAGGAGAGCAGGCAGCTGGAGGATGGCGAGGCGGCGATGGGCTTGAAGAAAGCTGGAAAAAGTTGAAGCTGGTCGAGTTTCTTTGCTGGTGCTTACGTAAGATCTCGAAGTTGAAGCTGAAGTTGGAGACGAAGAAGACGAAGACAAACAAACAACGTGAATATAAGACTGTATTGACAGACAGACGGACGGACAGACAGGAGATAGCTGGAGAGATGGAAGAGACGCTGCTGACGCCCCCGGCAACTCCGGCGGACGGTCAAGAGGCTCGCTCGGAAGCTGAGGTTGTCAAGGCCATCGACGACCTGCTGGAGAGATACCTCCGCCTGCTGGACGAGCAGCAGCAGCTCCAGGAAGCCATAGGCAAGCAGTTTGCAAATGTACGAATGCGTCTTTTGTTTTCTGTCGTCGCGGTTGTTTATTGTTGTTACTGGTAGCGGGCTGACAGACATGAACAGGGCTTTTTTTCTCTTGCTCGAGCGAACCATTCATGTCCGCCTGGCCGCCGCTATGGGGAAGACTACTACGACGAACGGATGAAAGCAACCAGACAGGTGTATGTTGGGATAGAAAACAGGCTAATCCACTGAATGGAAGACACCAAGTGTTGACAGACGTCTCTAGAGAAATTACAATGACGGCTACGGCAGACAGGTTGAAAGCGTCCCCAGACGTGTCCACCCCCGCGTTCAAGACAGTGACTATCGAAACGAAGCCCGACCCTAACAGCGACAAAGACGCCGAAGAAGAAGAAGCAGGGACAGACACGCCATCTACGGACGAAAACCAGGCACAGACACAAACACAGCCAGAGACAAAGGAGGCAAAGACAAAGCGCAAGGGCAGCAGCTCGCCCAACCCGCTGCACTGGTTCGGCATTCTGGTCCCTCCTCCATTGAGAAACGCACAGGAGGCTTTCGTTGGTGCTGTGGCTGGCCCGATTCCAACGCTAGCGGGTGTTGTCAGCGAGATGCGAGAGGTCGAGCGAAAGGTTGAAGGTTTGCGACAGCTGCTCGGCATAAACCACTAAATGATACGTCAGAGATCGTTGCCTGAGCGTTTGTTTACATTTTCCCCCTTTCGGCCGCGGCAGGCGATCTAGATGAACCTCCAAAGTCGTCTCTGTTGATACATCGATATTCAAGATATTCTGTCTAACCAGATGACTGGATTCTATGTCTAAACTAGTATTATCCGAGCTAAGGAGACAAAGCTGGGGGAAGACGCTCCGCGCTGGCGAGAGCCATTTAGAATTATAAAAAAGGGGGAAGCCTAGTGGGGGATATATATGGATGCCGAACTGTCAAGCAATCAATGCTTGCGAGTGTTTTATGTTTGAATGCAAAGGGAATAAAAAACCGAGTAGAAGAAAAGAAAAAGGGAGGCCAACACGCAAACAAGTAAACGAAATGGCCCCAAAAGAATGGGGAGAGAAATGGATGAAATGCAAAGTGCAACGGAGTGCTGGTATAAAGAAATGATGCTAAAACGGAACCCGAACAACGGGTATGCAGAACAAAAAGAAAGAAGCAGAGCAGGAGGTGTAAAGGATATCGAGGTAATCAGGTATCGGAATATCATAGTATCAGAGTATCGGTAATGAATGGCGTATTTGTCTTTTAGTGGACTGGCTGAGCGAGAGCCTGCGGCGAGTTGTGCGCACTCGGCCCAGATGTCTTCGTCGTAGTAGCTGCGCCGACGAGTGCGCTTCGGACCTCTGCCTTTGCGGAAGGGCGTCACGTTCGGGCTGAGCATCTCCCAGACGGCATCGTCTTCCTCGATGTGAGGAATCGTCCGCGGCGTCATGAAGGCCACGCCGATGCTCGTTGGGCTTGCGGTGCCCCAGCCGCTGTCAACGCGCGGGACATCCGTTTCCAGGGCCAGGCGGCGGTTTCTCGTGGGCGTCTTGGGGGCCTTTGGCGTTTCTACCGTCTGTTAGCAGTGTATCGTCTATCTGATGGGTATATCTGTGGATGGATGTTGTTTTATAGACGGGGTATAGGTATAGGTGTAGATGGTAGATGTAGTGATGTCGATGTTGTACGAAGACTTACTAGGAACTTCAACCTGAGCCTCAACCTCGACCTCAACCTCAGCTTCACCAACTCCAGGCGCAGTTTGGCCGACTTCAGCTTCAGCCTTCTTGGCTGGCTGCACTGCTGGCAGCGCCTCACAGGCCCGGCGGGCTCTGGTTCGTTTCTCTGCGTCGACTTCGGCCGCGATCTGCTCATCGTCGACCTTGTCCAGCCAGGCGTGGATGCGCGCTATAGCCAGGGCATCCTCGTCATCTGGCTCCGGGGCCACAGCAGTCTTCGACTTTGCTGCGCTGCTCTGTGTGTGGCTATAGGTACGGAATTGCGGGATCGGTGCTCTGCCAGTGCGAGGCCGTGGCGCAGAGGCAGACAGGTTCTGGCGGTGCTGGTGGCACTCCTTGAGCGGCTGCTGCTTGGAGCTGGGAGTGGCCGTGGATGGCGGCTCAAACACCCGTCTCAGCGCCGAAGACGCTGGCTCACGCTGGCTCGGAGTCGGAGTCTGCGGCGAGAATGAGGGGATCGGCTTTCGAGCCCGCTTGGGATGTGACCAGGTTCCCCAGCGCTCTGCTAGGTGGATAACTACCAGTCAGCTGCCTGCTGCATATAACATACATATACACCGCATGCACAACACACCACGACCAAACCAAACGGTTGGTCGACTCCATCTCGGCCGTGAAGAAGGACCGGCGGTGTGGGCATGACATGGTTTTGATAGGAAGGGAGGGAAGAAGTTTGGTTCTGTCTGTACCTTTTCCGTTAAGCGCCTGGGAGCCGTTCATGGTTGACTGGGTACGCTTCGGCGCCGTCTGAAGTTTGCTGGACATCGACGGGAGCGCTGGCTCGGGCATGGATGATGAATTTGAATATTGAATTGCTTCGTTCAATGTTCAAAACCAAGCCTATATTCTCGCAGGCCCAGAATAAAATGGAGGTTTGTACATCCGGTTTATTTAGTTATATCAACAACACAACACAAACCGCAAGGCCCGAAACTCCCGACTGGAAGATCTTCCAACGAGAATGATCAACCTTTTGCTTTGAACGATGGCTTCTGAACGGCTTTGAAACGGCTTTTTAACGACGGTATCTATGTATGGATCAAACAAATGATATATTTTTTTTTCGGGGACGCTGGAACGAGGATGGGCCGGACTTTGGGGACGTGCCTGCTACCGGAGCAAGTCACTTCGCTTTTCGCAGCCAGCAAAATATGATATGCAAAAGAAACAACGACTGGAGACAACAATGAGAGCGGAAACGGAAGAGTAAAAAAAAATGAATGTTTGTTCGGCGGTTTTTTGGAGATGGTTCTCTGGTTCGTGGAGATTCAGCAATATTAAAACGAGAGCAAGCCAAAAGGTGATCTAAACAGCAAAGAAAGAGAAGAAGGAGAGAGAGAAAAGGAAAAAAGGAATGGAATGAGTTTGCCTTCGAAGATATACTCAAAAAGGCGTCCCTCAAAGGAGAGGAAGAAAGGAGAAAAAAGACGAAAAAAGAACTGCTGATGGCGGCCCTTTAGTGTCTTAATCCACCACCCAGCTCCCTAGGCAACGGGAGCTTAGTTGCGTATAATGCGCTGATAGTTGGGGCCTGGATGTGTAACAGCTCTGCTACTGTTACTGTCTAGGAAAATATATATACACCGGAGATGATGGTATTCCGGGTTACCAACCAACCTGTCCGGTTTTTTTCATTAATATATTTCGAGTCGAGGTCCCCTTTTTCCGGCTCCCTCGCCCTGTTCACCAACGTCGTCGCTATGGCAGCGTTTCTCGTTGGTCTACCTGGCAACGACCCGACCCCCGGATGATCTTACGCACATAATAATAATAATATGAGAACATGGCCGAGCTTTGAAAGCCCAAGACGAACCGAACCGGTGACCGCCAGGGTTCATGGATGGTTCATCTCTCGTTCTTCCGACTGTTTGAACAGTTCATGAGGAATCGACTCAACGGGATACTTTTGACTGCAAATGCGTTCGACAGCTGCTATTTAAACAACGGCATACTTAGCCTCCCCCTGGTTCGCCTCTTACAGGGTGAGACTGCTTGTTACGATCATGCCCTCGGACGCAGGAAATATATGCAGAAAAGATGTGCACTCTTTGCTTCGGTGGAGTCGGCGTTGGTCCGTATTTGGGCAAACCCTGAAGCATCGAAGCAGTGGAGATCGTCCCCATCCTCGTCTTTCTTCTGTTGCTGCTGCTGCTCGCTACCCTTTCTTTTTTGCACTTTTGCCATTTGATATATATTCCTTTTTCCTTGGGCTTTTTCCATGGCATGGCATGTCGGAACCCAAACTTACAGGACGGCATTTAGATCTCGCATCCCTCGCATTCATCCCATCCACAAATGACCTCAGGCTGTGAACACTTGTTACACTTGCAGAGGAGCGGGCACCCACACCCTCTTCCCACCGCGTGGTGCCGCGGCTTAAACATGGATAGGTGGATGAGGATGGATCGGTGGGTGCTGTTGCCCGTGGGAGGGTTGAATTCGGTGGTGGCATCCCCGTCCTTGCCCGTCCTCAGCCCTGGTCTACTGCTGTTTCAGAACTAAATTAGGTCTTTTTGACGATATCGATGCCCTGAGGAGACTTGAGACGCCCTAGGACCTAACCCAGGGAATCCAGGTAAAGGCCGGCTAACATGGCTAACATGGTTATGGGCAATCATTTTCCCCTTCAAACCGACCGCTCGCTTCAGAAGAGTTCTTCTTCTCTCTTCTCTTTCTCCCGTTCTCTTCATTCTTAACCCCCTCATCCTCTGCTTGAGATAGATTCTCTTCTCCTCTTTCAACTGCTCAGCTTTCTTTCTCTGTCTTCTAGTTACGGGCCAGCGGCTCTTCCGGAGATTCGGGATATTGTCTTGTTAGCGGATATCAACCTGCGGTTGACTTGCTTGACTGGCTGGCCTGCTCGCGCTGGCAGGGCAACTCGAAATTTCGTTATTCTTGACCCTTCGCTCCTTCATCACCGGAGCCAATCTTGCTGATATCCTGGTCGCTATCCAGCTACTTTATTATTACTTTGCTTACCTCTCCATTGGAGATTAGGGTACGGAGTATAGTTGTCTGGCCTGTGGCCGGTATCCAACAACCCCCACCGCTCCAGAAAAATAGCTACGATCTAAGTCAACACAGATTATTTTCTTATACACCCAAAGGAAGACCCCCCGGTTCACTGCTTGCCGACCCATAGCCAGAGATCTAACAATTGGCCATGGCTGATGACAATCGAGCCGACGATGTTGGCAGAAAGGGCTCTGTCCGTAGAGCTAGAGAGAAGGCCCGGCAGCAAATGGAAGAGGAGCATGAGATGGTAGGAAGGAGTCTCTCGGGCAACGGCAGACGGCCTCCTCCTGTTGCTACGGGTAGCCAGCAGAGCCATGGAGCCAAACGGTCTGTCGTCCAGGATCCTGCAGCCATGACCCGGCCGCGCAGGAACACCAATCCCTATGCTAAGGAGATGGCAGAGGCGCAGGCGCAGGCACAAGCGGCTTTGCAGCGGGCTGCGCGCCAGCCCAGTGCCGTTGATACCTTTCTTAACGACTCCCGAGGCAGACGGTATCCTCCATCGAATCCTTACCACGGTACTACTTCTGGTACTTCCTCACCCCAGCAGCCATCTTATTCTCACGGCTCAGACTACAACACCACAGCTCTTCCAGTTCCATCTAACGACCACTCTCATCATGGCCAGCTCCTTGCTCATCCAGCTCCTGCTCGACGGTCCAACACCAACCCATCTCAAGGAAGCCGCCGTGACCCGCAAGCAAATTTCTACCCAATGGGATCGTCTGTTTCCCCAATTCCAGAAGAATTTCCATCTCCTGTCCAGAGGAATGTCAAATCCTTCGCGTCGAGCAAAGTGATTCCATCCAGTTGGGGCTCAGCTCCGTTTGAAACTGTCGATCTTAAGTACGAGGAAATGCCTGAAACAGGCCATGGTACTGACGGCGGGTCCTCAGCTTACAACGAAGACGAGATGGCGCAGGCTCTCAAGGCTAAGTCGGCTCTTCGCACGAGAATGAAAGGCAACCTTGAGCCGCCAGCCGGTTCTCGACCTACCTCCAGCCTTGCGAGACAGATCAGCCTGGGAAAGACAGGCACAGGCGAGCTGCGGACGATTAACATTACCAGAAACGATCCACCTTCGATGCACAACCGTACCATGAGTGAAAGATCTATTGGTGTTCCATCGGAGGCTGGCAGCGTCACCTCAAGTGGCACAATTGGCATAGCCATCAACCCGTCTCTGCGTGCAAACATTCCCGACCACCACATACCGCCATCGTTCCACAACCCTAGCGGCCAGCTACGGCCAAGCCGGCTGCGCGCAAACTCTCACTCTTCTGTCGAGTCGATTGATGATCAAGAGGAACCTGAAGGCGACGAAGTGCCCATAATACACAAACAGTCTACTAATGACTCCGAGTTCAGAGACGTTGAGCTCGGCGGCTCACGCTCACTTGGACGCAGAGTTTCGCAGTTTAGCGACCTAGCACCTCCTGGCCTGAACCTTGAAGCGAAAGAGAAAGAGGTCCGAAGCAGTCTGACCAGCTTGCCAGATCTAATCCGCCGGGCGACTAAGTTGGCATCAAACCTCGACCGCGGCAAGACAGCCAGCAAAGCTCCAGCGGGTGTCTTTGAAATGAAGAGTGCAAATCCTGAAAGCAAGAATAAAGACCGTGTATACTCTGGTTCGATCGCTGATATGCTCGATTCGTTCCCTCCACCAGGCGTCCAGACTCCCGGCCCCAACTCTGGTCATCCTGGCGATGACTCCAAGGGCAAGAGTAACGAGGTTGACGTTCCTCAGACCAGACGCCGGTTCTGCGGTTTGCCTGCACCAGCTCTCATTGTCTTCTGCATCGGACTCGTTCTCTTGTTTGCTGGTATAATCACCATTCCACTTGCGGTTGCTGGCAAACCACGCAACCATTCGCCTACCCCCGAAACCAGCTGCGAGCTCCAGGCCCCTTGCAAGAATGGAGGTATGAGCATCGGCACTCCAGGCACCTGCAGCTGTGTCTGCCCTGAGGGCTACAGAGGCAGTACTTGCGGCGTTCTTACCGACCGAGACTGTGTTATCGCCGACCTGAAAGATAACCGCAAGCTTCGTCACGATGCCATCGTTGGCAGCGCAATTCCAAGACTCCTCCAGAACTCCCTCGAGAGCTTCGAAATACCGCTTGACGTTGCAAAAATAATCCACCTCTTTGAAACTGAGAATGTTGCTTGCACCACGGAAAATGCCCTGGTTACCTTCAACGGTCGAAACCAAAAGAGAGGACTCCCTATGCCCAAGGATCCCGCCAAGGATGCCATGACGCTTGAATATGTACTCCCAGCTCGCCGCCGTGCTGTAAAGGCTAATGTTGCTGGCCGGGCTCCGCAGGGCCTTATTCCAACCACTACTGCCACGATTCATACAACACCCACTCGCAGGCCTACCAGGACACCATCGCCTACGACTACCGGCACATCTTCTCCCACTGGTACTGCGACAACTACACGCAGCTCATCTAGATCTACTTCGCCTCCTACTTCTACTCGTACTTCAACCTCAACAACCTCTACTCCCACCTCTCCGCCAACAACCGTCAACCCATCCCAGAACATGCTGGACTTCGCTCGGATAGCAATCCTTTACATCTTCGAGAAGACTGAGCTATTCAGCGCTGCCGATGCAGCTCACAACGCTATCCAAGATGCACTCCGACGTCCCGTTGGGTCAGAAAACGGTATTCTCGCTTTCAAGCCGGTTCAGCTCGAATACGGCACCGACACGTTCATTTTGAGTTTTGATACCCTCTCCATCACGTTCTTCGAGAGAGGGGCACAAGGAGTTGTTGTTGGCGGCAAAAATGCAAATCACGATTAGACGGTCCGGGTCCAGGTGACGGTGGCTGTATTTATTGCTGCATTGATGTAGCTTGCCTTTCAAGAACTTGCGGGCTGGGCTCTAGCTTCTTTATTCTTTTCTCTTATATCTCCATCTTTCGCCTGACCAAAGATACCAAAAATTCCCCTTCGGTAAATCTCTTTTGACTCTATTATTTCTTCGTCATTACGGAACCTTCTCCCCCTTTTGGCTGCTCATAATTCTTTCTCATATACCGCTCCTTGATCTTGTTTACGCTCTAGATATTGACTACCCTTTTTAACTGCCGACTTCTTTGTTACAACCTTCTTTCTCTGTGCATCCTGCATATAATACCAACTGTATATAGCCACTGCGCCATATCTATGCATATACACACTTCTTCCATAAATTAATTGAAAAGATAGATCATTTCATTATTTCTTGTCCGTTTCATGTATTGCAATTCTCCGGGATGAAGCCTTATACATATTCAGCATTGTGAAGGGATTGCTCGTATACTGCCACACGTTTCCTGATGGTTTGATACATATCTATTCCTGGCTTATGCATCAGGGGGTTTCTTTTCATCTTACTCCGTAAACAGTCTGCAAAAGATGATCTCCCACTTTGTGCTTGGTGGGCGTTCATCTCCGCCTGTGCCCGTACCCTGTCGCCCAGAACTAAATATATACGAGTCAGAGCCGACAGGGGGTATGAGATCTTGATTCCATCGTAGCCGAGTCATGGAAAGGGGTATCTCGCTATGTATTCTCCCGACATGTATGGCAGATACCCTAGGGCAGTAAGAATGTATTATGACAGGCATATGCGCCAAACATTATATTATAGGTAGATCGTTCATATGTACATACAATCAAAAACTCCAAACTACCCCGAGACAATATATCATATCATACAGAACCTGCCATGCATGCATACCTAATGCTTAGCCAAAATACATCCTCTCCCCAGAAGTAAGAGCAGGAAGCCCATCGTCCCCGATGAGACGCTGGATTCGCTTTGCACGGTCATCCAGTATCATCTCCTCCGCCTCCCATCGGCGCCGCTGTACTTGCTTCTCAGCAACTTTCCTTGGCCCACGGCCAAACCAGTAATTGTTAGCTTCGTCCATGGCCTTGAGCTCCTCATCTTCAGCCTTGACCACCAGGGCGCGGATCATCTGCCTCCAGTTCTTCAAGCCGGACCGGAGGCAGTGCTGGCATTGTTCTTCTGTAGATTGATACTGCATTCCGTGACTCGGTGATGCTGCTAGACGTTTCTGTTCTTGCTTTTCGTCAAGTTGAAGAAGGGATATCTCGGCCTGGTCAACGGCATCCCGGGTCCATGATAGGCCGGCCTCCTGAGACGAAGAAGCGTAGATAATCTCACCGATATATACCATCAAACCTGCTTCTTCACAGACAGCTGACTGGGAGCGCATGGGAGGTTCATTTCCTGTCCGTACTGGAATTGGATATGGCGGTGGGGAGATAGCCGAGGTGATGGCGGTCAGTATATCATCTTTCTTCGTCTTTGGCCTATTCGGCGTTGAGTTGATAACCTTTGGGAGTGAGTCTTCGGATGCTGTCACATTGCGTCGGCACTTAAGCACGGAAAGGAAAACGGCCAGAGCCGATGATAAATCACCGACGCGTGCTTGATGAACTCCCATTGCCTTTGAAGTTCGAAGTAGATTCTCTGTCACATGCTTATCCCCCCCGTCTTTTATGATGCCAGTCTTCATATCCACGACTTTTTGGGGGTCAACATTGAGACCTTCGACAGCAATATCCATGGCCCAACGGTAGACTTCGCCAGCAGTGTCCTTCAGCCCCTTATAATCAAGCCAGTCAGCGTACGCAAGGGCAGCATCGAGTTTCTGATTGGTTTGGAATCCCTTGGTGGTCAAAATCTTCATATAAAAAACCGATGGACTTTGATATGCTGGTACACAGTTCTCCTCAAGCGGAGCAATTGAGCCTTTGGGTCCCTCTTTTGGTCGTGGATTTGATGGGCCTATAACGTATTCCGGCGGAGAGGCAACGTGTGTTACCGTATCTTCTAGCCACCCATCAAGTTTCTCTGCCGTCTCAGCGGCTCCCATCAGACAGTCAAAGTAGCCCTTCTTCCAAGGCTCGCTCATCCCGTCTATGTCATATCCTGCCCTGCCTACTTCATCAATAAGAATGGCCTCCCCTTCTCCTGCATTAATAATCTGCTCTTTCAATCCTTTGCCATCAATTTCAGGATCCTCTAATCGAGTTAACAGCTCTCTGTAGTAACTTCCAACCCCAGGCCAGCTGGTAGCCACCCGTCCCATTTTCTCAGGGGACTGCAGAGCCTTTGCAGTCCGTAGATACCATCTGCTCTTCCAGGACCACTCGGGAGGTGTGGGGAACATCCGCTCTATAGTTTCTTGGTAGAGACCCTGTTGCGCAATGTATAGGAGTAGAATAACCGCGTAAACTGTCAAACCAATCTTTATGCCATTGGTAATCCTCCTTCGCCGTTCGGTACTTATCAATCGCGTTACATGACGACCAAGAGTCACCGCATTCAGTGCTCTGCCAGGGAATAGAAGGTGTCTGGAGGCTGAGGAGGTATAAAGGAACGGGAGCTGCGGTCTGTTCGCGGGCGTGGTGATGAGAAGCAGTTGTGAGTTGCTGGTAAATGGGCGCGGATTGAAGAAGCGAGTAATGGTATTTGGAGGCCGAAGCCTTATTAAGCGCGGTATCCGCTGTGTGCTTAGCCGTGAAGACAGCATCTTGCGCTCTCTCGCCTCTTCTGCTGGCTTTTTTTTTGGTCGATAGCACCATGAGAATTTCTGATGTAAAGTCGGAAAAAGAGAAGTTGAGCTGTGTTTGTCTTGTTTGCATCGCGTCCTTATTTCAACGTCTTAACTTCAACTTCACATCTTCCACTCCAGACATTCTACAGCTTTTCGGCCGCTCAGAAAGATAGCCGGCAGATAATATTTTGATAATACGCCTGTTAAATTTCATGAGAAGTTGGTGCTTTAGTGAATCTCAGAGATACCTCCAACAATATTGGTACAATTATGTCAGAATGGTGCGATGAATACCGAGAACTACAAGATACCTAGGTACCTAAAGAGGCATATAGTCGACAACCAAGACTTGATAAAAATCCGCTGGAATCAAAAATATACCCTCATTAAGACTTCTCTTGAGTGTTGGTAATGCCTTCTTACCTCAAAAACACGGATCTCAGTCGCCCCGAGCTAAGTAACCATGCAAATCATATGGTCATTGAAGACACCGTATGTACTTTTATAAACGGGGATAAAAAGAGCCTGACGACCTGATAATATGGTCCTATTGTGCCCATACTTGCCATCCTACCATTATCCAATTCACCGCCTCCATTTTCTCCAACTCCAGCCAAGCGGCGCTCCACACGAGGGCTTTATCTAGCCCTGTGCATAACAAAATATCGCCATATCTTGTTCACTGGCTAGTAGGAATATTGTGACATATGACATAGTTGATTGAGGCTAATTGGTAGAGCCAATCAACACTGAGGTACTGCACTACTACTCATATATTGCTATCCGACAGCTTACATCGAATTAGAACTCGCTGTGTCATTTATATTCCCTTTACCATTCCCATCTCAGCGAAAAAACATTGTCTCCTCAAGGCTCTTACTCTTTAAAGCCATATAAATGGAAGAAAGCAGCCATTACTGTGTGACATGAACTACATGCCTCGGCCATTAAAGAGTACTGTTCGAACTACCACCGGTTTGCAATAATATAACTGTATGTACCTTACCATTATCTCGTATACTGAGTACTTTACTAATGTTGACTCGCAGAAAACACAAATTGCTCTAGCCTTTCTATTTCTTCAATCCTCGGCTTCGCTGGTTGGAGGGTTTTCTAAATGATCGTTAATTGAGACTGGCATTTAAATGACTATCGTCCGACTTCTCTCTAAAGGAAGGGGAGAAAGGCAGCGTAAACTGGTCTCAACAGAATCCTCCAGCTGTCAATAACCTATCTCAACCAACTTTGCACGATAATTCTGTCCGGCCAAGCATTTGGTAACATGGACAGATACCATCGCCTCGAAAACAACAAATAAAACACGCATTGATACATGCCTTGAGGGTCCCCTCTCATTTTTTCATTTCGAGTCAGAATAAGCTATGAAAAATCTAAACTTCACAAATACATGATTCCAAATATCTCAAACAGTGGGAACCCAAGCCATTTTTCCGCAAGTGCCCACAGGGGGCGTCGGCTTTGTATATATTTACAAATAAGCAGCAACAGTTTCAAAGGAATCATGCAAAATACCAACCTAAGACAACTTTGTTTTGCACCACTATGATTCACCTTGGAAACCTGATACAAAAGGCCCCAACGGAACCGGGCGATCAAACGCTGTCAAGGCCATGATGATCTAGAACGATTAATGCGAAACGCCCTCGCCTGCAAGTAACAGTTCCTCTGGAAGGCGGAGATCGCCACTCAGAACCTAACCACATCCATGGAAGAAGGCTGCCAGGCCAGGGGCTACCTAGCTCGAGATATATTGACGTCTGATACGTCAGTTCGCAGCTGGACGTCGTGATCACAAAAAGGCCCGAGTGTTCTCATGCATAGGCCCGACCCTTGAAAGTCTCATTGCGCCTTTCTGGGCCAGGGAAAGTTTAGCTTCCTTCCCGGCCGAAGCAAGGTCGATAAGGTCAGTCGGTCGGTCGGTCGGTCGGTCGAGCGGGCAAGGGCTTCACGTTTAACCGTGCAGCTAACTAAGGCCGACTAAGGCCGGGATTCATTTTGTCTGAGATATATACAGCAATGGCGGAATATTTTGGAGGTAGGGGTGCTAAACAAGCCTTTATGTACGGGCGAGATACCGATCAGCAGGGGAAATCTATGCTTGTGTGAAAGATGAATAATTACGGGATTTGTAGAAAGAAGCTTGGAGTAACAAGATGATGATCATGCTGGGAAGGCGCTGCTTTATGAAATTATTTCTGCTGATATGCAATATTGCACTTATGCAGCTGTATAAACGTTACACACCATCGGGGGGAACTTCTTTGAAATTCAAGAAAAAGCCCATCATAGCTTATCAAGTCAAAGTAGTCCAAGGGACCAGATTTGAATAAAATAATACGTTTAAGACGAACTATAGATTTTCAGAGACTATCATAACAAAAATTGACCTAAAGGTGTCTGTCTTAAGACAACAAGATTACTACGAAGGAGGATAAATATGTAAAAGTAATGGTTTCTCATTCAAACTATTTTTTAAGCAAGTCTATCATAAGAAAAATAGGAGTCCAACAAATGAAAAAGTAACACTAGGAAATCAAACACCACACCGCAATTGCCATCACGTATGTCAATTCACATCAAAATGTCATATTGTACGACATCAAAGCCCCAGGCAATACTAAAGTTATGTGTACATTCTTTGGGTTTCAATAGGTATATGTAGAGGGAATAGGCGGGCAACGGATACTAGCTCCGTTGGAGGAGGAAAGGGAAGGAAAAAGGAAGTCTATAGCGGTGTTTAGAGGGATATAAGGGGTGGAGGAAGAAGAGAAATAGGTCGAAAAGGATTAGGGCTAGAGAGATACATTTAAGATCTCTCGAGGTAGCCCTGGGACTCGAGCATGAGAATGATCTCGTGGACAATGGAACGGACGGACTGCTTCTCAATGTCGACGGTGAGATCGGCGTTGGTGGGAGCCTCATATGGGTCGTCGACACCGGTGAAGCCCTGGATCTCACCACGGCGAGCACGGGCATAGACACCACGCTTGTCAGTCTTCTCGGCATACTCGAGGGAGGTGGCAACGTGGATGAGGAAGAAGGTGCCCTTGCTGGAGATGGTAGTGCGGGCAGCATCACGGGAGTGAGCATAGGGAGCAATGGGGGCAGCAATGACGGCAGCACCGGCCTTGGTGAGCTCGGAGGCAACGAAGGCAATACGCTGAATGTTCTTGTCACGGTCTTCACGGGAGAATCCGAGCTCAGAGGAGAGTTCGTGACGGACAGTGTCTCCGAGAAGGAGAGAGACTGGGCGACCTCCCTGCTGGTTGAGGGTAACCTGGAGGGCACGGGCGATAGCGGCCTTTCCAGAGTTGAGGTAACCAGTGAGGAAGACGGTGAAGCCCTGCTTGGCACGAGGAGGGTTGGAGTCACGGAGGACCTTAACAACCTCGGGGTATGAGAACCATTCGGGGATAGTGGCACCGGTACGGAGACGCTTGCGGAGCTCAGTTCCGGAGATGTTGAGAGTCTTGGTACCCTCTGGAACCTGGTCATGTGGACGGTACTCATCAGAGTCGGGGAGGTAGGTAAGCATCTGGAACTCAACGACCTCGATACCGAGCTCATCACGGTACTTCTCAACGAGGTGCTGGGCGTCGTATGGGCCGTACATTTCCTGACCAGCAGAGTTCTTTCCTGGACCAGCGTGGTCACGGCCAACAATGAAGTGAGTGCATCCGTGGTTCTTACGAATGATAGCGTGCCAGAGAGCCTCACGAGGACCACCCATTCTCATGGCAAGGGGCAAGAGACCGAGAGCGGCCATGCCGTTGGGATAACGGGGAAGAAGAGCCTCATAGACACGGACACGGGTGAAGTGATCAATGTCACCAGGCTTGGTAAGACCGACAGTTGGGTGAATGAGAACGTTGGCCTGGCGGGCACGAGCAGCGCGGACAGTCAGCTCACGGTGAGCTCTGTGCATGGGGTTACGGGTCTGGAAGGCGACAACCTTGGTCCAGCCAAGCTTGTCGAAATGAGCGCGGAGCTCAGCAGGAGTGACTTCATCATAATTAGCTTATGTTGCTGCGGGACGTTGGCGGTTAGAATGGTAATGCTTACATCGAAGACCGACATAATCGTAGTGGTTGAGTTTGTTGACGGCCTCAAGCTTACCACCGACGTAGAAGTTCTTGGTGGTGTTGTTGAGGTAGATGATAGCAGGGTGCTCTGGGTCTCCACCGAAGACAAGTTCACCTTCCTTCGTCCTGTTGGCAGGGGTTAGCAGGGATCTAATATCAGATCTACTGATAAGACGATGGGGTGTTTCAAAGCTTACTTGTCAGGCTGGTAGACGTCCTCGACGGTGATGATGGCAAGGTTGTTCTCATCACGGAAGTCACGGAGAGTGATACGAGCACCAGGCTTGATACCCATCTCCTCGATGTTCTCCTTAGTGACGTCGAGGTTGATTGGCATGGGGAAGAGGTTGCCGTCAGTGAGACGGGACTCAGCGCAAACACTTAACTTTCAGTCAGTACATTATACACTGTAGCATATTCTCGTTTCGAATTGCAATACATACCCATTGTAATCCTTCTCGTTCATGAAGCCCTCCAGGGGAGAGAAGCCACCGTTGAGGATGAGCTCAAGATCACAGATCTGACGCTCAGTAAGGGTGAGGGCAGGCAGGGTTTCGGCTTCAGCAGCGAGCTCAGCATGGCGGGGGAGATCTCTGGCGAAGAGGTCCTTAAGGACACCACCATGAGGAGGGTTAGACATGATGAATGGAGGAGATTAGAGGATTTTTCGGAGAGAGAAATTATAAAAAGAGGATGTATGAGGAGGAGCGGAGAGTAGATGAGGATGATTGCTGAAGGACGAGGTGATGCTGAGTGGAAGAAGAAGAGAAAAGATCGAGGAAGAGGCGGAGGATGAGGCCGTATTTATGAAGCCAGGACGAGGAGGTCGAAGAGGCCAGCAAGATGCCACAGAGCGGAGGGAGCAGCAGAGCCATGCCGGAGATGGAGTAGGGAGCCAAATGTAAAACGCTGGTAGCCGGGCCCTGGCGATCCACTGTGTAGCCGGTACTTCGTTGTATAGCCACGCATAGCCCAAATGGGAAGTCACTAGTACATCAGATATCTCCCTGACGTCAAGGGCTTAACGCCCCCCGATAAAATGAGGACACTTGCCCCTTAGGTCAGCCATTGATGGCGTGCTTCAACAGGTCTTGGCGAGGCCTTTTTCTGCCGTTTCATGCTCACCGAGCCGTCGTTCTATCGTGCTCACGGGGTCCTCTGGCGCAAACTACCAGTATCAACACGGAGATTTTTGCTTCTAAACCAACGATATCAAACACCGGTTTGCCATAGCTGTGGTGCTTTGGCTGTGTCAATGATCTGGCTAGCTAGGAGGTCGAGCATTAACGGAAGCGGGGGTGAGGGCTGTCTCGATCGGGATCAAGATGCAGCCATGCAGTATCAGAGTTGACAGCCTTAGTATCAACCATCTGCTAGGGGTTACCAGTTTCAAAACCTCTGGTTCTGGATCGTATTCGAGCCTCTTTGATTATTCAGATATTCAGGCCCCTAGCTTGCATATCTTTTTTCGTTCCCACACACCCCTCCCTTCCCGAACGAACTAGCTCGGTATGCATCCAGCCCTGTCTATACTGCCATCCTCTTCGCTTCGCTCAACGGCGGCTGGACAGATCCCCGTTTTCTTATCCTACTGCTCTTTCTGGGCTGCGTGCATCCATCGGGCCGACGTCCCAGTTCACATTGGTAGTGAGTCGCCGTATCTGATACACTTCTCTTGCTGCCTGTTTCGGCACAAGGATTGGTTGGGGTACGATACTGCATTTTGCTCCCGGTGGATATTCCCTATACTTAGTACATGGCTAAAGTGGATAACCCCAAGTTATACTCTGTTGAGATTAATTTGCGTTTCATCTGCAGTGTGCTGCCTTTGCTCAGGCGGTTTCTTTACTAGGCACATCGGCATTCTCGTCGAGGAGCTCCGTAGCTTCCGTGCAATATTAAGAGCCCCTGCTCATGCTCAGATTAACTGGCTGTACTCGGCCCGGATCGTGGAACACGGCGAGATCCTCCTTGTTTCTTCTTTTACTTGACCTTCGTTTCTTTTTTTGTAGCTTTCTTTGCTTTTTCATGATTTGCCTTTCCACCCCTTGCTCCCTTGTCATTGCTTTTTTTGATGGGCTTCCTGATGCGCGAACCAGTGGCGGTCGGGATGTCAACTAAGTCGTGCAAATCATTCTCGGATGAACTAGTTGACCATCGGGATCCGCCTGTTACGTGCAGAACACTTAGAGCTTCTAGAGAAGAGGCGGTCCTCGTTTCGTAGACCAGACTCCGTATATCAGTTGCACGCTTATTGGACCGAGCCGATCTGGTCTCTAGTTTCTCCATGCTGGTGTCTTATCGTGAGGCATCCTGCAACCAACATGGATACGAGCAAGTTGCAAACGGGTTGTCCCCTGCTGGAAGGCCACCGTAGCTCGTGTTTCATACGGGTCTACCGTGCTCTTGCAAGCTGGTTCTTGGCTTATCTGCTCAAGACAGGCTCTATCCTCGTAAGCCGACACAGATCGATACGATGCCGTCTTTAAGGACAGGGGTGATCTGTGTCTTCGATTTGATATCGTATCGAACAGTCCACTTTCTCCACAAGGCAAGAGAGGATGTTACATCATCAGTTGAGCTCCTTGCAGGCAATTGAACCAGTAGATTCGGCCTTTGATGTGCCATTGACGTTGATGAGAGGTGATATCTAGCTTCTAGATGGGTGAACTGCATCTAAAGCGTCACTATCGGTGAGAATCTTCCACCAGAGACATCTCAGACCACCGGAAGAGCTTCCACTTGGTCGAATAAACCATCCACCGAACCCCGCAATCCAGCAATGACGCTGCCTGCAGCTCCAAGAGACCAATTGAGATCGAGGCCACGCTCAAATTCTCCATACCATCTAGTTGTCAAGCCGCCGAAATGGTCCAGATTGACTGGATAACAGCGGCGAGCAGAGGTTGCGGTGAGAATTTGGCAGGTAACTAAGGCGAAGTACGGCGGCTAGCCGGCCAACTTTTGCTTCGATTCGCCTCCTGGTGGATGCTGAGTAGGAAGGCCTGAACACCTTAAGAGCAACAATTGCGGAGAGATCTTCCAGCTTGTCTTTGGAGGTCGGTAGTTATCGTGGCTTGTAAGTGAGGATTTGCGGTGTGGTTGAAGTTGGACGTTGACCTAACAGCAGAAAGTCGCTTAATCAGGATATCCAGACGTCAAGCCAACAAACAACCAAGACGCCAACATGAACAGTTGCGAGAAACATCCAGCCAATCGCTTTGACTTGCGAGACGAAGTCAAGGATTCGTAATGTTGCAGCAGCAAACGAAATGATGAGATACAGAAAAAGCACTTTTCAGCCTTCTTCGTCAGTGTTTAGTTACCCGATGCAGGCATCTTAGCGACAGGACGCATTGCAAGAGTCAACAGCTCGGATTCTTTTTAAAGTCGACGAGAACAAGAGGTGCAGAAGAAGACCAGACATGGGCCAGAGCTATTTGCAGTTCTCCTCGTTCTAACGTCCTGGCTGTGTTTTCTGTCAGCTGGAGATTCGCATCTTGACTGGTACCCGGACATTATCCACAAACGGGCTACGTATCCTCAGCCCTGCTCAGCCTCCCGCAAGTCAGCTCCAGGCAGTGGTATTTATTTCATTTTGCATTTTCCTTTGCTACTGGCAAATCGACGGTGACGACGTGTCGAGCTCGAGGAAATATCCTAAACCGGCGGATTCGCGGCACGCGATGGCATCTTTGCAGCTCTTGGGTGGATAGGCATACTTTTGGTTACTCCGTAGGAAGGAAAACGGGTTCGGCTGGAGACACAACTTGGGGTTCGGCTCCTCCAGGTTAGATCTCAAGCCTGATCTCTTGGGAAGCCTTGTCTTTGTCTTCCTTTTGCAGGCAGCCGAGGAGCATTGAAGGAGGCTGATATCTCAGTCAGGGGACCGCTCTATAGAGCAGACAGCATGGCGTTGACATGAGTGAAGAGGAGAAGTACTTCTTATCAAGTACCTCTACCTACCACTGCCCTTTGGACGCAATACATACGATCATGTTTACATATTAGCAAATACTCAAATCTACCAATCTACAGTACGTCATACATCAGCTTTGATAGACGCCAAAATGTCAGATTCAACGTCATATCAGCCTCGAGATCACCAGATCTCTCCGATTACGGACCGAATATATCTGATTAACAGGGTATGGGCATCATTCGGCTGTTGTGCATGGGCATCTGTGTCAGCATCAGCATGTACATACATTATAACATTCTTCGAGAGGATCCAACCCCGCCACTAGATCCTTGAGAACGCCTTTACCACGTTAGAACGCCACGATATGCTACATGCTGTCATATCAGCAAGGAACAGCGCATGGCCACGCATAAAAGGCTAGATAGGAAGAAACTATGTCGGTCCATCACGCCCAAATGATGCCTGCTAACTAGATAAGGGAACGTGCAAAATACCCGTCACCCCCTATGTCTAACATGAAGCACCGTTCGAACACTATAGAACACTTGCCGAAGCATTCGGGTATGGTAAGCTTCGGCGATCACCTGGGGTTCATCATGGACCTTTTCCAACAAGGGTCATCCGTGACCGAAAGGAGGAGGAGGAGGGGGGGTTTAAGGGTGGGCATCAGGGTATACATATTGGGGGGAGAGATGTGCGTTCGGGTTTAGGCATGGAGTCGATCATATATGCTGTCGGATATCACGAGAACTGGTGAACCGAGCCAAGCAAGGGGGTTGTCAGGGTCAGGGTTGGAACAATATTGTGATGTATGCATGCAGTTATACATATACCCTTGAAAAGGAAGGTATTGATAGTCCTCAGTGCATATTTCATATATATGTACGGACGGAGAAGACAGCGTTCTTGCGGCGTGCCGGCCGTTTAACGGCAAAGACAGCCAGAAAGGTTTGCTAGGAACAGGCAGCTTGAACCCGACCAAAACCTGGATTGAGCCAGTACTTGAACCAGACTATATTGAACCAGACTGAACCTGACATGAACCTGGGGAACCCTGACGGGGCCAGAGATAAAGAGCGCCAAGGTCCGAACGGAGTTCAGAAATGACTGCTCAAATCTGGCTTGTCTGATGCTTTGATAAAATCGAGCCGGGTTCAATCAAGTCAACAGATAGTCGAGATCCTCTCGATAGGAATCGAAGGCAAAAAGCACGGTCCATGAATCATATACTTATTTCAACCCCGTACTACGGAGACTCTGTTCCAGCAAGCTTCTGTGGAGAGTAAGATGTAAGATGGAGAGGGCGGGTGCTACTAAATTGATTTGGGCATGGCAGCAGTATAACGGGGCCCTTAAGTTTCAGAGCAAGATGGCAAAAACGGGGGGCTTAAGTACCTTGGCTGGCGATCAATGAGCCTCAGGTTTCATTCTAAGTGGGAGCTCCATGTCCAGAGTTGATTATATTTTTATGGACCTGTGGATGCGGATAGCCGTTAACCAAAGTCAAGGGCAGGAGATTCCCCGAAGGTATCCTGATAGCCATCTTGGCGTGACGCAGCAGGGAGAAGCAGGCAGAGAGAGAGGCAGAGACAGTGGTGATAACTAATGAGCCTGATGAGAAGATGATCTGTCATTGTATATCATCCGCTCATTATTGCCCTTTGCCACACACGCCGCCTGTCTGCATATGTATGGAACAATTTGGGCCCCCCATCTCGCTTCATTTTCCTCTCTTTTCACCGAGTTTAACTAACCTTGATGACGGTGAGAACTCTGATAACGGACACAGCGATAACGTCGCAGTTGCATATTCATAAACCAAATATGTAAGAAAAACCATTCAATAAGTGGCTGAACAACCCCTTATCCCTGGCAACAGCGTGCAAGGTCAAAAAAGAGTGTTTAAAAAACCGAAAGTAAGCGGCAAGACTTCTAACTTCATCAAGAAGGTCAGCGCTAATCAGATAACAATCTTCCAGGTTGAGAAAGTGAAAATATCAATATATTCAGGTCATGCTTCAGCGCTTTAGGGGGTGAATTTTGCAGAGAAGACGGGAGTGGACCAGGAGAATGCATCGGAAGACCCACGGCCTGAGAAGCAGGCAAGCCTGGTCAAACCTGGAGTGAGTTTGCGAGGAAGTATAAGTAAGTTAGGTATAAGATTGATGAGAACAGAGATTAAAATGCATCTGGCGGTTCTTGAGAGTAGTATCGATATTTGTCCGGGGTTCACGAGCGAGGAGCATGAACATGGGATCGGAAGCTTCGGTCGGCATGCCATATACGGGGCAAGGAGTATGTATACGGGAGTATGGAGGAGGGGAAAGGAAAGGGGGTTTGGAATACGGTATGAGCGGGTTCGCTGGGGGTTGTACGGAGTACCGTTTCTCCCTCCATGAACCACGGGAAGATGGAAGACAGCCCACGGGACAGAGGCAAGAGGGACCTCCCGATATCTGGTACATAGCCGGTGTATCCGTCGACTGAAACCTATCACGTCCCGGGTGAAAGCATATGTATCTCCCGTAACTACATATGTAGCGAATATATAGCACTTCATGATAGTGAGAAAGAGGAGAATAATGAGAGTCGGAGGTTAAGTAAGTGTCAGATATGAGGATCATCGAGAAGAAGATCATCGGGAAGAGCTAATCTCCGCACGCTCCAAGGGTCGGCGCATCAGCGATCTTCGTCCATGGCTGGAAATGGAGAGCAGAGAGACAAGGGAGAGGCCTTCTGGAAAAGTTCGACTAGTTCGACTTATGTTCACGTTGGCCCTGCAGGCTCGTGTTTCGCCTGTTTCGATGATGGGCAAGGAGGCCCCAGAATAGTGGAATATAGGACATGGGTCATGGATTGGCGACAGCCTGGGCGTTGACATACAAAGCAAGCCGACGGCTAGCGTAGTGAGGCCACGAGAAAGAGTTGAAAAAAAGAAGGGAGGCCACTGGTGAGCATGCAGGTTCATCAAGGTTAGAGATGCAGACAGGTGGACGATCATCCGAGACTAAGCATTGCCACAGAGTCAGCATGGTCAAGCACCGTCTAGTACGACCAGCATAGCCCGACATGCTCGTATTGTTCGTTATTATAGACAGGTGGTCCAGGTCGAGGTTCGAGATGGCTCTTCAGGAGGTTGTCCGGAGTGTCGTTTGAAGGAAGTCTGATATCCACCGGAAGGATTACGAAGATTAGTTCGTGTCGATATATCGAGCTCCCTGCCAGGCGCAGGTGAAACGAACCGTCTCTTCGTCCTCTTCGTCTGCGTCTCCCTCCAGCTTACAACCTGGTTCGGTGGAGATTGAAACGAGTAATTGTTGAAACTTCTGTTCCATCTCCAAGACAGTCGGGCCCGTAGAGGCTCCATGTCCACCATGCCCACCGGCTCTCCATCTTGGTTCCATGTCTGTCTTCCCCCCTGCCACGCGGGGTGCAGGAAGGAAGAAAGGAACGCAGAATCGCTGCCCAGAGATAATCGTCTTGTCTTGCCTCGAGTGAAGCCGTAGTTGTGATTGCTGGGCCCCGTTATCTATGCAACGCTCGATGGAATCATCATCAGGCCGAATATAAATACCAAGCGAACACGCAGGTTAAGCATCCGCCCAGCCAGGCAGCATGTCCGTTCATCGGTCCGTCCTCGCTCAGCTGCGTCGCTCGCTGCCAGCATGTGTGTCTCCATATGTGAGCGAGAAGGGAGGCCGAAGATTGCGGTCCGCAAGGGATGCCGAGTCACTTGCAAAAATCGCCCTATAACTAATCCAAGATGCAAAAACAAGCCAGCGGTGGTAGCAAGTTTCTTTGCAGGCCAAGCTCTGGGCGCATCAGGCACGGAAGACAGGGTGCTTTTTGTAGTTAATGTTGTTTTTGCATCTATCCAGATACGAGGTGTACGTGGATGTTGGGGGTTGAAGTTCGCCTGTTGCCCTGTAGATTTTGGTCGCTGCACCAGCATCAAGCAGCAGAAAAGAAGCAGATAGACGAAGAGGCAGACGAAGAACGAGACATAAGGGTTACATCTGCAACGCTGTTCTGTCGCCTGTTCTATTAATATACAGACTGACCCGGAACGTCTTCGTCTTCGTCTTCGTCTTTGCTTTTTTGCATGCTCAGGGCCTCAAGAGACGAACTGCGATACGAGTCGTTCGCCTTCGCCAGGTTACGTCGCAGTCCACAGCAAAGACTCATAGGTACCATAGATATACTGATTGACTGGTTCTTTGACTGCGCGAGTCATCACTGGATAAGAAGCGACCAGAGGATCAAGCCAGCGGGCTTCGCCTCTTCCGTATCCAAGGCATGCAGCGCCAGTCTGCCCTCGCTCTTCTCCCGTAGCCTGTGTCGATCGTGCAGCCTGTCAAGAGTCAGAGCTTCTTCTTCGTCTGCTTCTTCTTCTTCCAGATCCTCTAGATGCTTGCTTTTTCTCAGTTTTGCTTCGTCTTCGTTCGTCAAGTTGGCGGTGCTGGCGGTGCTGGCGGTGCTCGCGTCGCTGCAAAACCCCCTATTCGCCCTCTGCAGCCCCCGATCAGCAAACGGGAAATATATAAAGATCCCATGTGTGAGACACAGCCAATGATAATTACTACATCATAGGGACCTGATCAGCCTGGGAAAAAGAACGAAGGTTGCAAAACTCCATGCATGGCGCAGGTCGGCGAAATGGTGACTGGACCGGCCTAAGGAGGAGACGTCAGTTCGTACCCATTCAAGCAGACAAAACTAATAAAAGAAGCATTATTACATTGGAAATGAGTAATTTGGCATCTGGAACATCTCATATCATATTTCATTTCATCGTTTGTCATCCTGCTGCCCGACGTGTGGGATAATTGCAGTGTGGAGGAATAAAGGATGGGATGTTATATGTAAGAGGCTGCAGGGGTGCCACAGGAATTATACTCTACATCCAAGTACAGGGAACATGGGACATCAATCCTCCTCAGCTCGACCAGCGGACGAGGAGTCACTCGAGCGAACCTGCGTCCTTGCTGAGAAGTACCTCCATGGATAGGGCGCTGATCTGTACAACGAAGAATGCTTGATCGATCGTCCGCAGTCATTTTGGTGTCTTGTCTCTTCCTTCACCGATATCAGCCTCAAGCAGAAACAAGCGATTTGATGAGATCAAGAGTTGCTTGTAATTAATAGTTATATATATAAGACGGACGAGAATGATTTTTAAATGCTTTTCCATTGGTGGATTAAAGAACATTCTAAGTATGTATAAGTAATAGATAATATGTAAAAGATCGCCAATTCCAGACAGGCGAAGAGAGCGAGCAGGCACCGAAAGGAAAAATGAAATAAAATCAAAGAAATCTTAAACGCCGGGAACTCAGTGTATCATCGATAGGAAATGAGACGAATCGGGGGAATATGGACATGAAGGGAATAATATGCAAGGAAGTAAATGCGTGATTAAAGAGAAGCATGAGAAAACAAGACTAGGCAACGACCTGGAGAGCCTCGTTGACGGCCTCCTCTTGCTTCTTTCGCTCTTGTTCCATGAGGAACTGGGCGTACTTGGATCGGGGGTTGTGGATACCACACTCGGTCTTAGCCTGGCCCTTCCATCGGCCGGAGCGCTCGTCCTCTCCCTTAGCAACGGGCTGGGTGGAGTGGTAGTCACCGACGGACTTGTAGCCGCGATCGAGAAGGACGTTGTATCGGAGGTTGCGGCGGTTGACGTAGTCCTTGACCTGGTCAAAGTTCCAGTTGGCGAGAGGGTTGATCTTGATGAGACCGGCCTCGTCGACCTCGATGATATCCATGTTGCCGCGCTTAGCGCCCTGGCTGCGGCGACGGCCGGTAAGCATAGCAGTGACACCGAGCTCGCGGTAGGCGCGCTGAGCAGGCTCGACCTTAGCGAGCCAGTCGTACAGCTCATCATTGGTTTTCCACAGCTCCTCACCGTGCTTAGCGGCAAACTCGGCGGCGTCGTTGCAGCCCTGGGGCTTGTAAACGTGAAGAGTGAGGTGAGGGTAGTCCTTTTGAATTCCATCACGGAGATCGATGGTCTCCTGGAAGTGGTGCAGGGTGTCGAAGAAGATAAGGTCTACCTGCTGGTGGCGGGGGATGTCAAGCTTGGAGAGCATATCAAGAATGACAAGTCCGGTCAAGCCAAAGGAGGTTGACTGGAAGAGACCAGGCAGAGAGGTAACACACCACTTAAGGACGTCTAAAGATCACTGTTAGTATATAATTCCTTTTTTTCTATTAGGGTGTAGTCTTAGAATAGAACATACCCTGTGGCTCGAGGAACTGGAGGCGCTGGTTAAGGAATTGAAGATGCTGCTTGGTGAAGATGAGCTCTGGGATGGGTTCTTCGTTGGCAACAGCAGAACCGGAGCCACTGGCGTATCCGGACTCGAGTTCCTTCTCCTTTGCATCCTCTACAGGAGCAGGAGCAGCTGGCTTCTCGAAGATCTCGTCGGCGGTAACGACGGGAGCTGAGACCGGCTCAGCGGCAACATCGTTGACCTCCTGGACGGTGGCTGGAGCAACCTCGAGAATGGGAGCGGTCTCTACAACAGTGACCTCCTTGACAGCCTCGACTGGGCCGTCAACGACAGCAGCTGGAGCATCAACAGCTGGGGCAGAAACGGGTTCCTGGACGGGAGCAGCGAAGCCCTCGACAACCTTGGTGACGACAATCTCGTCAACTGGTTCGTTGGAGTGGACAGAGGCAGGCATTGTGGTGGTTGTGGTGGTGTTGAATTTGTTATAAGTGTGGTGAAGTAGGAGGACTGGTACGGAAGCAAAGAAGATCAGCCAGACTAGCTGTTGCTGAAAGGATATAATTGAAGATATTGTTTTGAAGAGAGGAGAGTCTTGCTCTGTCGTTAATTGCTTGTTGATGATGGAGAGAAAGAGAAAAAGTAGGATCCAGATGGAGAGGAGACCCGTCCTATATAGACCGCCGGAGCGAGGGTTTTGATACGAACACATCAGAATGCTCCAAAGTGACGAAACGAACGAAACCGAAGAACGAGGACGAAACCTAGTCACAGCCTAGTCCCAGACCCTAGTCCGCTGTCACTTTCTCCTTCTCCTTCTCGTTCTTTTTTGCGGGACAAGATGAAGGACCATCGGCTCGCCGTGGACCTCGTCTTCATCCTGCTCTTTTTTTTTCACATCTCGACTTTTTTTCAGAGCTCCTCCTTGTGTTTCCGGGCCAGGGGCTGATGGGATCATGCCTGCTGCTTATCACGCAATCCACATTAAAGACTCCACGCTAGACCAGGGCCCATTTTTGCTTTTTCGTTGCTTTTTCTCCTTGCTTTTGCAGGCCTGAGTCAGCGAGATGCTGGAAGGTGAGAGGCAGAGGGAAGAGAGGCAGAGGCAGAAGCGCCAGATGCTATTCATAGAAGTGGTTCGTGGCTCGTGAAGAGCTTTCTGAGCTTGTTATAGAACTGGTTCGAGTGTCCACGGCTGAAAGGTACATCAGCCACGAAGGATCCGGTAGGCAGACAGCAGGAAGAGGGAGGCTCCCACTCACCGTTTGGAATCGAGGCAGCGCAAAAGGAGTGGCAGAGATGAGGTGGCGGCCTCGTGTTGGGCTACCGACGGTCGTAGAACAGCATCCATGTCGGCCATCAACTTCTGCATCCCTTGGTGTGTTTCTGTTTCTTCTCTGTTTCTGCTTTCTCTTCTGCTGTTTCTGTTGCTTCAACTTCCATGTCGTCGAATTTTCCTTTTTTTGCTTTTTGCAAAAGCGTGTTATTCTTTTTTGCAAAGTTAACCTTTTTTTTCTGCCACTTCTCACCGGCGTTGGCCGCGTGGGCCGAGGCTGAAAGTTAGATGGGTCACATGGCTAGGATAAAATAACACATTAGTAAGAAAATACTACTCACATAAGCATTTCCACCTTATCTAATCTCTTATCTAAGCCGATCCCCTGCTTCTGGTAAGTTCTTTTTTATTTTTTTAGGCGTTTTTGCTTCTTGCGATACTTCGAGCAGCTTGCGACAGACCTGACACTGCAGATACGGATATCCCAGGCGAAAAGAAAAGGCAGGGAGAACAGACGAGCTGGTCTTTGGGCCTTGTTGCAGGTTTTGCGGCTAGTTGGGGGGTTCTTCTCAGCTTTGGGAGAGCAGTCAGCCTGCAACATCGATCGCCGTCTGCTACCCGTTTCGTCCTTTGCTCCGAATAGGCCCTATCCTCTCATTCCTGCACATTTGACAGAGAGATATACTTAGATCGACGAGGAGAAAACGACAGTAGGAGCCAGGAGTCACAGCAGTCAGGATGTCGGAGAGAGCTCCTCGTGGCACCCGCCCCAGTCTCCGCCATGGTGCCCTCTCGCACTCGTTTATACACGATCACCAGCAGTACAAGCCTGCGGGCTCCCCGCCTTCCTACCAGCCGGAGCTTGGCGCCTCCATCTCGGGGACCCTGGAGGACCCCAAGGTCAAGGAGAGCGGCGTTGTACACTCGCTCTTCGGCGATGCTCTTGCTTCCCTGCCAGCAGACACTCCAAAACTAGTTGCAACCATCTTCTATATTGGCGACAAGAGCAACAATGCCGGCGGAATCAATAGCAACGTCAACAGCAATAAAAACTCCTCGGCTGATTTACCTACTGCTGAAGATCCCCTCGAGCCAACTGCTCCATCCTTGCCTCTGGATGCTCTCTATGGCAGCCATGTCTCCCAGCTGTGTCTGACCAGCTTTATACAGACAATCGAGAGCATCTCGCACCCGTACAGGCGCATGTCTAGCTCCCACAGATGTCTTGACAGGCAGGAAAACCCCCGCGTTGTCGAGGTCACCATCACACCACCACCGAGCGGTGAATATCTCTCCTTTGACGAGCTGCGCAAACATGAGAACATCTGGAGGTTTGAGCGAGCCTGGAACGTCGAGGTCGTCCTGCAGATGGAGAATGTCTGGCGGCGATACAAGCGCCTTGCTGTCTTCGACATGGACAGCACCCTCATCCAGCAGGAGGTGATCGACGAGATCGCCAGAGTCACCGGGGTAGAGAAGGAGGTCTCCGTATGTCTTTGACACAATATTGCGTTCCCTATTACGACAAATGGTATGAAATATTGGCGAGCTAATGGGGAGTAGGATATAACCGCCCGTGCTATGAATGGCGAGCTCGACTTCGAGGCGTCCCTTAAAGCTAGAGTAGCCCTACTCAAGGGAACGCCGGCAGATGTGTTCGACAGGCTCAAGTCCGTCATTACCATCTCTCCAGGCGCTCGAGAGCTTTGCGCCGCGCTCAAGAAGCTCGGATACAAGACCGCAGTTCTCAGTGGTGGATTTCAGCCACTCGCTGACTTTCTCGCCGATCAACTGGGCTTGGATTATGCAGTTGCAAACCACGTACATCTCACCTCGTTTGTTGCGCTTTGTGCCATTTTGCTTCTTTGCTTGCTGAGTTGGTACCTGCATTTACTAATTAATACTCCGTATTCCAGCTCGTAATCGATGAAACCACCCAGACACTCACCGGCACCCTCTCACCCGATCATCCAATAGTAGACGCTAAGCAGAAACGCTCGCTACTTCGAGCTCTTGCACTTAAGAACGGCATAGATATGTCTCAAACTCTCGCGGTAGGTGACGGTGCTAATGATCTGCTTATGCTAAAGGAGGCGGGGTTGGGAGTTGCATGGTGTGCAAAGAGCATGGTGCAGTTGGAAGCACCAACGAAACTGAACGGAGAGTCTCTCTCTGATATCTTGTACCTTCTCGGTTTGAGCGAGCAGGAGGCCCAGTCGTTGACTGCGAGACAGTCTGTCGACGAGTCGTCGATGAAAGGATTGACCATAACAGAGCGGCCCTCATAGTAGAAATTGTTTTCTCTGCTTGGTATCCAAAAGAAACGTACATGATGATTGAAGCGCTACTATACAACTCCTAAAAAAGCTCAACTTACAACAGAACATTCTTCTCTTTCACATCGTCCTTTGTTTTCTCTGCTGGACCGCCAATTCTCTCCTTGGCTCTCTTCTTCAGCACGTTCTCGATAAACGCCTCTCCAGCCTTGTAACTACTTCTCACCAACGGGCCGCTGGCACAGTATAGGAAGCCCATCTCCAAGGCCTTTTCCTTCCACATGTCAAATACATCAGGCCGCACGTACTCGTGGACAGCCATATGTCTCTTCGTAGGCCTCATGTACTGGCCAAACGTAACAACGTCAACCTGTGATGCACGCAACTGTTTCAACGCATCTAGAACTTGCTCCTCAGTCTCTCCGAGTCCCAACATCATACTAGTCTTCGTAATAAGATCCGGATTCGCAGCCTTGGCCGCACGTAGGACAGAGAGCGACTTTTGGAATCCGGCTCGTCTATCTCGAACAAATGGCGTCAAAGCCTCGACAGTCTCAACGTTATGCGCAAACACGTCCAATCCAGACTTGGCCATCAGCGACACCATGTCCAGATTCCCGTCGAAATCACCAGTAAGGCATTCAACAAGGATATTAGGTGCCTTGCTCTTGATTCGTCGTACCGTCTCAGCGAAATGTCTTGCTCCAGAGTCTGCCAGATCATCTCTGTCCACGGCCGTGAGCACAACGTAGCCTAGTCCCCATCTCGATAGTGCCTCTGCCGTATTCTCTGGCTCATGCGGATCAAGTGGAGGAGGAGTACGGGATGTCTTCACGCTGCAGAATCGGCATCCGCGTGTACATGTGTCACCCATCAGCATGATGGTAGCTGTTGCCGCCGCCTTGGACCCTCCACCCCAACACTCGGAAATGTTCGGACATCGGGCCTCCTCGCAGACTGTATGCAGGTTTAGCCCTCGGAGATCGTTCTTTATCTTCTTATATGACGATGAGTCTGGGATGGATGTTTTCAGCCACGACGGGAGCCGGGTAATTTCTTTCTTTTTGCCGGGTGGGCCAACAAGGGCGGTTTTGAGAACGTATGCTTCTTCGGGAGAGAGAGGAGCTTCGGCTGCTCCGCCTACAAAGTCGGAGAATGATGGGCCTTTATTCAGCTTGTCTTTGAATGTCGTCGGGGCCCTTCTGTTTGTAGGCTTTGCGTCTCCGGTTGATGACTCCGGACTGGTCGTTGCGTATGTGCGGGAGCTTGTGATGGATCGGAGGATTTGAGAGCTGGCCACGCGGATACGGGCTGCTGTACAAACTGTATTCGACGCCATTATAATGACGATATTCAATGCTGGCCGTTGGTTGCAGTATGTATTTTCGGTCTGTTCGGGAAAGAAAAAAAGTTGAGACGGGGAAGTTGAAATGGCGCCGATTTGATTGGCGGATTATATATTTTCCACTAACGTGCCAGTAGCGGCGAGGTCAGGGGCTACAAAGGGCTCGGAAAGTGATAGATGGCTGTGTATAATGCCTTTTCTATTGATATACTAGAAACATTAATGTATCCATCTTGTTTGCTGCTTCGCCTTGTCGTTTGGATAAAAATATGCAAGTTGAAAAAAGCTTTTGAGGAACTGATTGATAAGATCTTGCCTTGATCTTATCAGCGGATCTAGGTTGCTCCGATAAACTCTAAATTTTACCAGCCGAAGAAGAAAAAAGTTGATAGCTTGGAGATGAGACAAACACCCCCTACAAGATACCAATTCCCAGCGATATAGCGCTGCCTCCTTCTCATGATGCTGTCTGAATCCTTTATCGCGTCACTACTGACATCCAATTCCACGCACACGACCTCCTCCACCCTTAAAGATGTCGGCATTTGCGTGCATGAATTTAGACCCAACCCGACCATTCAGCTAGGCTTGAAGAAAAGCACCACAGAGCCCAATTGCTTAGCCGTAAATAAGAGCCACATATTCGCGGTGCAATCGGGACGGGCTGTTGTGCATGTATATAGCAGGGAACGAAATAATCATGAAGCTACCGTGCCGTTCCCGGAGCGGATACGAAGTATCGCACTCGCGGGGGAGGGGATACTCGTTCTAGGAACACAAGGTGGTAAGCTGATTCTGTGGGAGGTATGCACCCATCCAATTCAACCCCGATATATTGAAAATCGCTAATAAAATGGACTAGATTTGCACTGGAAGACAAGTAATGACAACAGCAACCCATCTACAACCCATCACATCCCTTGTCGTCGACCCAACGAATAATTTTATTCTGTCAGGCTCGGAGGACTCCAGCGTGCATGTATGGTCTCTTCCAGATCTCATCACCTTCTCTAAACCGTCATCAGCCGATAAATCTCTATCAGCAACATATTCTCACTCTCCAATAAGAACCATCTCCAACCACACGACCGCAATCACCAGCATAGCAGTGGGACACAGCATAAACCGGTCAAATATCGCAATATCTGCTTCACAAGATGGAACGGCACTTATTTGGGAATATCGAACCGGCAATATCCTGCACACCTACCTTCTTCCCTCGCGGCCTCTGTGCCTCACGGTCGACCCTGCAGATCGCGGATTCTACGTCGGTTACGAGGATGGCAGCGTCCAGTTGATCGATTTTTTCAAAACTCCATCCGTACAACATCTTCTCCACGACACAGACCATCAGAGCACACCCACACAACTATCGGTGGGTGATAAATGGCCACCCCCATCCTCTGAGTTGGGTGCCACCCTTTGCTTGTCCCTGTCGTACGATGGAACAAGCCTTTTGACGGGCCACAGGAGCGGCGCCGTCGCGTCTTGGGATGTCGGCCGAGCGAGATATGCAGCCTCAATCGCAAGCCTAAACTCCCCTGTCACTAATCTACATATGCTTGTCCCAGAAGGATTACCCCAGAAAGTAAGCAGTGTTGCCATCCATCAAATAGTTAAACCGCGATTAGATCATACCACGGCAGGTGGGCAGGCATCAGATGCAGTGCCTGCGACATACCACGTCAATGTGCATTTAAATGGATCGCAGGCCACAGATCCTAGCATCCCTCCAAATGTTCTGGATGAATTTTCAGCTGCCTTGTCCCACCCAACATTCCCCGGCTCACGGATATCCGAGAGTCTGATCGATCTCAATTCAACTTCCGGAAATACCCCTACCAATAACAGTGCCGCCCCAGTCATTCCTCCAGAAGCTTCTCTTTGTCCGGCTAAGACGAAGGATGTGAAGTCACTAGAAGCAGAAATTAAATCTCTAAAAAGGCAACTCGCTGCTCACAGGGATGCCCACCAGGGAGACGTGACTGAGATTATCGCGCTGCGCGACGATAATCGTTACCTATCAGACTTGAGTGGCGAGCTGGTCGAGGAGCAGCTGACTGCACAGAATAAAGAGGTTAAAAATAGGGCTATGGCAAAAATCAGTGACCGGGCAGAACGGCAATTATGGTTTGACAGGGAGAAAAGGGGAATAAATGGCGATCAGTACAGGGCCGATCGAGATGTTAAGAAGCCCAGTAATGAGGGCAAAGATGAGGACGAGGATGAGAACGATGAAGAGGAGGAGGGCGATGAAGATGATGAGATGGATGATTAAATCATGCCATAGGGGAGTAATTGTGAAAGTATTGCGTTTATTTGCAAAAGATACCAGGGTGTATAAATCCCCTTATAGACCTGAGCACTAAAACAGTTGGTCAGAAATAATAGAGCCATTTTTTATCTCCGTTCCATGGCTTTAATATAACATACCATGGTATTTTCCTTTTGCCCGGCACCCAGTGGGCAGCGTGTTGGCCCCAAGGCAAAGGTCTCCAGGATATGGCTATTGCAGTTCCCTTTTCTAAGGAGGCTGGAAATCAAATGGCCTAACCCCCACAGCATGCGGTACCCCAGAATGGTAACAAATCAACCGTTCACCACAGTAGACTCAACTGCGCATTTATTCACTGATATACTTCCCAAACGCCCATTCCCTATACTTTGGCTCCGTGACCTTGAATAACAGAAGGTGAATCGAAATCCGCCTCATTCTTGGTTATCAGGGGTATCCCAAGAGACTTTCAATCTAAAAGTGTAATCACCAACCGTAGAGTGACTAAGTGTAGTTATTGAAGCCCCCATAACTATTGACAACCGATATGAATGATCTTAATCTCTCGCTTCATGAATTTCATCACTGTCTAGAATCCCCATTTGTTAGTGACTGATGGCTGGTAAAAGGAGTAGAAAGGAGAAAGGAGTCAATATTGCACGTGACAGCCTACTCTGTATACAAAAAGCCTGCGTCTTCTCACCAACAACACTGGAAGTCGATGCCATGGATAACTCAGGACAGCAGCAATAGCGGCAAGATATGGGATACCAGTTGATAGCGTGAGACAGATAGCCATGACAGGAATCTTAGATGGCTCTTTGATAACTCTAGCCGGTTTTGGGGGTGGGCTGGGCCACCTTCTCCTCCTTGGTATCAGGTTCCTGAAGATGTATCTCCTAAAAGCCAGAAGAAAGGGGCTGTTACTCTCTTGTTGAGCCCATAGATACCCATAGGAAGATACTTACAGCCATACCATATCCATATCACTTACTCCGATGGGCCCTCTCATCTTGTTTGCCTGGTGCTATAGGTCTCACTGTCTGCTTGATGAAGTTATACTATTTACTCAAGAAAGGGAATTGACAAGAATATCTTGTCCTTAACTGTGAAAACGGCATCAGACTGACGACTAAGCGATGAGAATATTCACACAGTACTGATAGGAAGAGGGTATATAACCCCCCAGGAATCGAAGGGTGTCTTCTTCCTTTACACCTTTCCCAGCTATCAAGACATCAAGATTCCTACCATTTATAGCATATCAAGCTATATAATCAGTTACCAAATCCACTTTATAGGGGATAAAGGCGCAACTACGATATATTAACGTCTACAAACTCGGATATCTATAGAAGCATACTGCCAAAGTGCTTCAAAGTCAATACCAAGGTATACCAAATTCTTGGAATATTCCTCAATATATCCCCTGCTCCATATCAAGCGGGAAATAGAGAATAACCTTATGAAAGAAGGTCATATAACTTACACCAGCACGGCCGGAATCTCCCCTGGCCTTAGGTATATATAAACCTGCTCCCGAGCAGCAAAGGAACAGTTCTACCAACGAGGTTACCATGTCGAACATCATAGCACCACTGGAACCTGGATCTTCTAGTACAAGAACTACACGACCACACAACATACCGAGAATGTTTGTCATCGAAATACTCTTAACCATAGCTTCCTTGCTGCTGGTAATTGTCTCTCTACTCTTAGAAGACCAAGAGGCGCATGCGCATCAACGGACAACACGCACCGAGCTATCAAATGACCCCAGCCTCGATACATCCACAGAAAACCTCTTCGAAGGTGCTGGAATAGATGGACCAGGAGCTCCCGAGAACGAGTCCTGGATAATGGAGTACCCTACACATCGATCCACATACCATTCATCTAACTCTTCTTCCGAAGACTCCTCCTCAGAAGACCCAGAAGAAGAAGTTATTCCAACACTGGAGGCCTTATGGGCTGATTGGAATCCAGAGCCGGAGCCTATAGACTACCCTGATCGACCAACTACTCCAGGGATATTGGAAACCGCTGTAGCTAACGATACGGGTTCCCTCTGGTCGGTATCAGGGAGTGATACAGAATCAAACCAGCTTTGGCCACCTCAGCCGGCTACCCCAAACAGCATACAGGACATCTTTAACCCGACCGGGGAGTTAGAGATGAGCGACATAGAGTGATACTATGCCCGAAGGCATTTACAGGAACGAGGAATACATGGCTATCTTCCGCCCAAGATAACCTGGTATTCTCCGTTTGCTTCATACTAATGAAGCATGAAAAGGTTTACTGTTTGTTTGCCTTAACCATTCTGCCGCTATGACTTTTACGCTACATTCACTACTCTTGGGTTTCATTGCCATTTACTACAAATGTTTTGGTCATTCAACTTATTCCATTTTTTTTTTCCAAATGCATGTGCTATGTATTTCCTTTCTTTTGTCAGGGTTACATGAGGATGTATTAAGCATTAGGAAGTCTGAGAATTAAGTCGTTGTCATTGAAGATTCCACTTAAGCTGATATTTGGTGCCCGGCCAGCCGAGACCATGCGCCGTAACTTGCCCTAAAAAACAATCGTAAACGAAAGAAAAGAGAAAGGATAAGAATCCTGCTTCCACTCCTGCTCCTAGTAGTCACCACTAGCGTCATCGGTAGCTTCGGTTTCTCCAGCGGAATCACCCAGGGCTTCCTTGACGATCTGCACTCCAGCACTAGCCCCGATTCTCGTTGCGCCAGCTTGGATCATCTTGATACAATCATCAGCAGTTCTGATTCCGCCGCTGGCCTTTACCTCCACGTCACCGTTGGAGCACGAGTCCACGACGGCACGCATCAAGGCGACGTTCTCTACCGTTGCGCCAGCGCCCTTGAAACCGGTGCTGGTTTTGACGAAGCGCGCGCCTCCCGCACATGCCAGCACACATCCGGCAATGATGTCGTCCCTGCTAAGCTGCGAAGTTTCCAGAATAACCTTGAGTTTCACTTCCGGCAGCCTCTGCTTGCTGGCGGTTCTGATCATGATGATGGCCTGGAAGGCATCGCTGAAGCGCCCGTGCTTGAGAAAAGGGTAGTTTATCACGATGTCAAGCTCGGTGGCGCCCTTTTCCATCGCGGTCCGGGCCTCGGCGATCATTTCTGGAATTGGATGGGTGCCCTCGTGGAAGCCGACGACACAGGCGACCGCGATACCTGTCCCCTGGAGGTTTTCCACTGAACGGGAAACCCACTCCAGTCTGACGCAGACAGCAGCGAATCCGTACTCCTTGGCCTCGGCGCACAATGCATCGATTTGGTCCTGGGTGGCAGTTTTGGCAAGAAGGGTATGGTCAATGGTCTTGGCAATCTCGGAGGGTGCAGGCTTGGAGTACTTGGAGGTGTCAATGGGGCCTGCGACTTTGGACTTTGCGCGCTGGACAAGCATCCTCCACTCGGCGTTTGATCGTGAAATAAGGTCCATCAGCTCCGTTGCTTCAGGGGGGGGGTCATCCATCTTGGATAGGTATCTCGGATACGTGGGAAACCGTTTGGCCGACAGCTTGACTGATTTCCCGGGTCAATTGGGGATCAGAATAGATGGCGTGGCGTGGAAGAAGTAGAAGCCTGTAGATGTAGATGTAGATGTAGAATGTAGAATGTAGATGGTCGATGTAGAAGAAGTTAGAAAAAACGAGACGGAGGAAGAAGAAACTCCCCCGCCTTTATTTGGGTTTCTCCGCGAGCGGCTATTGAGACACGTGACATGTCATCCGAGCCGACAGGCTTTATTTGGCCGCCTGCAGCTGGTGGCACATTTGTTATTGTGATTCAACGGGTGCGTTTGTTGCGCTCGCTGTCCCGTTTGGTGAAATGAACACTGGGGGGCATGCTATTATTGGCATGTCCAACCTGTTTGATAGCACAGCGAGCTGTTACATAGGCGCCAGCTCCCTTGACAACGACGCCCCGTTCCTGTTACAGGGGGTACATATATCCCGCGGGTACGTGCTTTGTACACCGTAGTCGTGGTTATATACCCAAATAGGAAACAAATGATATGAATAAATTTCAATGTGCTCCTTGTACTCGTTTCATGTATCCCGCTGTCCAATCATTCATTTGCCGGCAGATACGGTGTCACTGACAGCTCTTGCATTCTGGGCCACGCACATCATCAACTCTTCCGATTCGCTTTGAAGGGCCACCGCCTCCTCCGCCCCTCCTGTCATAATCATTCCCGCCGCCTCCTCCTCCTCCTCCTCCTCTACCTACACCTCGACCCCTACTTCTGGGGTCACGGTTTGAAGGATTCTTGATATTAAACTGAGAAGCCTCCGCAGCGGCATATGGAGTGAACTGGGACCCCTTGTTAGCTCCTGGCATATTGATCTTCTCCAAAGAAAGACCCAAGGAGGCACGAATATGAAAATTTTAAAATAGACTGAATCGCCAGCTTGTTGAACGTGGTACATACCGAGAAAAGGCTGACAAAGTAAAGCCCGAAAAACATGTACAAGGACTCAAGCAGGCGGCGTGCCTTTGCAGAAAGCGGTGGGCTAGATCATAGCAGCGGTTAGAGGGCCACTGTGTCTCTCAAAGGTATCATAATGTATCACTAGAGCGTGGGTATCAACGGCGGCTTACTTCTCTAGTATGTGGCCATCGGACACGTATGGTCTGTTGAACGATGACATCTTGGGGCGCAGCGTCCTAGCCTTGTCGAGCTCCTGCAAGTTGCCCGTGTGATACGGAGTACCAGATGAGTGAATGTGAATGGTGGCGGCTTCTTGTACAGAGTACAGACTGCACTGATAAGGCAGCTGGTCCTTTTCGTGTCTGTCGATCGCCGGAGAAAGCTGAATGTGTCGCGGCTTTCGGGTTTGCGCCGCCAGAAGCCAAAAGGCCAATAAGATAAACTCTACGATCCGCTTAAGGTTTGCCAAGCGCCAGGCAACCATATTAGTGATTGATTATGTAATTTGATCACAGCTAGTCACGTGCATTTGGTTGATTTCGACGTTTCATGGAGGATGGAGAGAAAACACGCCGAATGAAAAGATACCTGTGTATGTGATGCTTGAATAAACCACTATCACCATCCCGAAATACGTATAACGCCGGAGGTAATGCTATGATATATAAAATAAATATACATGGCCCGAAAGGTGTATATACCTAACTACTCACCGTTACTTCCTCCTAATGCGGTAATGGTGTTTAAATTCAGGTCATTGTGCAACCCATCCAGGGCCTTGAACCCATCCTCAACAATCCACTTTTGGCCCGGTTGATGAAGAACCTCGCAGCTTTTGCCTACCACAAGCAAGCCTGGTGGTCTTGAGCCCTCCTCCTGGACAGCCAAACACACGTTTTCCAGTGTCGACCTTATCACCCGTTGGTCAGCGCATGATGCCCTTTCTACTACCGCACAGGGCGTGTCTTTTGGCCAGAGTCTCCGAGATGAAGCTATGTCATCCTTGTTATCACTGGCATAAGTTGTCATAGATTCAATTAGAGATGGCAACCGATGCAATGCCATGAGAAAAACCACCGTCTGAGTGGGTATATAACTTGGTGGGGGCGGTGCCACTCCATGACGGCCGGTGCCAGTGCATATCAGAACTTGGTCGGCCACTCCCCTATGAGTTGGCGGTATGTCTGCAAACAAAGGTGCACTAAGAGCACTTGTGATCCCAGGAAGAACGATGGGCTCGTATCCCTTCTCTCGAAAATAGGAGAATTCCTCAGCCCCACGTCCGTAGAGGTATGGATCTCCTTGTTTCAACCGGAGGACAATTCTACCGGCAGAGAGTCCTTCGGATGCCATCTCTAGCAATTCTTCCTGCGCCTTGTCTGCGTTACCAGGGAATTTTCGTGCAATATGAACTTCCGTTCTTCGTGGGATGAGATCTAGAACTGCGGCCGGTACGAGTTTGTCGGAAAGTATAAGATCTGCTGTTTTAATTGCATGATAAGTTGCCCGTGTTATTAGGTCGGGGTGACCTGGTCCGGAACCTGCTAGGATGATTTTTCCCTTTTTAGACTCCGAATCTGTACCATCTCCGTTGGCGACGGGATTCTTCCCAGCTCCATAAGCTTCTAACATCTTCTCCACACCAGGCAATGTGATGCTGGCAAGCTGGCGAAGAGGCCAGTATTCACAAATTTGCGAGAGCCAGCGTATTCTCCTTGTCTTTGACGTAGCAGTTGCGTCCACTACTAATGTGTTGAATGTGTGCTTCTGTGCAGTTGAGTCGTCGGAATCATCCTCAAAGTTATCCTTATCCGCCTCTTCCTCAATGGCATCTTCTTCCCAGATGCGTTTCCTTAGGATACCTAAATTTTCAACCGCCTTACCGAGCCCAGGCGGAAGAAATGAGGCAATTTCTCGTCTTATCCGAGCAGCCAAGGAGCCTCCTTTTCCTGACGTCGTAACTCCAATATGCAGAGGTCCATCGGAATATGTTGACAGCAGTGTGAAAGAGCAGAGCTCCGGTGCATCTGACACGTTTACAGGAATCCGGAGCCGCCGGCATGTTTTTGATATGTGATGAACTGCCATTTCATGTTAACTTGCTTCCCATTCTAATCACATAGAGAGATACCTACTTAAGGTATATGACTTGTCCAAAGTTACAAATACAGCGTCAACAACACGTTCTACTTCCGCGCGGCCCAATGTTAGGAGATCACTGTCCTGGAATTCTCTCTGGATCCATTGGACCTGTCCGTTCTCAACTCTCTCGGAAAGAGTTGATGGAAGCTTGTTTCCAGGAGGGGATATTAAAATGGGAGTTGCTCCTGAGTCAATGGACTTGGTAATGCGTGCAGCCACCAGTGGATTAGACCCAATTATCAAATGGATATGAGCCCTTGAGTCTATTGCGGTCAGAAGCGGGATTCGTCTCCCACATCCCACAGGTGAACCGGTCATCGCCACTGTCTAAAACAGGGGGTCTTCCCTTTCGGTTATGGTGAATGTTAAGTCGATTGTGATAGGAAGCTCGTCTTGGAATATATGGTTCCAGAATTTGGCCACGGTAGCTGTTGAGACTAGTAGAAACGAAAGCTGCACCCACCATGCGCGAGGTCTGATAAAGATATTGACAAGAGGGTGAATAGTTGCTAACGGATTCATAAAGCAAGATACTTCAAATGGTATCAGCCTTTTGTTTTGAAGCCCGGAGAGGCCGTCTTCTTCTCGTTTTAAACCGAGCCCAAAAGGCGGATATCAAGCTGGTGATCTATAGGAGGGTGAACCCTCTCCACAGCTGTGCAGGGGTGGTATCAGTGCTTAGGGATGGGGAGTAGATGGATATAACAACCCACACAGCCTTTGGACTGTCAGTGTTGAGTTATTCGAGTTATTTAGGATAGCCCGGCCTTTATATGTATCCATTATTTCGTCGTCTTGTTTTTTTTTCCCTCAGCTCGATTGCGTGATTCTTTTGGGAAGTGGGCAATAACAAGCGCGCGTCTAACGCTTATCATTAGTAATATAATGACATGCTTATATAATCGTAGCCAAGACTCAGCGGCCTGTTTGGTTTGACGCTGGGAAAGGCGAAGCTGGAGAGCAACAAGCAACAGCTTTGGACGACCAAGCAAGCGGACAAGGAGCTCTTTTTCCAACAACTACTATTAGATCCTTGATACCCAACTCCGGCGGGAAACTATTCTCATCACTCCTCATTACGTTTCTTTAATCCAGCCCTTCGTTAATCCAATAGTCCGGCTGAATCAACAAGACGCCCATCATGTCGGATGGCACGCTGTTCAAGCCTGACAAGGACTTTTCGAAGGATGTAGACCAGCAGATTCCCGAGGCTGAAGCGCTTGCTAAGGTATGCCATATGCTCACTGTCCTAACTAGTTCTAGTACTGATGAATGGTATTGATAGACAAACGTACAAGGCGCCATCGACAAGCTCCTCTTACTAGAGAAACAAGCACGACAGGTACCGGATGCATATCTCTATATAATGCGAATACAGAATTTAATAAAGTGATTTTAAGGCGTCCGATCTCCCTTCGACCTCGAGGCTGCTGGTGGGCATCGTTACAATCTGTAAAAATGTTGGCGAGTGGGAGCTTCTGAACGAACAAGTCATTGCTCTCTCGAAAAAGCATGGCCAGCTCAAACAGGCGATAACGAAGATGGTCCAAGTGGTGATGGAGTTCTTGGACAAGACACCAAATTTGGAAGTTAAATTGGCCTTGATCGAGACATTAAGGACAGTAACGGAGGGGAAGGTATGCCACGCTTTCTCCAGCGGACGCAAACTGGATAAAATATACTGACTGGGAGCTTGTTAGATTTTTGTTGAAGTCGAAAGAGCGCGGGTAACTCGTGCTTTATCCGATATTAAGAAGAACCAAGGGGATATCGACGCTGCTGCCGACATTCTTTGTGAGCTACAGGTTGAGACCTTCGGATCTATGGCCCGAAGAGAGAAGACGGAATTTATCCTGGAGCAGGTTGCTCTTTGTATAAAAAAGAAAGACTGGACACAGGCAAACATCCTCAGTCGCAAGATTACTACGAAGTTCTTCGCCCGGAAACCCAAGCGAACTCCCGAACAAATCGAAAAGGATAATAAGGAAGCTGAAGAGAAAGAGAAGAAACGCAGCCCTGACGACCCACCGGTTGAGAAGCCAGAAGATGTTACAGATCTGAAGCTGCTGTATTATGAACAGCAAATTATTCTTGCAAACCATGAGGGCAAGTACCTTGATGTTTGCAAACATTACCGACAGGTTCTCGACACTGAGTCTGTTGAAGAAAACTCGGAACAGCTACGTGCGGTAAGTTTAAAGTGCTCTATATCATTTATATCACCCAATGAAACTAATATAAAGTTACAGGTCTTGCAACGAGTCATCTACTATGTCATTCTTTCACCTTTTGACAATGAACAATCAGATCTTTTGCACCGTGTCCAAGCTGATTCGCGGAACTCCCTTGTCCCCATAGAGGCTCGGCTAGTCAAGCTGTTTACCATCAACGAGTTGATGCGCTGGCCCATGGTCGCTGAGCAGTTCGGTCCCCATCTGTGTAGCACCGATGTGTTCGACGCCGCTCCCAATCACACAGGCGACGACAAGGCCTACCAACGCTGGCAAGACCTTCGAAAACGTGTCATTGAACACAATGTCCGCGTTATTGCCAAGTACTACACTCGCATCGAGATGGGCCGACTAACTCAGCTTCTCGACCTAGATGAAGAGGAGACTGAGAAATACATCAGTGATCTAGTTACCTCCAAAACCATCTACGCTAAGATTGACCGTCCAGCTAGACTTGTCAACTTTGCCAAACCACGCGATGCCGATGATGTTCTGAATGAGTGGAGCAGTAACATGAAGAGCCTGCTTGGATTACTGGAGAGAATTGACCACTTAATTACCAAGGAGGAGATGATGGCTAGGATCCTCCCCACCAAGGGTGCCGGACGGTCGAAGGCACGTTGATAAATAGACTCGTTAGCAAGAGGTGCATTGGCATGTACAACAAATAAGATGCCCATAGACAAGCAGCGTTTGCCCAACGGCACTTTCTTGTTCATCATACTATTCAATTTCAGTCAATCCATTGCACACAGTATGATAGATAGTAGAACCACAAACGATCTAGTCCGATGCCATCTAAATATTCACAAAAGTCTATGTCTAATGTTAAGGTTATTTATCTCTTGTCATGATTCAACGGGGCCGTGAGTTCGTCTAAAATGGCATATCCATGTTTTCAACATCATCGTCACCCGAAGCTTTCTTACCATTGCCGTTTAACCCTTCTATATGCAGCCTAATAAACTGAACCACTCCATCCAAATATGGTCTCTGGCTAGGCAAAAAATGACCGCCAGGGTGCCACAAGACCCTATCATCAGACTCGGGGTTTCCAGCGCAAGCCGCAATCAACTTCTTACTCCTTGCCTCCTCAACTATCATATCCAAGGTACCCAGAACATGTAACACAGGCGTCTGGATCTTGGGATGCTCGTAGAATGCTCGATAACGAGTGCCAGGCGCTATAAATCCCCCGTAACATATCGCAAATTTCATTGGCGGGTGTGAGATGTTGGCAAAAGACGACGGAAATGGGATGCCAGTCACCATCTTTTTATCATCTGACCCTTGCGGTGGCTTTTGAGGGTCCCGCTTATTTCCGCCGGAAATTTGGGTGATGAGTTCTTGCTGATTGTTTGCTGGATCAGACATGTAGTGGAAGGCTTTACTTCGGTCTGGTTCAAGTAAACTGGCGACCATGGCTGCTAGACAAGCACCCTGGGAGAAACCAATCACACCATCGAACGGTCCTTCGTCCGCAAGCACACTGGCAACCGTTGCCAGGCCTTTCTCCATCCCAATGTATTCAGGCGGGTCCACAACATCTGAACGGCGCCACCATGCAAACGCTTCAGGTTTATCATCGGCTGAAACACCGCCATTGGAAGCGGGTGTATAATTGGGTATATCAGCGGGATTTAGCCCTATAGGGCCTGATGGATATGATAGAGTGACAGAGTATGCAGGTAAGTTCTTCTGTATATGTTTCTCTAGAGCGCGGGATTTGGCATGGAATAGTGAGCCAGACTGAGTATATCCATGGAGCATGAGAATTTTGAGTGGTTTTCCCGTTGACTTTGCCATGTCTAAATTCAGCAGATGCGGTCTTGTTGGCTGGATTGGTATTATCTTTTCCCAGACCGGCAAATATTGACCACTCTTGTCAATATATAAAGCAGGAATAATATATCCGTAAAATGCGCTGCTCTTGAGCATTTGGAAAGTCCAGGCGCCACTTTACGGAAGTCGGAGTATTTATTATCCGAGAATATGGAATATCAGGTGAGGCTATCTCCTCGGTAATAGTAATGGTGACATCGATGATATTTGGATTATGAGGCATCTGCCTCACTCGATCAAATGATAAAAAACAGGGCTGTTCAGTTATCAAGGGGAAAATAAAAAGAGCTGACGGCTACTCGAACCCGCGGCCGGGGACAAAAAAACGAAGCGAGAACTAGGTTCCCGGTGTAACCCGTTTACGTAATTTGTAGCCACTTCGTTATGATATCGAAGGAATCAACTGCTCTTAACCACCCTGATCTGCTGCGATAAACCCATGAAGTTTGGCGGAGTCCAAAAACGACCAGAAAGAGTTGCGGCTCATTTTCACGTGACTAACCCAAAATTTGATGATCTGATGACATAATAGTTTATTTTAGTGGGGTTGTTTTGTTTTTTGGCATGTGAAGAGAAGAAGCGCGAAGATGGGATGGAGATTCAGGTTGAAAAGGCCAAATTGACAGGATTTGGGCTCCCCGACGACTCTGCAGCAGCATACGGAGTTCCGAGAGACTGCACCCAAAGAACAAACGTCCTAGCCAGTAGACTATTAATCTCGAGGGACCAGAATGATCAGCGGCCTAACACGATCCACGACATATCATTTTCGCGACTGAAGAGGACGGATTTTGTGGACAACCCAGGGGCAGAGGAGCTCTGGCTGAGATACATCGACTGTGCAAGGTATGTTCTTTCAGCTTTAGAGAGAAATATGATCTGTGAATACATCCTCTAACTAACTCATTCAGCCAGTCATGGAGAAGTACTCGCAGTTCCGGGATCGAGGTGCGTTGGCTTGCAGCTATGGTGACATGAATCCCGTGCATGGGGAGGTGCTGACAGCATATAGCTTCGGGAATCGCTCCGTTTCTACCTATCGTAGGCCAGCCGCCGTCGATATCACTATTATTTCACACATTTCTTTTTGTTGTGCGTTTCCCGTTGCTGATATCGACCTGTCTCTTCTACTTCTGCATACTGCAGTGGCTTCCAATAGGAAGCCTGGGAACTAAGATATCTCTCTGGACAATACTGGGTATACCAGGCATATGGTGGGTGGACCTACAGATAGAGGGGGTTAAGAAAGGGTGCGTTACATCTATCTACCTACCATCTACATTTTACTTTGAACTGCTTTGTTGACAACGCTGCATAGGTCGCTGGCCAAGCACCTACAAACACGTCTCCCAGGACCGGGAACGGTAATTGCTTCGTCGTTCACTAGCCCCATTGACGTTATCTACCTGGCAGCCATCTTCAACCCGGTGTTCACCAGCTCTTACCCGGGGACACGAAAAGTAAAGCAAGTTTCGCTTCTGCAAGCCATCATCCATGCATTTGACTCGCCAGAACCGACGCCACCCCATTCTTCCAAAGCAGATCTAACTGACATCTCAACGCTTATCAAGCGATATCCAAATCGCTGTATTGTCGTTTTCCCTGAATGCACTACCACTAATGGTAAGGGAATCCTCGAGCTCAGCCCTTCCCTCTGTTCAGCGTCACCTTCTACAAAAATATTTCCTATCAATCTTCGCTATGAGCCGGCTGATGTCACGACGCCGATCCCTGGAGCTTATGTACGGTTTATTTGGAACCTGTTGAGCAAACCAAGCCATTTTATTCGAGTGCGCGTTGCCGAGAGTGTCAGCCAAGAAACTGCAGCAAACATACCTGTCCAAAGCAAGCAAGGCGACTCTGATGCATCGTTAAATCCCGAACAGCAGAATTTGATGTTTGTGGTCGGCGATTCACTTGCCCGTTTGGGACGAGTGAAGAGGGTTGGGCTAGGAGTTAGACAGAAACAGGAGTTTGTTAGAATGTGGGACAAAACTAGAAGGTGAATATAGTGACAGTTGCTAATATGAATGGCTACATATCATTACATAAGCTTTTTCCCTTGATACCCTGAATAATGAGTCCACGCCCAGTTGGCTCTGTGTTCAAGATGATAAGCTCGAGCTAGCTTACAGCCAGTTATGACAAATTGCTCCCAATACCACGTTTAGGGACCCTCCACTGTCCGAGAAGGAGAGAGAGAAAAGGTCAGAGGGCTGTCAAGGCAGATAGTCGCCAGGTAATCCCTCTATTTCTTTCCACTTGGTGGGTTGTAAGTGGAACTTCCCTGGCCATTGTTGTAATAGGTGCTTCCATTTGCATTGCTGTAGTAGTACGACCCGTCGCTACCAAGGCCACCCAATCAGTCTCTAAACAGTAAAAAGATTTTGATATGAGGTTCTGGGACTTACCTGTTGGAGTAATGGTAAGCATTGGAGTTGGCAGCTGACGAGCCATAGTCACGGGCACAATAGTGGTTTCCCTAAAGTTGGTCAACAATACGCCCACGAATGATGAATACACAATTGACTAGGCTGTCAGCTCATCATTGCTCGCGAAGGGCCTTTTGGTCGACGTATCAATGCATACTGTCAAGTCAAAAGATTGCAGCATGGCAGGAGCCCGGTACATCTACGGACTCTCTGCCAGCACGAGGGCACGGCTAGCTATAACAGCCGAAGCTCATTGTGGTTGGAGACTTGAGGTGCAGATATCACGGATAGTACAAACCTGGCTGTTGGTGCCAGAAGACTTGTAGGTGTAATTGCTGCCGGAAGTGTTCTCAGGCATTTTGTCAAGTTATAGTGTATCGTGTAGGTTTCTTTGAGGGATGTATAGTGTAATTCAAGTCTCGAGCTGAACAATGGTTGCAACTGCTGAAGGATAGCGGAATATGCATTCAGGGGGCAAGCTGCCTTTATATAGGCATATTTACCCGTACTCCTCTCGGGGTCCCTCCTCCCTCCTTCCCCTCTGCTAGTTTAGGGGCATGGCGGTGACGTTCAAACAGGACGGCACAGAGTTACTTTCCCTGCTTCCACCTAGCCCCATAGGTGTTCAGAAACGAGCAGTTAATCTTCCAATCCTGGATAAGGATTGTGAAACTAGAGGTCTGGCTGGTTTATACTAAGATTTTAGCTACCAATGATACCAAGACATCCACCACAGATGTAGGTTTATCCAGGGAATATCCCAAACCAGCCTGGACTATCATAGGTGTCAGGTGAGTGTGATATAGACAATTGACCGAGACGAGCCCTAGAGAAGTACTCCGTACCGCGTATTCGCATTTGGTTTGACCAGGAAGTGCGCTTCTGTAATTTGTGTAGTAGAGCTCCCAGAAGTCACTAGGCCCACAATAATTGCATTGTCTTAGAAGGCCACATGGTGCTTGGTACCAGTATGAAGAAGTCAAAGGCGAAGTTAGCCGGTAATCATCGCTTTCAAACTGTGATAACGCGATGTGCTAACATGCTATTTTATATTGCGAAGCCGTCGTCTTCATCGTCCTCGCTGCTGCTGCTGTTGTTGTTGCTGTTGCCGTTGTTGCTTCCTTTCTCTTTCTCGGAGTTAAGCTTTCAAGGTTCCTCGGCATCACGTAATAAAACTTTAAACGGATTTTATTTTATCCGAAGGAATCATGTGACTTACGCGTTGCTGACAAACGCGCGATAACGACAGACACGCCAACCATCAACGACATCGAGACATCAATATCAATAATGACAACCATTGTTCAATTGACGTTGTTGTTATGAACCCATTGAGACCTACGCACTAGCTTGCAACTAGTAAGAGCTAGAATATCTAGTCTTTATGATACCAGCTTGGCAAGACAGACCTTCGGGAATGGCCCATTGATGTATACCCCCAAAGCAAGCCATCCTATTCATCAGCAACGAGGCTGGTACCGAGCAGCTGGATAATGATGGCTATACTAGCGGAATACCTTCATACCTTGCGCTAAATTCGTGTCTGTCAGGATGACTATTTTCCTTTTCTAATGTGAGCGAACTCTGAAGTTCATTTCATGCACCAAGGATATCAAAAGCGGCCATGTCCTTCTCATAGGAGGTGTTATCACCAAAATCATTTAGGGCGTGTTCCATGAACATCCTATACCTGAGACGACGGAATTTGGCGCCAAATAGAAAGGCAAGGAAACACACTCGAACGTGGTCGAAGTGTCTCTTTTAATTATTCTACCAGCGGATAGTTCAATCTCTTTTGCTGGTCCATGTGTTGCTTGCCCTCTACCTGTTGGCCACATTTCTGGAATTCACCAAAGCTCACTTCTATTTAAATAAAGTCAAGGGCCCTCACTATCCTGTCTACTCTTTCACTCTCCTTCCTTCTCTTCTTCCGTTACCCTTCACTTGACATCTGCGAGACGAGGTGAGAGTCAAAATCTTGCCTGTTACATCCGAGGGTTTATTTACCCTAGAACATCCTACAATTCAACTGAGGCACTCTATCTGCTCTCCATGGGCTCCTGACTATAAGTACGAAAGACATATCTTCCGATACATTTCCTTGCTGATCGAGTTGAAGATCAGCATTACCTTTACTGGCGCCATGAATACTCAACCGGTACGGCACTCACCAAATTTGCAAGCCCAGACTGTCGTTCATCGAGAAAATTGCGGGTTCCACCCCGCAGATTCACCCAACTGCAATGTCCACACCCTAAAAGGTGAGGCGTGCCGTTATAAAGGCAGAAATGGGCTTGAACCATATGGAACCATCCCAGGGAGACTGCCTGTATGTGGGATGCATCGTCCCTTTGCTCCACCCTCTGCTCGTTGCAAGGCATTATTGCCTTGTGGATTTGAGTGTGGGAGATTGTTCAAATGGAGCCCAGGTGAAATTAGGCTCTGCCCTGATCATGACGATATACCCCAGCCTTGCTACTTCATGATACTCCCAGCGGAGCTGAGACTAAAGATCTACCAGCAGCTGTTTCTTGAGCCGCGCGCCAATAAGCGGTCCTATTCTGACAATCGTACCACCAAAGGTAATCGGACCAGCATTCTCCGAGTCAACCGCAAAATCAATGAAGAAGCTACATCGGTCTTCTACGGATACCCCAAATTTACCATTGAAGTGGGCCCAGATCAAATATTCATGTCTGGTGACCTATGGGACTGGAACTTCTACAAAAACTTATTGATCGATAAGGCCCGCCTTAACAAGTCAGACGACTTTTCAGATCGTCCTGTTGCCCTTCTAGGAGCCCCCTCGCACCCTTTCCTCAAATGCACTACTGTAAAAATGCCCATGGGCGAGGCCAACTTTTCAAAAATGAGATCTTTCCATATCCATATCCACCTTAACCACCCTCAGAAGAAGGGCCGCCCCAACTCGGTGAATCATGTGCAACACGCCTGGGAGCGGGAAATGAAAAATAGCTACCATATGGTTGCTGATAATTTGCAAAAACTTGCATGCTTCTTGACGTTAGTGAAGCCTAATATTCACAACTTATCAATCTCAATCCAGGTCGACTATGGCTTCGCTGGGGACCTGTCTGATTGTCTGACATACTCCGGCCAGGTTCTACGTTGGCTCAGCCGCCTACGATCAGTTACCAACGTGTCTATCAAAACTGTTGAATGGGGAAATGACTCTTTCAGCGTCCTCCCGCATGTTAACTACCAGCCATATCCAGCCCGAGCAACGCTCATCCCCTTCAATACCAGCCAAATACCCAAGGAAGAAATGACAGAGTATGATATATTCTGCTCAAAGATTGCTACCTGGGAGAGCCTGGTTGCAACTCGAGGCAAATGTGCAAACAATACCCGGATCGTGAACGCTTACTGGAAATTGGAAACTTTACTCTGGATGTTTCAAACCGCTGGAGTCCGCAAGTTTAGAAAAAATGACGACACCCTGCCTGAACTTCTCTACAAAGCCAGATGTGCGCTTCATAATGACGACATGAAGGGTATGAGTGATACGGCAACTGAGGCAGTGAAGTATTGGGCTGATTACATTGATATGGAGAGAGACTTGAGACGATGGGCTTGGAGAGAATTCCTCAAGCTGAACACTTTGACTGCATCCAATACACCCTCAACTCTCAAGGAGTTGCTGGAAATGATGAATGATGCGGGTATCAGTGCCGCAGTTATGCCCCAACTCCCGTTTAGACTTGCTGACGCACCAGAACGCTAGTCTGGTTAAAGGGGGGGATTTAATTTCTGTGGTTGAGTTGGGAAGATGGCTTTCGACCGATTTCCAATTCACTTCTTCCCTAATCACCGCCCCCTTTTTATCTTTCCTTTTTATCTTTTCTTTTGTTCTTTTGCTCTTGTACCAGGGGGCTGAGATGATTTCTTTGATTTCTCCTTGAATATCGATTCACTTCGGGCTCGCATATCCGAGAATTAGTTATGGGCCTCATACAGATTATCCTGTTATTGGATCGGCAGATAGCTTTAAGGCGAATGCAGCTTTTATTTAGATCTCTCCTAGCTTCCCAAGTATAATTAAGTGGACGAATGAGCCGCTGAAGATATTGAATCCAGCTGAGACAAGATACTAATTCATTTACAAGAGTGGAACATAATAAGCATACAGCATTCGAATTCCTAAGCCTACGAGTAATGAGTGATAGACCCTAGAGAGGAATAAATCATCTCACGCCACGCAACCAGGGCTCTCAGACAGGTTTATATGTTAACCAGACCGGTAGGTTCAGGTCCATATCATCCTTCCACTCCAAACATATGGTTGAAAGCTGAAGATCATGTGTCCATAGCAGTAAGATTGAATAATTTCGACTCAGGTCTCCTCCATCTCCCCATCCGAACTGCTAGTCAACGCAAAAATACCGATTTGAATATAATTCACAGGTTCGAAGGTTGCCCAACATGACGTGGAACAGCCGACTAGGTAGACATTTCATGTGAAGACGGAAGATTAACAACGACGAGTTGAAAAGACAAGAAGCAACAAAAGCAAGAAAGTAAAGATTCTGATTTGATTGCCAGATATCCGGAACTCCCGCCATCCATCAAATTTTGTTTGTGCCAACCCTAAAAAGGAGGTCGGCACGGGAAACAAGAAGGCAACAGGGTGATGATCTCCATCTTCTATCTGTCTGGTATCATCGAGCAAGAATTTTCGAAAGCAGAAGGATGGAAAGTCGGGATATTGGGAGAAAAAGAATCGACAACGACAACGCTGCCATATTGCATTAAATAAGCTCTTTTCACATTTTTTGGTATTTGGAGAGTATTATGTTGTTGGGTGTGATGCGGTGTGGTATGGTGGGAAAGGGGGTTGAGGCCTGCGGGCGGGTTCCCCTTGTTCGTCGTAAAGAAAGCTATTTTATGACAGGTTGCATTGTGATCCTTTTTGTATTCATATCCCGTTTTAACACATTTTTTTAATTTGGCGTTAAAGTCATCCTCTACTTTCTCCTGAAAGAGCATCCCTCGGTCAATCTGGCCTTTCCACCGGTGGGTTGGCAAAGGACGGTAGAGCAGCCAGCGCAGATGACGACGGTCTGGGCATGCGAGAAGACGGTGGTGATTGTGAAGCAGCCGGGGCACTTGACGTCCATGAAGAAGGATCGGGGAGCAGGCACAAGGGTCTGTATAAGGTAGAGGGTTGATTGTTAGATATTTTCGATGACTTTCCACTCCGGCAATGTAGCTTCTCATTTGAAGGGGCGATGCGACGGTGCAACGGTGATGGCGACAGCACATACCTTGAGCTTGTGCTTGCGAGCCTCCGACTGGGGCTGGGGGTTAAGAAGGTCGACCGCGAGAACCTATTAATCGGTATCCGTCAGCTATTTTTTCCCTCCATGACTGCCATCTTCAAGCCCCGGTAGACGCCATCATGAGGTTTTGACTCATGCAGTCCATCATCTCACGACGAACGAGCAGCATCGCTATCAGGGAAACGGCCAGACATACCATGTTGACTCAATATGTCTTGTCTGGAAGAGGAGGTGTGACGAGGTTGCGCTTCTGGAGGTGGTTTTGCGAGAGAGTCGACGGTCGAGCAGGAGAAGAAGCGAGGAAGAAGAAGCGAAGTTGAAGTCAAGATCGTGTGAGAAGTTGCGAGTTTTCGCACACAGAAAATTTGACGTCGCCGAAAGGGGCTAGCCTGGGTTGAGGTCGCTTAACTAACCTGTTTTGCTTTAGCGGATGAGGTAAAGCAGGCTAGTCTGTATTAGGAAAGAACAACGACCATCTCGAAAACACGAAAAAGACACGAAAAAGACGAAGAGGAAGACGAAGATGAACAAGTCTGGAGGAGATGCAAGACAATGAAGAGACGACAGTAGGATAAAGGCATTTGATGCTTGCATCGACGCTGCTTGCCGACTTTCATTTGAGAGTTTGCTGGGTGTTAGCAAACTCCAAGGGACATAACTATATACAGCGCGTTCTCTACACCTTACTCTAGGGATACCAAAGACAAGAACACCCGGCTTGATATTCTTCTAAAACCCTGATACCCTTATAAGCCCTGAACATGAGTGTTGCTGTTCAGTGAACTTACTCATTATTCGTGTGTTGGTTAAGATCAAGGAGTACCGTACCTTAGTCTCTAGCGGAGTACCCCTGAATGTTTGTAGTCCTATGAAGGCCACAAAAGGCTGGTTGAGAGCTGTCTATCCACAGAAGCCTAGCCTTGCTCTTATCGGGAACTCTATAATAAGGTATAAGCTGTTTGGAAATGGCAGTACTACCGAACTTACATGTACTGGGATTCTTGTGAATGCTTTACAACAACCAAACAAATATCAGCCAATCCAACATTTTCACACCATTTAGAATATATTACAACGGAGGTTAGAAGTGCAAAAAAATGATTATCTACATACGGGACAGTCGGGATTCGCTGGTGGTCACCCACCCAACTACTAACCGACCGGCAAGTGGCTTAAGTACAGCTGAGCGGACGGGAAGCTCTGTTTTCCACTTCCTATGGTCGTATGTGCTTGATACAAGGCTGAAGGGGTTTATATAGGCCATACTCAACACGGCGGTTAACTACGTAGGTAAATTTCTGTCTGCTTTCATTGCACAAAAGTGGCTAAATCTTCATTATGGAGTTACTACAGATAGAAGTATTATTTGTCTATTCTCAAGATACCTTATTTCTCGGTATGGAGTAGCTCTTTCTCTCCGAAACGTAAGTTAGTAGATGCATAATTTGACCAAAGTAAACCTCCCTTCATTGATGAATGCGTCCCCGATAAAAGTGGAAGTCTCAAGGGTTTTTGGCTTTCAGAGGATCCGCATTGTCGACACAAGGATACTTGATGGTCAAGCACCAGATATCCAAATAATCACATATGCTGGTAATCACATCGAACTAGCAATTCACAGTGGTTAACAATATATCTCCAGGGGTCCACTGAACATAAGGAAACTTACCACGAAACTTCCGTATATACCAACTGCAAGGCCCAGACAGGTAAAGACGAAGGCGACTTGGCTCGGTCCAGAGCCTATAAAGCTGTTCTCCAATAGTCCAAGTTTCGGGAGCAAACTGTCGATAACACCCACGGCAAGAGGAAAGTTGATCGCATTGTGGTATGGGAAGTCAAGCTTTACCAGATGAGCAACGATCATCTGCCCAACTGAGTAAGCGTTAAGGATACCGCCAAATAGGACGACAGGGACAAGATGGTTATGCAGTATGTCGGGATGCATGTATAGGTACGGCACCAGCAATGTCCATGGTAAAATTGCAGGTAGCAAGCCGTAAAGTGGGGTGTACTTGCTATCTTCACCACTATGCCTATTACCACCGACAGCCTTCTTAGCCAAATGGGCTTGCGGATCCAGTCGGCGTTCAGCGTTACGTTTCTCGACAACTTCCAGGACGTTCATGATACTGGTCACGGTACTGAAAAGGAGAACAACTCCACCGTAGATCAACCACCAAGTGGTGAATGAGAGATTGTAAGTGGAATCCGAAAGCAGTGGGAAATGCGGAATGCCCAGAGTTGGTAGCATGGGCTTGTGCCAGAAGCTTCCCCCTCCGAGAAGAGCGGTAGTAAGGAAAACAAAGCAGAGTGATAGGATACCCTCGACTGGACCAGAGACGATGCCAAGTGTGAGGACATGGGTATGGTATTCCTCCCATGTTTGGACGTAGAATGTAAAGACAGCTGAAATCATGTTAGACCAGTCAATTATATATCAGTTGGGTACCCAACGTACCACCGAAAAGGGTGAGAACGGTTGCCCAGCTCTGCCCTAGGTTCACTGCACCAGCAAAAATAAGTACTCCAAGTCCAGTGTTGCAAGCATCAACGCCTACATAGTAGTTAGTATAAGCCTGAGATTCTCAAAACAAGGCCGATCTTACCATGATCGAACAATTCTCCCAAAGGCCCGCTCTGTTTTGTTCGTCGACTATCTACCAAGTTAGCATGCTACTCCTCCACCCCGGTAAATAGTGATATGACATACGCCTGAGTCCCGTCAACAGCGTCAAAAGTCTGGTATAAGAACAACCCTACGGCCCAGCTGAGATACACCCAGGAAGGACAATCCTTGTCCAGAGTAGGGTTGTACCACATTAAAGTTAAGAAATTCACAACGACGAATGAGAATCCTGTCAGTGTAATCTATCATGACCTAGTAAGCATATAAATAGCTTGGAAATGTTTTCATAGAGCTTGCTTACAAGATTCGGCCTGTGCTATCGTGTTAGTATGTCCATCCATTTGCAAACGAGAGAAGCCATTGACTCACGCCATCGACATAGGGAACAGATTAATAACATAGTTCGTATAAAAGGGCTTCAAAATATATTTTGAAGTCAACGACTTGTCAACCGAAGCGTATTTGTACTGCTTCAAGCCATCAAGGGCGCCCGCTCGTATATAGGTCATTTTTTGGCCTTGGGTCCCTCGTCTATGAACTGAATAACCGAGTAAGAAAACAAGATAAGTTTAAGGAACAGAGCCAATGATAGAGGTATTAATAGACCCTTTTCCAAGAAAAACTGTCGATATTATATCTTCAGTTCCCAAGGGAGGTGGGGAGTAGAGGTCGTTTTGTATATAAAGACCCCCTTGCTCGGTGACTTCCCGAGTATATAAACAAGGTGAGTTTATTATGGTTACCCACAGCGGGCAAGTTATGAAAAAAAGGAAGAAAAGATGTAGTGAATATAAGAAAAGAACGCGCTGCTTGCTTGGTCCTTCATCACTTGTCTCGTTTGCTGCTGTTGTGTTATTATTGAAGAGCGAAGAAAAAAGAAGGAAAAAAAAGTGACGTTCTTGTGTTTGGCCAAGGAAAATACCGGCTTGGCAGGGACCGAGCGCGATCGGGAAGATATCAAGATCACACGACCGAGACGAAGATGCAGATGCAGATAAAGATCAAAGAGAATATTGGCTGGCTTGGATACTGGTATATATTCTGAAAATGAGCTTCAGTGTAACAAGATGCTAAGATATACATGTGTAAAGAAAAAAGACCCCAGAACTCAGTATACTACTATTCCAGCCGTCTGCTTCTGACAGCAACGTCCGATGAAAGAGGGAGATGCCCTCAAGGCGCCTCTCAGCTTGCATGGGTTTGCATCTATCACCTCCCCGGGAAGATACCACGAATTATCTTTCATTCTTGATTCCCTTCCTGTCAATACGGGAGGAAGAACCATATATCATGTAGACTTCTCTAGCAGTTTCGACAGCGGACGGCCGGCCTAACCGACGGGGCTCCATGGCATGGGGATCAGAATTCTACTCTTCATCGTCTGGATCAATGGAACAGTCTTGTGCACTGTGTCGGCCCAGCCTTCGAGTTCCCACGACTGCTCGCGTCTCTTCTTTCGCTCTTCTAGGTCTGCAAATTGCCACAAATGGTGGACAGTGTTGAGATCACCAATCTGCACGAACCATGCGCCGACTCCTTCCATGATCTTTCGCCTGGCAGCTAGGCCTCGTCTCCAGTGGCTCTCCCACTCTAAGAGATTACCCGGGTGTAGGGTGTACGATCGAAGTTCGAAGACACCGCCCAGTCGGCGTGGAGGTGTGGTGGGCCAGAATGAGAATTCTTGCATGAGCGACGTCTTCTTGCTCTTGATGAGTGACTTGAGTTTACGGTCGAACTCAACGAAACCTGGCTGTTGACCAATCTCATGGAGAGATGCGTGGTATCCGGTGTATCTCTGGTACTCCCAAATGTGAACTAAGGTGCCAGTTAGCTTTTGAAAAGGTGCAAGATGCAGGGCAGAGTGCTAAATACCAAAAGTGTCGTTATCTCCGACTTGAGTCCGCCAGCTGCCGACGAGGTTGACTCTGTTCTGTTCCATACCAGCCATCTTGGGGTACCATTCACCAACCAGGCCTACATACTCGTCGACCTTGTCCGGCTTGACCTCGTGGAAGACAATCGAATGGACGTATTTTCCTCGTGCCAAGACTTCGGAGAAGGACCGCTCGATATCCTTGTCTAGCTGTTGGCCTTCTTTGGTGCCGTAGATGAGACTGGAAAGACGGCCACGGCCCGGACCGCCGCTATTCTCTGCCTGTTGCCGGTCTCCTACAATGCGGTGGGTTGACAGTGAGCCTAATGCCTTGCGGTCCAGCGAGGACGCAGCATCAACAACAGTGGAAGGTCCACTCGCATTGCTCGCATCTGGAGCAGTGGGAGGGGGCTGGGCAGAGGAGGAGGACGAGGAAGAAGAGGACGAGGAAGGAGAAACAGGGGCAGAAGCATCAAGCGACTGACTGTCTTGCTCTGCTTTTCTTTTCCGAGCAGCTTCTAGATTATCACGGAACTCCTTCTGGCGGGTGTTGAACGTTGAGGCATTGTCTGGGGTAACGTCTCGGATGGAGGGGGCACGCAGCCGGGTACATGAGGTGCTGAACGGACGAAGAAGAGAGTGAGAGGTGCCGGATCGAAGCAGACGCGACGCCAACATGATGGACGATGGCACGCGGGCGAAAGGTGAGTGATCGGTTCGTTTTTTTTCAAGCAGAAGAGAAAGCGGACAAGAGGTGTTGTTCGAGCTTGAGTTTTATTTAAGGCTCGAGATGGCTGCGTGCGGGACAGGTACAAAGGGGAGAGGCCGAACGGCTAAAGGGTCGCTGCGGTTTGTGTATTGAGAAAGGGACTGAGGAAAAGCGAAGAGATAGAAAAGGAGCAGGGCTTTGAAATTGCAAGCAGCTGTATGGAAAGAGGGGAAGCTAGCTCAGGTTCAGGCTCAGGGCAAGGAGGTCGGTCAGGCAGGGATAAGTAACTATGTATACGGGTAACTAGCATGCAGCAAGCCGCTCGACCGATAAGAGCGTACAGACAAAGAGAAGGCAAGGCTCCCAAGTGAGACGAAGGAGAGACGGTGGATTTGGCCCCTGAATAGCAGCCGGAAACGCGCGAAAAACCGCAGAAAAAAAGGGATGAAGAGCTCGAAGTTGGTTGAAGTTGATGAAGTTGACGAAGTTGACGAAGTTGATGAGAAGCGAAAGAAACAAGAAGGAGAAAAACAAAGGAAGAGTCACGTGAGAGAAAGCGGGAAGACCCCAGACACTAGTCCCCTTTGGGTTAGTCATTTTGTTACGTCATAGATAAGCGGAAGTTAGTTAATCCTATGTTAGTCAGCAGTCGAGATCGTGCCGAGGCTTCTTGTCTTGGCGCAGTCGAAGGCGAAATATGTAATCAAATATCAAACAAGGCAGCGCAGGGGGAGAATGTGAGAGAGAGATAGAAGACAAACAGTGACAGGATAACAGTTAAAGAGCTGTTTTGTGCCTACAGACAGCAAGATGGCAAGCCTACAGCACCCTCCGTTGAGCTACGAGGCATCGGCCACCACTACTCACCCACACTTCGCTACTTGTCTACCGCAGGAAGTGGTCTCCTGCCTCAAGAACTCTAGATTCGTAGGTTCTCCCACGCAACAACGCAGATGAGCAACAGGATACCCCGTACATATATGGCTAACAACAGTGTACCAGTTACATCTTGCAACATGCGACGGGCTCAATCCTCACATCTCTCTCATGAGCTACACCTTTCTCCCCTCCACGCCGTTCAACCCCACCACCCCAACCATCATCATGACCACCAACCCTTCGTCGAAGAAGACACTCAATCTCCGCTCCAATCCACGGGTATCCCTTCTCGTACATGACTGGGTTTCTCACAGACCTCCCACCCGAACCCGAGATGCCGGACGGGAAGGGTCTCCGCCTCCCGCAGCTACGCAGTCCAGTCTCGCCACTTTACTTCTAAACATCAACACCAGCGCCATGAGCAGTATCAGCACTACGATAATAGGTGAAGCCCGGGTCCTTGATGTGGGCAGCGAGGAGGAGAAGTGGTGTAGAGAACGCCATCTCGAGAGTAACACGTTCATCGCAGACGAGGCGGGAGTTGGTGTGTTCAGCGGCGGCGGTCAGGCGCGGCAGGACGGGACGGGAGACCAGGAACGGCGGCCGTCCATCATGGATGACGATGTCAATGTGGTCGTGGTGGCCGTCAAGGAAGGGAGGATCGCAGATTTAAAGGGTGGAGTGCGAGATTGGGCGGTTGTGACAGAGGGGCAGGTGAATGGCGTAGCCCCCGGTAGCTAAGTACCGCAATCACTCTCTATCTTTACCTTTGCTAGCTACGCTCCTCTTTACCGCCTCCTTTTCTCCTTTCCGGCTACGAGGCGGAAAGGCAAAGCTGTACCCCTTCTGCCCGGTTATTGTTATTTGTATGGAGTAAAGTCACTTACCCTTCGCCGTGAGAGTAACCATGACGCAACAGCCGACGACAAGCAGAAACGCAATCTCTCGAATTAATGAGCTATCTGAATCCCACTAACTAGGTTAAGGGCTTAAAGGATGGCAATATCCAAGGATCTTCCCGCTAGTGCTGATCTATGAACTCACATTGTCAGAGAACAGGAAACTGGGCCATGGACCGAACGCTTATCTACGCCACCATTATTCACTATTCCATGTATATATTTCTACCGGCAGCCGGCTCACGGCAAAGTCATATGTATAACTAATGGAAATAACGCCAAGTGCCGTTCGCGGATGCTATCGCACAAGCGCTCTTCTCGGGTCATCCACGGAGTATCCGGCAAAGTATTGTTAGCGTTATTAGCCCCTTTCTAAAGGGTCCCAATTTCACGCGACTGGTAGAGCAAATGTTGCTATAGCCGGGAAGCCGACGTTATTACATTCAAGTCTCGGCATACAGAGCAATTCCATGAGGCCAATTCAAAGGCAGATTCGCATTGACTTGACGCGCTACCGCCCTAGGCGACATTTAACCCTTGTTTTTATGTTTTTATGTATTTTTTTTTTCTTTTTTATTTTTCCGCAGAAGAACTCCATGTGAATCACCGTTAGTTAGCCTGTGCAGGGATCCGGTGGTTCTGAAACCCTTCCATGCTCTTGAGCAAGAAGAGAGCCAGCCATGAGGCGAAAGCTCCTTAATTAGTTACCAAGGTCGCTAAGCAGCTAGTTAGTTGAGTGGGCTCGGCTATCGAGTGTAAAAATAGCCTAGCCTCTATAATGAACGCTCACACAGCTGAGATCAGCGCAGGGAACAAGAATATCGCTCCCCTTTCATCTCAAGGCCAAGCGGAAAGAAAAATCGACGAACTTCCATTTCTACGGAGGATTGAATCTCCGGCGTCATGTAGCTTGGCACATGATTTCCGACGCTTGGCTTTTGCTTGGCCACTTCCCAATTGAAGAGCCGTTGGAAGACGTGAACTATACGCCAGTACGATATAGGGGCGTCAAAGCGTCGTCTCATGGGATGAAGATCACATTGTTCGGGAGTTTTTTTTTTTTTTTTTTTGCAGATTCGATGTCCCAGGGTGCGACTTTTGGTCAGTTACCGCTACATTCCGAGACATCCTGGAGATCCAAACCGGGCTGGAGCTAGCTCTAGTTCCTCATGAACAGGTTGGATGGCGTGCGTCAAGCGTTGGTGGGGAGTCCACTTGCCAGTTTGCTCGTTCACTCACAGGCCAAACAAGGGGTAAAAGTGGGATTGGAAGCGGAGCTCTCACTTGGCGTGACAATGCGCCAGGCCAGGCACCAGAGGTATCCATGCATTGAAAAAGCGGAGATGCCGAGGGCTTTTGCTATAGCGCGCGATAACTAAAGTAGTTGCATATGTATACTACTGCGTGAGTGTGCCTAGGTACGATGTCAAAGGAGTTGGAACCGAAATCTATATGGTTTAAGGGGCCGATAGGCTCGTTTCAACAGGTACAAGGGAACGAAATCGACCTGTCATAATGGAACGTCATTCGCTTGAAAGGATAGCCAAGCATGGTTGTCTTCCTTGTTACATATACGAAGACGTGACTTCAGCGCCAGAGGAGTGGCCCTGGAACGACAAGGACCCGGAACATTGAGCAGCTGCTTCTCTGTGCATGCCCATACCAAACCCCCCAATCTAGACCTGAAAATGCCACAATTTGTTCGCTACCAACGAATGCAGTCGATATAAAAGCTAGATTTAGAGTTTACGGGAAGGCCCGTCCGTCATAGTGGGTCCATTATATAGCTTAGTAAGCATGACTTTCTTACGACGAAAGTGCTTTTTTCCGTGCTTGTTAGCTTGTTAGCTTGTTAAATCTCGGAAGGCGTCAAAAAGTGGGCGGATAGGTGGAGGAAGGGAGTTAGTTTTACAACGGTCGGGGCGCTGTCAGATGACATAAGTGAATAAATTTCTTTTTTTGTGTTTTTAGTAGTTAATAATATGACTGCATAAGGGAACGAAAAAGTGAGGCAAAGATGCGAGGGTGCTCTAGCTAGCTCTCCTGTCAAGGACGAAACTAAGTAGAATGGGAACGAAAACGTTTGTGGGCTGCATCATGTCGGTGAATAAAAGAGACCGGCGAAAGGGAAGGGACCAGAGAAATATAACACGAAACAAGGTTACATAAGAAATACTCGCCGTTCTAAGGAAACACGAAAGGAACAGGAAGGACAGGGCATTAGGGAAGAAGCATGTAACAGCTGTTTCACTCTAAACACGATTGAGTGGGCTGCGAGAAAACGGAAAAAACCCGAAATATCAAGTCAAAGGTATAGCCGGCAATCTTGGCTGAAAGGGGGAATAATAGTAAAACAAGAGGAATCGAGGGAAAAGTCGAAAGGGAAAGGAAAAATAAGATAACACCCGATAGAAAAGTTGATAAAAAGAGCCCGAAACATGTCGATGATAGTTACTCGGAGGAGTCAGAGGGGTCAGAAGGGTCAGAGGGCTCAGAGGGATCAGAGGGCTCAGAGGAAGAGCCGGAGCGGCTGGAGGGTTTCTTCTCTCGTTTGTTAATTTCGCTGGGGTCCCATTGAGAGGGCTGAAACTCGGAATTGAGGAAGTGGGCTTGGTTGAAGTGGGAGCTAGAGACATGTGAGCAAATAGATACGTACACGATATATATTGGAAACTTACTTTCTAAACGGAATGGTCAAGGGCAGACAGTTCATTTCTGGATCGACAAGCGGGTTCATTCGGATGGGTAGTTCAGAGGACATGTCTCCTGATGGTGGTTGTTGTTGTTGTGGGAGTTGCTGCTGTTGCTGTGGGAGCTGTTGTTGTTGCGGTAGTTGTTGCTGTGGTAGCTGTTGTTGTGGTAGTTGTTGCTGTGGCAGATGCTGTGGTGGTGGTGGATGATGGGGTGGTGGTGGAGGAGAGCGGCTGGGAAGGTAGATGCTTGCGTGTCTGGGCGGAGCGGGTCAGAAATCCATATCTCGTGATAAATTATATTATCCTCTGTAAGATAGGTGGGGGGCACGTAGTACTCCTCGAATGGAGAAGGAGCAGTTGCCGGGTCTAGAGGGAGGCTTGGGACAGCCATTAAGACTGCGTTCAGATCAAAGTTGAGAGAGTTAGGATACCAGGGAGAGTAGTCGCAGGTCATGGAAAACTGATAGTTTACGGGAGTTGGCGACTGAGCCGTGCCATAGAGGAGATCGTAATGGCCACTAAAGCCATATGTTAGTCACGAAGCCTTTAAATGTGTAGGTGTGTAGAAGACGTACGGTCTGTACAGGAGTTTGATAACCCCGAGAGAATCAGTGCGCTGCGGTGTGAGCTGGTGCGCGTTGACCTTGTCACCCTGGCTGCGGTCAAGGTAGAGAATCTGAACATCGAAACCCGATTCTTCAATGACGCCATCAACTAAAGCCTGGAGGCTGATTTCATCAATCTCGGTCTTCACAGTATCGACTCTTTCTGAGCAATACTGTTCAAGTGGGACGGGCAGGAAAGCTTCGTATCTTCCCCGGTTGAGCCGCATCCATGAGCTCGTCATCAGCTGGGAGAAAGTCAGTACAATGCGCGGTAGAGGCACCCTCATGAGCAGGAGTAAGAAAAGAAAACCAACCCTAAAGTGAGTAATGAGGGCGTTAGAGTTCCACTCATTGTTAAATGCCTCGACGATGAACGTCTCGTCCTGGTTGTTTTTGGCAATCTGCTCGGCCATGGCGTTTAAGAGGTCCAACGTGGCATCAGCAAAAGTCTCGTACAGATGCTCCTGGTAGCCCACGGCATTCAACAATTCGTTAAAGCCCTTGATTCGAGCAAACTCTTGAACGACTTTGCCATGATCGCGCAGGGCAAACAGGCTTTCAAAATAGCCAAAGGCCACAGCTACAAGACAGATTAGCATGAGTAACTTGGTTATTTCGCAGTGCGACAAAACTTGGGGAAGTGAATCGAACCTCTCCATCCACAATTGCCATCACCCTTCATGATGCGATAGTGCGAGTGAGTGTGGGCAAGCGACTGTTACATCACCATCAGTACACTTATGTTTTCTTTTCATTTTATTTTGTTCATGCTTTTTGAAGTAGTCATATAGCATGGGGATGAGGGAGACCTACCGCCGTCTTTGCGACGAAGACGGGATCAGCCTGCGCATACTCCTGGCTGAGCGCAGCGCTGGCCTGCTTCACGCCAACAAGAGGGCCCTTGAACGGATGTCAGCATGTCCATAAAGCACGACAGAGCGCACAATCCTCACTAACCTGCAGCTCTGGCTCGTACTCGTTAGAGAGCTTCTGGAACTGAGCCATCTCGTCCAGCGGCGGGCTGGCCATGGCGGGCTGGTGGTCGATGGGCGCGCGGTAGATCCGAGAGATGAGCAAATCTGGCCGACACTGGTGAATGATACTAAACTCAGGGTCGGCGAAGTTGAAGTGCTCGTTGAAGACGTAATGGTCCACCAGCTCGACGTTGGGCTGATGCTGGTGCTGCTGAGGCTGCTGGCGGCGCTGAGGTTGCTGATAGTCGAAGGGCATCGCTTCGTCTCGCGCTGTGGGGAAAAGAGAATAAACATTGGCTCGCTCGGCCTCCATCATTGACTAACACCAACTAGTTATGTATCTTCACAAGGTTCCGTGTGCACTCTGCAACTGCACAACGTCGAGCAAAGGAGGCAAGACTGGCGTCTCTTCTGCCCTGGCTCGTTTCTTCTTCGGCTTCTACGTTCGCAGTCGAGGCAATCTGGCCAGCGGGTTCTTTGTCGTGACGGCGCGGGGATGGGTCAATCAGGTCAGGTCAAGCAAGCAAGCAAGATGCAGACAAGGACAAGGGGACAAGGAGACGCTGGATAGTGAGGAAATGCAGTACAAGGAAGGCTCTGGAAGACGGAGACTGTCACTGATTTGAGCATCAGGGCCGGCTCCCCAGGGTGGTTTATATACTGAAGAGACGCTACGGACGGGGATTGCGTTTCTGGCCAGGTAACTATGCAGCATATGGGACGATGATCGGGAAATGAACCAAACAGCTGCGCCTGCTTACGACACGATACTGTAACCCGCTAACGAAGGGAAGCCGCATATAGGTTCTATACAAAGATGTCCCGGTGCGAGGAGCAAAAGCAATAAGCCAGGGACACAAAAAAAAGTTATAGCCGACTTAGCGGGTTTGGTCGAACACAAGGGCACAGAAGACTAAAGACCACCGGCAGCATCACGAAAAGGAAAAGTAAAAAAAAAGAAAAGGAAACTGAAAAAAAAAAAGAAGAAGAGCAGAGACAGAGAGTGACACTCCCGCTAACTAGTGCTGGCGGAGCGTTAGGTGGGTGGGGAGTCTGGCAGGGCCTCGCAGCAGAACCAAAGGAGCCGGCGTCGATTGACAAACAGACGGGGGGAGGAGACATGACACACACCACAGCCAGCGAGACAGATTCCAGAACACACACAGGCCCGTCGGGCGTAGCGATGAATCTACGGCGCCACGGTATCATCAATTAGGTCTACAGAACACATCTATGCCGCTTCTGCAGGGCTACACGGGTACCAGCAGTCGACTTGACTGTGTGACACGGGCTGACAGGCGAGGATCCAAAAGGAAAGTTACCTGAAAGGAGAGAGTGACAACTGACGGAGAGAGGTGACCAGACGGACAGGTACTCTCGCACACCCTCTCACACCCTCTCACACCCTCACACACTCACGCAGATACATTTTATTTTTACGGGGAGGATCCTCTTGTTTTAATTGATCAATGGAAGTCTGCATAAATTCATGCAAGGGAGCAATCAAGCGGGCAACGGACTTGGGGCCCCTGTCTTCCGGTAGCCAGCACCAAGGGCCCCCTTTTCTTCTTCTTCACTCTTTTCTTCCTTTTGGTTTTTTTTTCTCCCTTTTCTTCTCTTTCTCCTTTTGTCTCTTGCTGGTTCGTCCCACAGAGCGACTGCAGTCGAAATTGATGGACAGAAAGTACGGAGTACGCCGTAAGAAGAGTTGAGTACTGTGGGTGACTTCAAGCAGAGCTGGCCCGTGGGTGAGAGCGTGCTCCTGAATATGGGGCCATATTAGGGGAGGGCCCCATATTCTACATATATATCAACCTGATAATTACGCTAACCCGCCAATCGTCCAGTGCACATTTATAGAATCTTGCTGGAAATAATAGAGCGACCGCTACAGTTCCGTTGACAAGGGTACAGCTGTCTTTCCCCCCCTCCGGTACTTAGGAACCGGTCTGAAGCCTAACCAGATAAGATTTCTCAAGACTGCCGGCCACCAGCACTCAAGCCACGAAGGCTCCCGGGGACGGATTGATATCATTTGTCAGACCTCCCCTTGGCACAAGACCTCTTTTCATGTCTCTTTTTCTTTTTTCTCTCTTACTTGCAGACATCAACAATAGTAATAGTACTATTATTACTCTGCAAACACAGCATCCTGCTGCTGCATGAAAGACCAATGCTGCTGGCGCATTTCCAGCCCAAATCGAATTCAATACCTACTTATGGAGTACGGAGTACCGCAGTTACATTAGTGTAGGAGCATCCCGTTTGTCTCTCAATCCTCGGGGACTTATCATCGTCCCCTCCTTTTTCCCCATGTCTGCCTGTTACAGAATATTCCGTCCTGTGATCGCTACGCCTCGAAAACAAACGGACTAGCTGTACAAACGCAAAAAGTTTTCTTTCCACAGTCATAGTGCAGCCGGGCAAAAGTGAAAAGGAAAACCAGAAAAACTCTTTTCTCCACAGTCCGGTGGCTCCAGGAACTCCTGCTGGTTCTGTTTTTGGCAAACAATACCTTGTTGCTGATCGGACGATGGAGATTACATGTTAACGGCATTGCACATCAACTTCAAGCTAGCTTAATATGAGGCAATAAGTGGCTCTACTCTGGGGTTTTGCAAAAACTCGAGTACAAACGGGCAAGGATAACAATGTCGGTGTTGGTCCTGATGCATACTCCCAACCTCCGCCTTATCGGGATCATGACCCAGCTGCTATTAAATCTGCGGAGTACCATCTCCCCTAGAGCTATAGCCGATGGTGGCCAAGCCTTGACCGCCATGTCGCAGCTCAGAATTCAAAAAAGGAGAAGGTACTACAAAGTATGTACACCAATGTCGGGCGCCGGGGTACTCCGTACACAATTTGGTATCCATCAAGGGAGGGAAAGTCTTGCAAGATACCTTCTTCAGCTCTGCACGAGCTAGCGCATTGAGGAACCGAGGATCCGTTCTTTAACGCCGCAATTATTGCTCGCAAACAAGAAATGCTGAAACCACCAGTCACTGAAGAATCTGACCTGGAGAATGGTCCCCCCTCAGGAAATAGTTATGAAAACAAGGAGCAGAAGAAAAAGAAAAGAGCCTCATAGGAAATACTCGTTGGTCAAGACCCGGTTTCATTATACCTAAATTATGGTCCAGGGGAATATCTCCGTTCTCCAAGCTATGCCCGTCTGTATACATAGTTTGTGGGTGTGTTACAGGGCTTGTCCTGGTCTTCATATGCCTAAACAAGCACCAGTAAATAACAATGTCATCCGGAGGCCTAGCTGTGCCACGAAACATACTGCATGTACGAAGAAGTTGCCCTATAGTCGCACAAGCACAATTCACCATCATGACTGGCAGAGTCTGTCCATACGTGATGCATGCGTGTACAAGCATGTACTTCAGTTTCCGATGGCCTCGGACAATATACTCGTCGTTGAGCTTATACATCTTCAACCAGACTGGCCATTCTCAATTGTACGACCATCCGTTTTGAAGCCAATGATTGTTTGTCCTTACTAGATTAATCTTCCTTGTGTCCATGGAGCCTTCTCTCCATAGTTTGGGAGCTGGTTGAGGAACGTCACATATTACATCGGAATGGTTTTCGGGACTCCTCGTGCTGGGCCCGTACCTTACTTATCCCACCAGGTATGACCCTTACCCCTTTTGGAACTTAGTTATTCTACCCATTGCAAACCGACAGCTAACCGACGAGCTGCAAGCATGTTTCACTCTCCGTTGCCACTAAAGGAGGGCACACCAGTGCTCCGCATAATGATATCGAAGTTTATTCAACCCCTCCGGGACAGCAGATAAAAGAAACGAAAGGTATAGAGACCAGAAGATGAAAAACCAAAATACCTCTCTGCAGCGTATCAGAGTAACACTGCAGGTGTGAATTCTGTGGATACGAATGCAGGATGCCTAGGATAAAAGGGGGGTTGAATGGGTATTAACAAAGGTATTGGACATATCTCTTTCCTCTGCCTGACTGTCTCTCTTCCTAACTATCGTTTAGATGGCGCATGGTAGGCGGTATACATGCGGCGGCCCCATAGTTTATGCATGTTGCGAATCATGGGAAAAATTAATATTATAATTCTTCTTCCTTTGTTGCATAACTAATTAAGGCTCCAAGCGATTGATCATGTACATTACGTACGTGGCAAGTATCGACATGCTGGGTCGAATATGGGCATGTTGATTAGGGCCGTTTGTTAAATTATCTCGCGGGTACCAGCAGCGTGCATGCATGCATGCCACGACAATGACCGACGGGTAGGTACATGAGTGGCGCTAAGCCACCGTCTGTTCTTCCACTTTTTCACTGCTGTTTACAGAGAATATGGCGATTGTACCTTGACAATTCGGTTGCTTGTACCCCGTACGCCGCATAAGCATTAGCCGTCCGGATACGCCGGTTGTTTATTTCGTAGGTACATATACACCCATACATACATGCAATCCGTTTGCTTCCCCCTGGAAGCCTGGGAGCCTGTGGCGCCGCCAGAGTTGTGCAGCTAGCAGTATGATTAGGAACAGCTGAGCATAAGCGAGAGTGGTATGATGGTTGTTCAATTCTCTCCCGACCCGTCTTCTGTTTGTACTTGGTACAAGGGCAAATTTATCACAAAGCTAATATATTCTTTAATTAGACATTACATTCAATACGTACACATATCTTTCGACTTTACTGGCAGTGCCAGTGTGAAGATGACTTCTCTAGTTTCTTTCAGGTCATGCCATCCAGCACTTGCCCGCCTGGCTTGCATATTCCACAACATCTTTTTCTTCCCCGCTCAATAAATTGGATTATGCATTGTCCGTTGATCATCAGGACGATACTTATCGAATAAGGATATTCACGCTTTCATTTCGATATCACCGTCACTCAAGTTCCCGTCCACCGCTTTCTTGTCCCTCCTCCATTGATGGACTGCGGCGCAGGAGAATCCGAAATAAACCAGGTATAGCAGCGTGATCAGATATCCTGTCACCTGTCGAGTCCAGAACAGGCCATACCATGCATCCGGGAATGTCCGTTCGACACAAGCATCGATTAACGGAGCCAGGGTGGAGAAGGACACCCACAGTCCCATGAAGCAGAACGATAGCACCAGAGCAGCGATGGGATGCAATAGATCCCTAGTATAAAGCCATAGTTGGATTGGAACATGGAATGTCTCGATTGCAATGGGGATAAACAGCCAGATTATCTGTCCTCTAAGGATAGAAGTTAAGGGTTAGTTTTTTTCCTCGGCCTGTATGGATGAGGGAGTCAAGGGGACAGAAGTGCTAACGGATCACAGTCTTCCAGCGTATCGTTCCATCGAATCGGGGGATAATCGCCCCCGGAACTAGCATTTTTCTCATAAACGGCCGAGAAGATGCTAGCAGCAATTACAAACACCCATAGAAGACAGCATAGCACTGCAATCGGTACGAGGGACCATTTCCATATGTTCAACGCCCTGAGATAACTGCATGGCCGCTGCTGGAGGCTGGGAATTTTCGATTCCGCCATATTTAAAAAGGTTTATTATAATAGTTATATAAAAACGTAATTATGATATATCCTGCCTTCGTGGAATGTCTTTATCATCCGGCAAGCGGGTCGCTAAGCTGGTAGATATATATATATCTCATCGAGTATTATAATGGCGGAAGGCTAGTTATGGGTAGTTAGCTCCTTGGCCCATGACATCGTGAAGGATTTTGATGGGCGGTGGGCGGGTCTTTAATAGAACATGACATGGTTAATAAACTTGAAGGACATCGTATTGACCAAGGAGATCCATTTTAACACGAGCAGAGCAGAGCAGCTCCATGAACTGGCGGATGATGGAAAGACAAGAGCTGGCGGTGATTTGGCGGCTGGGGAAGAGACTGGAGAAGATCAACCGCCAAGCGTGGCTGCGCCTTGGGAGAAAAGCGACGTCATAGTTCTATCTCCTCGTCAGTTTATATAGCAGGAAGGACGATGGGCAAGCGTGTTGATGTGACGATAATCTCAACAGGCACAGGAGGAAGACGATAGGGAGGACGTTGTGGCAAAGATTATGGTCTTTGATATTAGGGTAGGACGGTGGTTAGCAGACAGGGACATGAGGCGCTTTTGCTGTTCATCAGATCATAAGAATATGATAAATACTCCATCAGAAACTCCAAGGGAACTTATTAACTATTTAAGATGCAAGCTTGCTCCAACCTGGTCGACCGGTTTTCCCTTTGGCTTGTCTGAATGATCTATCTCCAAATCCCATACCCATACCCATGCTTGATAGCCCGATGGATTCATGGGCGTAAGCATGGCCAAATCTCATTCCACCGAAGCCTCCCATCAGGGGGTGCATGTTGTAGGCATGATCGGGCTTGAACCCTTCAGCATGCTCGAAGGTTGCATCGTACAAGGTTTTAAGATTATGATTCCAAAGTAGCAGGGCGTTGGAGCGGTCATCATCGAGATTGCATATTCGACTGATTTCCACAATGCCATCTTCTTCGTTAATCTTCGCATTCACTAGCTCTTCGTTGAGAATGAGGAAACTGAGGATATCTTGGACTTCAGTAACGGAGATCTTGAGTTTCTTGGAGACAAATGCGAGGGTGAAGCGAGTGTAGGGTTGGATGAGTTTCATGACGGCCTTGGTACGCATGTTACGGCTAACTTCGCCGATGTTCTCAGCGATAAAGTGGTCCTCCAAGAGATCTGGTTTGTTCCGGAGGACTGCCTCATAGGCATGGATGTCATCACGTTGGAAGGCATCTACAAGGTCAGTCATGCCAGAAACTCGAGGATCATCTTTGTAAGGTTTCGTCTCCTGGGAATCAAATGGGTTGATGTCCGACTTCATCAACATTGTCGCTAGAACCATATACTTCAACACCTGAATGCGCTGCATCGATCCAGCTTCGTCGTAGTTGCGGAATGACTCAAAGAAGTCGCTGTGAGCTTCCTTCCAGTTCTCTTCGCTCATATGCATTTTGCCGCCGCACTCACGTATGATACCCATAATCTTTGGATGCGGAACAGCAGATCGAACTTTGAGTGCCCTTTGGTATAGCGCTTTTAACCTCTTGTTGTTCCTAGTATTGGCATACATCTGAATCTCTAGAGCGTATATCTCTAGCGAATATGTTCCCTTGGAAGGATCATCGGTTCCGTCGGGCCGTTGGCAGGCCTTGTGGAGCTCTTTAAGCTTCTTGCTAAGTTGCGCATATTCCTTCTTATCCAGCCAAAGCTTTGCGAGTTTTATGTTTGTCTTCAACCAAAGACGCTCGTTGTTAGTGTTCTGGAACGATTCAAGTGTCAATGAGTAGAATTTCTCCATGCAATGGTATGCCTTTTCGTCGTCTGATGACTTTTCAATGTAGTCTAGCATGTTGTTGATCGACTTCTCCGAGTAATTTCGAGTAACGGCTGATTTGACGTACGTGAGGAGCTCTGTGTAATGAGTAATCGCCTATTAATCATGGTAAGGTTAGTATTTCAGGAACTGAGAGGCAGTTTTATGAAGATTTATGGGACGACTTGCATCTTCATATCGACCGAGCCGAAATTCTAGTTTGATGGCCTGTTTTAATCCCTTGAAGCCCCTGGGAGTAAGAATAATAGGTTAGATATTTATCATTTAGAGATAGAGGGGACTAAAAGAAGGGAACAAATAAAAGACCTACCAGTCACCTTTATCTTGCTCCAGCGCGGGGACTCCTAGGAACTCTTCGATTGCCTCTTCGGGATTGTCCACCTTTATCTGTTTCGCATTATAATATTTGTTCTCGATGCCGATATCACCAGACTCGTCGTCATCTTCATCCTCATACTCAAAGTCATACCTATTGGCAGCCCTAGTTAGCTATGATGGTATGCGCACGAGGGGTGCAACAGCTAAACTCACTCCTCCTGGTCGGAGTCCTGCATAAAGTCATCATCATCAGACATGGTTGTGAATGAAAGTGCAGTGGGTTAATTGAGTAGTAGTATATAGATCTCCTCTTCCCACAGGCTAAGCAAAAAAGAGAGAAACGGGCAGTAACACGCAGCTTTATGTCTTCAAATGACGGTGATGCTGTTAATTGATCCAAAGTTGATTCAAAGTTGACGATAAAGACGTTGATTACATAATTAGAGATCAGCAGCGAGGTTCTGGTGCTTGGTCACCTGATACCATGTGATTCCTTGTCAATATGTATCTTAATTCCATGCCTGGAGGCTTTAGAAAAAATCGACTACATCTTATACCTCTCATCAAGCTCCAGAGCATATGTCTTTTAAGACCTTTTGACCTGTATATTCTGCCTGTACAGCACTTGACTATTGGCTCCTAAGTCCTTAGGTACACAAGGTCTTACCAGAGAGCTCTTCCTCCTACGATTCTCCTCTACCACCAGCCGATCTCTCCTAATCCTTGGCACCAACCTCTTTGTCGCCTAAGGACTTAGGAGCCAATAGTCAAGTGCTGTACAGGCAGAATATACAGGTCAAAAGGTCTTAAAAGACATATGCTCTGGAGCTTGATGAGAGGTATAAGATGTAGTCGATTTTTTCTAAAGCCTCCAGGCATGGAATTAAGATACATATTGACAAGGAATCACATGGTATCAGGTGACCAAGCACCAGAACCTCGCTCAGCAAATATTATGTCACCGAGTATTATTAAGTAAGTTTTCACGTGATAAATAATTTTGCCAAGACTCAGCCTCTTTTCATTATTTTATGTTTTTTATTCTTATTTTAACGAAGGCAAAACATCAACAGGAAGAGAAAGGAGAAAAAGAGGGAGAAAGAAGGGCAAAAGGACGAGATAAGACAGTCAAGATGGGAGGTGATCTTAACGTGAAGAAGAGCTGGCATCCAGTGCTGCTCAAGAACCAAGAGCGAGTATGGGTTGAGCAGAAGAAAGCGCTCGAGGAGCGCAAGCGGATCGACCAGATGATGAAAGAGCGCCAGGAAGAGAGGCAGATACAAGAGCTACAGGAGATGCAAGAGGCCGCTGGCGGCAAGAAACGTTTGAACCGTGTCGACTGGATGTACTCTGGTCCTGCTGCCGGACAGGCTGGCACGACAGAGGAGATGGAGGGATACCTACTGGGCCGAAGACGAATTGACGGACTGCTCAAGGGATCCGAGAACTCGAAGCTGGAGAAGGCCGCGCCGGAGGAATCGTTTATGATGGCTCAGAACGCGAACACGGCGAGGGATACCGCGGCGAAGATCAGGGAGGACCCCATGCTGGCCATCAAGAAACAGGAACAGGCTGCTTATGAGGCGATGATGAATGATCCGGCTCGGCGGAGGGCGTTGCTGAAGGCTGCTGGAGTGGATGAGGATAGGTCATCAGCGCATACGGAGAAAGAGAGAAGACACCGACGACACAGGCATAGGGACGAGCGTGATCGTGACCGGGACCGGGACAGAGATCGTGATCGAGATGAGGAGAGACGGTCGAGTCGCAGGTCAAAGAGACACCATAATGAAGATGACCGACGAAGCCGACATCACCGAAGGGATCGTTCGCGCAGTGCCTCACGCAGCCGTTCACCACCGCCACCACCGTCATCGTCACGAAGATACCACCGTTCACCTTCACCCCATCGCCGACGGCGGTCATTTTCACCTCGCCAGCGAGATAGAGACAGGGACAGATCACGGTCGCCATATCGACGTCGTGAAGAAGAAGAGCCGTCCAGGAGGCATGCCAGTACCTACCGAAGTCACCGGTCTACTGGCCCGCGCCGTCCCAAGCCAGAGATCCATCAAAGCCGTCCTCCCCAGCCGTCGCATGCTGATCTAGAACGAGACCGTGCAGCACGCCTTGCAGCTATGCAACAGAACGCAAACGAGCTTGATGAAGAGCGCACGCGACGTATCAGCGCAGCAGAAGAACGAGACAAGGCCGAGAAAGAGGCGGAAGAGGCAGCTCGAGCAGAGTCGAGCAAGTATGGCGGACGGGGTGCCTTTGTCAACAACATCCACCGAAAGGCGGGAGACATCGATCTAGCAGATCGACTTCAGCGAGGCAAGAAAAACCTCGAAAAGGAACAGGAGGCTTACTGATTACGACAAGAGATTTTGTTTTCTTTACGTTGGCACTGATTTTGTTTTCTTTTGGCTCGGGATAATGCATTTGGGCGTCGAGATTTTTCTTCTGGTTCTAGCGCTACAGATATCAAATACGGAATACCATGGACAACAATGATAGCATTAACTAACTACAGACATTGCTCTCATTCTGCTTTCTACTCCATCATCTTCTTTTGGCCCTTCGGTTTGTCCATGTTTTCTTCTTTCCTGATCCCGGCCGCTGCATACTACACTACGCCACTCGCGATCCAGGCCAACAGGAGACCTGTACCTGCGCAACAAGCGCCATGTCATGCCAACTCACAAGACGAGGCTTTCGATCGTCAAGCTGACAGGCCAAGTTCCTCTCTCGAACTCGCGGTCCGCTCCAAATCCGTTTGTTTGTTGCTTGTCCTGTCCGCCAAACGGGCCCTCAAACGACCGGACTCGAACTAAACTCGACTCCGTCCAAGGATCTCTGTCTGCGCCGCCGCTGCAGGTCAAGGTTTGCTCCTTATCTTTCCTTTCTTCAGGAGCGTCACTAGCTTTATAAATAGACATGGGGATTCTGGCTGAAGAGTCTCCTGCTGTAAAAACTCTTGCGCTGCTCAAATATTTCGCCTCCTCGCCGTTGGCGCCCACCACCAGCTGCAGAACATACAACACCGTCTACATAGACAAGCCGTATATTTACAGACGCCACATCTCCGGTTCATCGTCCATCGGCCAACACAAGCAGTAACTTTGCTCTGCCAGCCTCTTCCGCTTGTCACGAGGCAGTCAATACGAGCACCCCGGTATCCCTGATCCCTGTCGCGGCATATGAAATCGACTGTTCTTCTTGGACAACATCATCGATAGTTCTGCAACTCGCCCAGGCCCTCTTGTTCTTCTTCTGCTTCTTCTGTTTCTTCTTCTTCCCCGTTTCTTCTTTTACTCTTCTTCTCTTCTTCTCTGTGACGATCTGTTGGTAGCTACGGTGACCATTGAAATATCTCCTCCGGTTTCCAATCACCAAGCGACTTTAAAATCCGGCCTATTTTCCTTCGTCCCCAGCCTTACCGACGATCCCGTTTCCTTTACCCCTGATTGGAATCCAACCCATCCCACTAGCATCGACTCGACCGTCCAGCTCGCATTTTCAAGAGCTTCCTTACCCTCAGCTCAACCTGCCTGGCTCTTCGTCGCGAGCCGTTTATCTGTTTCGACCTCGCTCGTATCTCCGTTCGCCGTGCGCTCCCCACACCTCTCGCTTCGGACGTACTGGCAGGCTGTGTGATCTGCTCTAGCTACTCGACTGAGCTGTTTCCAAGATGCCTCTCTGTGGAGGAGAGAAGACTGAGAAGCGCAAGCTGGTACTTCTGTGAGTCGGAGCTTTTGGGTTATCGCGATGATCGAACGGCTGAACTGACATGGTGGCAATATTTAGAGGAGACGGCGCATGCGGCAAGACTTCGTTGTTGAACGTCTTTACTAGAGGGTGAGTAGAGGGAATACGTGCTTCCATTGAGGCGACTGAAAACATGAAGATTAAATAAATGGCTAACATTACCGTAGATTCTTTCCCACCGTCTAGTATGATATTCCCACAAGCTCTGCGCTGTTGAACCGATACTGACATAGCCTACGCTTTCAGTGAACCCACTGTATTCGGTATGTCTGAACTTAACATTTACACCATTCAAGAGAACACTTGCTGATATGAATATTCTGTACAGAGAACTATGTCCATGGTAATCCTCTCTCGCCGTCTCATAGTCGAGGAAGACATTACGCTTACGATGATAAACAGACATATACGTTGACAACATCCACATGGAGCTATCCCTTTGGGATACAGCCGGACAAGAAGAATTCGACCGCCTCCGTGCCCTATCGTACGACGACACCCAGGCCATAATGCTCTGTTTTAGTGTATGATACAGACCCATCAAGCCAGCTGTACCTACGAGGGGCGACAGCTAACTTATTACCACAACCAGGTTGACAGCAAAGACTCCCTCGAGAACGTCGAGTCAAAATGGCTAGCTGAGATTGGCGAGAACTGTCCCGGCGCAAAGATTGTGGTTGTCGCATTGAAATGTGACCTTAGAGAAGAGGCCAGTGATGAGAAAGACGACAGCAGCAACGCCCAACAGCCGAAGCCAGTCATTACCTACAGCGAAGGCCTTGAGGTTGCAAAACGAATAAACGCTTTACGATACCTGGGTACGTCGGTTCAATTTTATACGGAGGACTTGATACTGACTATAGACGTAGAATGCTCTGCTATGAGAAATCGCGGTGTCAACGAAGCGTTTACTGAAGCCGCTCGAGTCGCTCTCTCGGTAAAACCCGCGAACACATCAGATCGGAGCGGCAAATGCGTGATCCAGTAGGATCCATGACCTCCGGCAATTTCTTACGAGTTTCTTTTCGTCTCGTCTTTCTCCATGCTCGAATTGTCTGTCCTCCTCGCTTTTCACGTCTTCTCTGTACTATCTTGCTGTCTACTTCCACCTCTACTGATGGACTACGCACCTGTCCTCTTGCCCTTCCTTAATGTTTGTTGTTTCTACTACCTTTCCCGGGCGCAATGGTGGAATGCTTTTATTTCTCTGAGGACGCTCGCTTTTTACCCATTCCCACGAACTTGATGGCGTCTTTTAAATGCCATCTGTATATAACTACCTATACCCTCCATCATCTAGCTGGACGGCTTCCTTTTCCTTGTTGATTTTTCGTTTTTTCTCTCTTTTTTTTTCATATCATGACCTGTTTCACTTCTGTCTATTCCACTCCCTTCCACGGAATTTGTACCCTCTGGATGTCAATTTGCCCATGCAATGCAGCTTAACTCTCTTCTTATGTTTTCTGGCGACGGCCTAGTTGATACTTGATAGCTGAAGTTAGTGCTATATGCTCTTCACCCGGAAATACTATCATATTTCACATTTCTATATCTAAACCTTACTTTTACCCTTTCTATTCTAGTCTCCATTCCGTGGCTTGACGGAGAATTTATACATACATATGAACAGGGAAGTATTGAACAAAGCGCCGCATTATTTACCCAAGTACGTCCTCCTCCCGGATCTTATATATCTCGTCCAGCCTCGGGCCCTGGCCACCACTGGGTCCTCCGGAATTCACCCGGTCTACAAACGCCTGAACGAACCGTGCACCAACCTCTTCCATTGTCACATCCTTCACATCCACACCCACGCCCTCCAGACTCGTAGACTCTTTGCCCTCGAGCCCACACGCAACTATCTGTCGTAGATACCATAATGGTTCCTCAGTGATGCAGAATCCAACGCCATAACTACTGACAAACCGCCGCAGATGCACACCAACAGCAGCAACTTTGCGAGGCATACCGCTCTCCCCGGCCTTAGATTGCACCCACACGCCCGGGTCTTCAGTAGTTGTTCCACCTTTTACGCCAAATCCCTTGATCACATCCAAAACACTGTTTTCGAGTAGCCGAATATGACATCTTGGGCCAATGCGCAAAGCCCGGAGATCTAGTATGGTGTATATAACAAGCTGACCGGGACCATGGTAGGTAGTCTGCCCACCACGTAAGGTTGGGTAGTATTCAGCTAGGCGTTGCGCGGCATTGGTAGGAGAGGAAGTCGGCGTTAGGATCCCGCGAATTGGTTCGAGAGGAGTTGGGAGGGAAACGTCCGATGCCGTGGTGGTGAGGAAGGCTGATGATTCATCGTTGGGTGAGCATGATGCAGGCAGATCGCGTCTACCAGTCGTATATACGGGGCGAGGAGTGAACGTAAAGATTGTAGGGTCCGGAGCAGAGGTAGGTGGGTATAGAGCCGGAGATTCAGACTGTTTTCTTTTATGGGTGAGTAGGCGTGAGACGAGTATCTGCTGCAAAAGCGAAGCCTGTCTAAATGGTATGATATTCGGTATATGCAGATGAGCAAGACGCATGTTTATACCCCCGCCGCCTTGTTCCGTGGCGAAAGGTGTAGATATCTTGCTGGATGTTTCGTCGTCGCCCTCGACCGAACTTGCTGTCGCAGAGAATCGGATTATATAATAAAGATGATTGGGCGGTGATCGGCTTGCGGCGCTTTAGCACAGCCACAGAATCGTATTATATAAGCTAGCCTCATTGCCAGTTGTAGAGGAAGCATATTCGAGATATACTAGGATAAATGTTTATAGTAACGAGGAATATTCCAAGGGTTATTATATAAGATTTGGTAGGCCTCAGACGAAGAGAAGAGCATTAACATTATAAGTCAATAATTAAAACAGAACAGAGTTTAGAGAGCAAAAGAATGCTTCTTGCTCTTGCATATCAAGCACATCATTGGCCACATCACAACATTCTCAACGTCTTCACGAGGAGGTCTTGCGGCCCCCGCAGTATTTCAAGGTGAGCTTTCCATTATCATGAGTCGTAGTCTCGCAGTTCCCAGACTCGCAGTCAGCATCTCTGCGGCAGTAGAAGCCCGTCTCAGCCTTCCCGCGGGGGAACCAATCGGGCTCCACACAAACATTGAACTGGCACTTTGTAGTTTTCGTGCACATCCTTTGCCTTCGTCGCTGTTCAGCCAGAAGCTTCGAAGCATTTTTCTTGACGTCTTTGGCTAGGGAAGGACTCTTTTCCTTAGCTTCTGCAACCAACTGGGCCAAGGTTTGTCCTGCGTGGCACTTGGTGCAGTCCTTGTTTCTGGAACATTTGATGCCGAGATTTCCATTTACCGAATTCTGACAAGTTCGGATATTTCCCTTAACGGTACTGATATCGCGATTGGTCGCATATAAGCAAACCTTCCCGTGCTTACAGTCCGCGTCGCTCCCGCAAGCCTGGCCTTTGGCTTTACAACGTCCCTTGACGCAAACGTTATCCTTGCATTCACCGTCACTGGCACATGGACCGGTCGTCTCCTTTCTTTTACGGCAGACGTTTTTTTCATCGCAATAGTCCGTGGAGAAACAGATGTTTTCTTCCGAGCAGTCACCGCCTCTTCGTACCTTGGCACGGCATATACGGTCAAGGCAGTGTTCTTCAGGGCCACATTGCCCCAGGAACTTTTCACCGTCGACATCCTTGACCCATCCTCCACAGCTGCTTCCTACTTTTGCCATAGCCATATTGGCGCTCAACAGAAGGGCGACGGACGGAAGGAGAACGGAGAACTTCATACTGGCGTTGGCTTGCTGGCTCGCTGGTTCGTATTAAGACGGTGTCGAAGGGTTGAAACTTTTGATATTGACAGGAGGAAGGTCTGCTTGAGAATGGGAAGAAGGGAAAAGGTAGATGGGCGCTGATGGAGAAGCCTGGAGAGGATGAGGGATGAAGACGGCCAGCTGGGGGTCTCTGATGCCTTCTTATATATTCCTCCACCAAGTCGTCCCGTCTCAAGATCTGCGGTCTCGAAAATTTGAGAATCCTTGTTCCGATAACCCACTGACGGATCTCTAGGAATATACTCTTATAGTATGGGTGATCTTAACCTGCATTGTGTCATTTCTATGCGACTTATTAGCCATGACGGGGTATTTTGGCGCCTCTTGCTCGTCTCCTTGCCCTCTTAACGTTAGCTTCGAGGAGGAAAATAATAGTGTGCGCCATTATTAATCCCAAATATTGGGGCATCTTATATTCACCAGAATCCTCTGTGTGGCTGCGAAGATCAGGCGTTTTCCAAGTCATTCGCCAGCCTCACTACCGTGTTAACACTCAGCAACTATGAGGTCAAGTGGCCTAAATAGATCGGATTTGCGCCTCAAGATGTATGGTTGAATTTCCATTGCGAGACAACGCCAAACTTTTGGGATGGTTGTTTTTTTTTTTCTTGTTTATCGGAACTTCATATGGCCGACTGCACGTAGTGGAGAGTAGGGAAACCATACTCCATAGATAAGGTCATTTCGGTAGGATAACTACCTCCGGCACATTTCTCCGCGGCCAGCAACTGGTTATCCGAACGAGACCATGAGGGAAACCCCTAGCTCCACGAGCTTCACACGCTTCGCACAGCAACGACGGCATAGTAGCATGCTATTACTCTATATTCCAGTTGTCGAAGAAATCTTCATTCTCTAATTGATGTACAGGCGGGAATATGTCTTCCCTTCTTCTCAGCGGTCGTTAAGAATGTCGCAAGCCCGAATATCAAAGCGAAGAAACTGGTATATATATATATCTGCTACACCATGCAGAAGCAGAACCGGACTTCATTTTCCTATCGCGCAAAGATGGTTTCCTCTTTTGACAGAAGGCCTAAACAGCCTACAGTCTGGACAAGCACCAGCAAAAACTTTGTGAAAGAAAACTCTGTACTTAATTAGAAGAAGAAAATCGCCAAAAAGTGTTGGGTTAACTAGTTATGTCAGCAACTAGCCAACTCACTGTTTATTATAAATAACTGAATCTTTGGTCTGTGCTCCAACTCAGTTTTTTGTCTTTCTGCCACAACCTTAAGTTGATCAAGCTTAAACTCGTTTATCTGTTTATCAAGACGACAAAGACACCAACGCCAATCCTGTACGACGAGGGAGGTCGTTGGCGTTAGTAGCGGTAGCTGGTGCCGATACCAGTGGTCTCGTCAATATCATTGTGTTGAAAGTACACCTTGAACTTGGCCCACAACGCCTGGATATTCCCCTGGACACCGACCCCGCAATTTCTTCCAGGCCCCACCAAACTTGACGAAGGATAACTAGTCCCGCCCGGTAGAGAGGGATACTACTTGGAAAATGGCTTGCATTCTTGACTTCCCTCCCGAGCTCTTAATTCCAACCCTTGAATAGCTAGGCACCACCCATCCCTTATCGCTGGTTGCCTTTGCGTGTACAAGCAAACGTAGTTATCAAGTCTCGAAGCCGGCTCTCAGGCGTGGCCGCTATCACACACTTGCATTTACAGTTGATCTACCCCGACTGAAGGACGATGTACGAAAATGTACTCTCGAGCTAGAAAGGGATGGCTATGCCTTCAGCTCCGTGCGATGCCTGATTATAGACTCTCCAGAGGCGCGATTTCTGAACAAAAACTATGATGAGGATGACACTTCTAAGCCTTCCTTCCAATGGAGGCGCAAGGACACTCTAGAGCACCAGAAGGTCGACTCGCTCACCCGCTATCCCATTATGAGATTTTGGTCTGACACAGAGCGTTGTAACCACGATGACAGCTCCTGGTTGCCACTGGCAGGCCTTCTTCGCCGCCTTTTCCAGCTAACTGACCTCGTATACATGGGCTTTAGCCAATTTCCCCCGTGTATGCTTGAAGCCCTTCATACCTCTATACCCAATTGCAGGCTATTTCTGCATTCATTCATGCTGCGCTCTGTTGCCAAGCGAGATAAGGTAGACGCATACGATTATAAACTAGTCACCTCACCCTCTCTATACGGCCTGACGATTTCATACTATGATGCACAATGTGACACAGAATTACATAGTTTCCACAAGGAGGCCATTCAGCGCATGGTGTATGGCCTGTCACCGAACTTGAAGGAGATCCATATAGATCGAGGCCGCCTAGGCGGTTTCGCACTGCAGTTCCCCTTGAAACCTGCTTATGACTGGGAAAAACACTGGGAAGGTTTTACCTTAGACAAAAAGCTCCCGGGCACATTTCAAAAGGGCAAGTTGGAGCGTATAATATTATCGAAGAGTGAAAAGAACATTACGAGAAAAGATCTGGAGCAATGGAGTGACTGTACAGATTTTTCTGTGCTACGAGTGTTAAAGCTCTGTCCACACTTCTGTCAGATTGAGGCAAATACGTTAGAATACCTTTTGAACTTTGAATTTACATCCATCGAGACGTTCGAGCTCTGGATGGGAAGATTCAGCCGGAGCTCGTTCTTTTTCCAGCCATGCTCAACATCCTTTGTTACTGCTACAAGGCAATTTCTCGAAAGGTTACCTGCTCTATCCACTCTGAAACTTCAGGATTGGCACCCAAACCTCGAGCTGGATGTTTTGCAGTATTCGAACATACGCAAACTCTATCTAAAGCCGGTGGTAGGCTCATCCGTATCCCTCAAAAATCTCAACCAAATTAGCACATACTGTCCTTTACTTTCAAGCCTGGATATCAGCATCCGCCGTCTCCGGGGAAATGCGGATGAAATTGAAATGTATAGAGCTCTAGGCTCTATGGCCAGATTAGCCTACCTACAGCTTTCACTGGATGTGAAGGATCCCAAATTTCGCTTAGGAGGTTACAACAAGGCAGTTGATATTCCTAGTGACCCTTCTTTTGATAGTTTTGATATGGAGTTCTATCCGCAGATAACCCTCGGATATTATAAATGCCCTCGTAAAGGACACTTGCGCGACGGGCTTATCAATAGCGCACTTGATGCCGACCTAGCTTGCTCTATCTTTCGCACGATAAATTCAGCCAAGCCAGATATGTCGGTGCCACTTCAAAAGATGACCGTCGGTGTCGACCTAGCTGAATTTCCGGATAAGCATGGTGATTGTGCTAGGACGCGTTATTACAACCTCCTCCGGTATCTCGGTGCGGAGTGGACGGTAGAACGAAATCACTCGGACCTTGCCACGGATAACCTTATCGCGAATAGGGTGAGGAATAGGGGAGTCAAGTGGAGCCGATGTTATCCTTCCCCTCATGATACATGTCTTGATCCTGACCTAGGCGCTGTATTCCGTAGCCTGTGGCCTCCAAAGGGGAATTCCAGGGAAGTAAAGGACTGGCATAGTTTTCCTCTAGCAACAGGTGATAATGAAGCAGAAATAGAGGGATGGCTTAACAGGAACAACTTAGGCTAATATGTCCCCGTCATGTTATCTGGACCTAGGAGAACACGATGGCAGTTTCTCTTTTTCTTTTTATGACTTTTCCTCTCATCTCTTTTCTTTTCTTCTCTTCTCTTCCTTCCTTTCTTTCTGGTCTCTCTTTGAAAATACTGCTTTTGAAATTGTGACAAGCAGAAGGTCTTGATTTCAGTGCTCTTCCTGAGTGATAGTAGGGACATATCAGCAATCTTATGCGAATAGCCGTACTGTCAATTGGAATCTTTAATGAAAATTATTAAATGATTTGGCAGGTATTGACAATCGTCAAATGGATCCAAGCCAAGTAAGATGTAACACTAGTATAAACTTGTGGTCTGGAGATATGCCCACATGCAGGGTAAGTGACGACCCCGACCTGTTTCATAGATGTCTCATCAATAGCCGGGCCACCATCGTCCCGACGGCAAGCACCTTTACCTCCAGCCTGAAAAAGAGTGCATAGCGTTGAGTCACTGATATAATGTGGCCCCCGTTGAGTTTCCCGCATTCTTCGCGGCTTATCAAGTCAACATCTGTGACACGCATATTTGCCGGTATGATACCGTCAGAAATAGTCTCTCTGAGCCGTAAGCTGAAAGTAAGAAGATTGGAGCGAAGAGCTTCATGGTAATGTGTGGAAGTGGAGATAAGAGGCTGGAAGCATGACGCTTGGAACGTGCTAAGAGTGGAAGAAATAAGTATTCGATAACACAAATCTCAGGCTCTTTGGTAAGTTGCTGGGTACATATATTCCAAGCCTCAAGTTAAGTTATGTAGCTTCACACTAAAAGAACACGGGTTTCTTCCTTATTCAAGACGGACGTATCCAAGGAGGTAGATGGTCATCTTCACGGAGGCCTGTCAAGGCAGAGCTCAATAGAATACTCCGTATTGAGATGATTATTTGCATGTTTCTGTCAACCTCCATGGTAAAGAGAACAAAAAATTTATAACAAGTACATTAGTGGGTACGGAATATGGAAGTCTCTACCATAAGTCCTCAACACTCCCAAAAACACTCTATCAAGAATACCTATTTCGAAGCCAAACCTCAATGTGATGCCAGAAGAAACGATTTTCACATGTTCAAGAAGCTGTTGATCGACAAAATCTCAAAAAAAAATAAAAATAAAAATAAAATAAGAAGTCGCTTTAGGTTTGCGGCTAAAGTCGAATAGCATCAAAGTATGTTACTAATGAGCCTAGTTCCCGCCAAGCCACAATCACGTGTAATTAGTGATACTCCAGCGCTTTGACTTTCGCGACTTCAGGACTCAAGAGCACAAGAGATAGCAAGAAAAGACAAGGTGAAAGAGACCAAAGATCGAGCGTGATAGAACTACCTCTAGGCTTGTCAAGAGCTGAGGAACGGAGACCACAGGGGCTCGGTAGCTAACCGCACCATGTAGCAGATATGTAAGCCGTTCCCGGTCCTTACTTTTGTGCCCATAAGAAGATATGCTGACCACTAGCAAGGTACGACTTACCGGTTCACCTCCGCCTACGCCGGGCTATCCTTGAAGGCGACGCACTTCTAGTCAAACGCATAACTAAGAAATATCCAAAATGCCTGCATAACCCTGACTTTGACGACAAAAGCAACACCTCGCTTCATTTGGCCGCGATACTAGGCAATCTTGAAATTGTCAAGCTGCTGGTCAGCTTGGGCCACGACTCATGCGAGCCAGATGTAGCTTTCATGGACTATGACCGAGCCCCTGGAATCAGTTTGAATACGGATTCTTCGACACCGCTCCACCTGGCGGCTGCAAATTCACACGCGGATTGTGCAGATTATCTGGCCTCGGTTTTTAAGCATTCTATTGACTGGCAGGATAAGAACGGAGCTACAGCGCTGATGCTAGCGTCACAGAGTTCGAACATTTCAAGCCAGACATCGAATACGTCTGCATTGGTTCCACCGAGACAGAGACCTAGAGCTTCATCATCTGCGTCAAATCCAGCCTCATTCGAGGACACAAGTACAGTTTCCAAGCTGATAAAACGGGGAGCCTCTTTAAGCATGGCTGATTCAGTGGGTAATACCGTGCTCCATTATGCGAGTGCATGGGGGAACCTGAAAACCTTTCGACTGCTAGTATCTGCCGGTGCTCCTCCGTTAGCAAGAAATCATGCTAAATGTGCGCCTGCGGATTACGCGTTGAGCGTACAGGCGGCAGCATATTGTCGGTCTTTGGTGGCTGAATATGAACGGGCGAAGAAGGGACAGTATGAACAGGATAAACCGAGTCTGAAGGTTAGATCGAATGATATCCCTCCAGGTGACTCCCACTTGTCTCCGATATCTCCGGCAAGCGGTCTTAGACCGAAGATGAGTCTTGATAGCCAAAGGACCGCCCAGGCTTATGGCATTGGAGGCGTGAGGTTAGTCTCACAGGATGAGAGTGATCAGGAGAATGAGTTGAGACCCTATGTCTCTTGGAGTAACCCGGGCACCCCGATCTAATGACTTCGTCATGAATGTGTATGACATTAATGAGCAGTTGTTACAGGGCAATCAGCAAAATCCATTCTAAGCTTGATACTTCATCTTCATCAAAAGACAACAATCAGTTAATAAAACGCATTGATCCTCTATCCTACAGAACAACTATGTACAGATAGACCATCCGTGCCCAGCCACTTGAATCCGTCTATATCTTTTAATCTTACACCATGATCTCCAAGGTGACAGGTTCACAGTAAAAATAAATGCCGGAAAAAAGAATCCTCAACAAACTCCAAAGCGGTATTCTACATGAGCGTCTACCCTCATGTCCTCAACCTGTTTTTTTTCTTCCGTTAATTTCTTCCTTAAATGGTGGCCTAGGAAATGAGATGTATGGATCAGGCCACCACGCCATGCCACCTCGCGCTAACATATTACATTCCTCCCTCTGTTCGAGCCGTTTGTGGGCAGGCCATTTATACCCTATGGTTGGTGATACTTTTGAGCGAAGTTTTTTCTTCCTTTTTGTATTTATTTATTTTCTTCGGTTGATGGTCTTGCGGCAGATTTCGATTAGGCCATCCTTTGCTTCACTGTCGGGGAATTTGCTGATGGCTGCAACGGCATCGTCGGCATATTGCTGGGCAAGAGCTCGAGTTTGCTCGAGACCATCAGATTGAGCGACGATTTGACGGGCCTAGACAATACGTTAGAGGTTGAAAACATTATGCCATGGAGGGATAGGACATACCAACTGAACGTCTCCCTCACGAGAGAACTTTCTGCCTACTAGCTTTCCCAGCTCTGGCCGTTGTTTCCAGGCAAATAGCAAAGGCGAAGTAGCTAATCCTAGCTCTAGATCGGCACCGGCAGGCTTGCCCAGCTCCTCCCCGCTGATAGTATAATCCAACATATCATCGACGAGCTGGAAGGCCAAACCGAGATTCCTTCCGAAGAGATAAGCTGCCTCCGCGACCTCGGGGCCACTCTGGTTTAGCAAAGCAGCTGCACGGCAGGACTTGCTGATCAAACTAGCGGATTTCAAGTATGTCTTTTGCAAGTAATACGAGATGATATCTTCAGACCATACGGGGTTTGACTCGTCCAGCATGGTGTTTTTCAATTGCATGAATTCACCTTCGACCAGGTTGGCCATGACGGTTCCCAGTAACTCAATGACTTCGGGATCACGTAGTCTGGCGATAAAGACGGACGCACGACCGAGAAGGAAATCTCCAGCCAACACAGCCATTTTGTTTCCAAACGCAAGGTTGGCTGAGAGGTTTGATCGGCGAGTGACGGCGTTATCAATAACATCGTCATGCAAGAGGGAAGCAGTATGAATCAGCTCTGTGATTTCAGCCAAACGGCGCTGCGAAGGGAGTACATTGGCAAAGTCGTCCTTTGAATCTTCCTTGGTAGGCGCATATACGGTGTCTCGAGTAGGCGAGCTAAGCGGCATGAGATCTGGGTTCGTATCGGCCAGAATGGCAGGGGAATTAATCGAATCGTTGATATATGCTCCCGACGAGCTCGAAGAAGGGGTAGAAAGCAGCGAGCTAAGCAGCTGGTCTCGTTCTCGACGTTTTTCACAGCTGGGCGTCAACGCCGTGGCCTGGGACATGAGCAGCACCAACATGGGCCGGACCTGCTTCCCTTCACTCTGAGCGTAGTATTTCGCAACCTGGTCTAGAATCGGGTGTCCGGAGCCCAGCAGACTGCGCAGATTCTTCTTGAGAAACTTCAGCTCCTTGCCTACCATCCTAAGCGGGTCGACGGAGACGTTTGCAGGCAGCGAGCCTGGATTCGACGGCAGCGGAGGCGGAGGAGCCTTTGATATCTCCTTTGAAAACAGGTTCTGGGCGGCGGACATAGCTGATGCGAGTGCAGACTGGTCTTTCCGGCGCGAGGGATGGTAATTGCGAGCTGTGATGTGGGCTGGAGGTATCGAGAGGGAGATGGCGAAGCGGCTGTGAAGACATCGTGAGCATATCGAAGCTGGCCGAAAGGTCTGTGAAGCTCGCAGAGACAGCCCGTAGGCTGGTAAGCTTGCTCGAGCTCTCATTTCTCAGGAGTTGGGGAGTTATTCTCGTCGTTCTGGGTGCTCTCGTCTAGTGAAGGTACTCTCAGAGTACTCGCGGTAGAGGTCGGGATGTGATTTCTGGGTCCGCCAGTACGTAAAGACGAGCTAGAAATGCAACAGGCACCTTCAGCAGCGTCTGCTATAGACAATTGAAGGGGGCTATATAGCATATATACCAGGCCATGCGCTGTGGTGCAAGCTGGTTGCACCGCGATGGTCTCTTTTTGCTGTTCCGTGAGTTGTACTTTTTTTTTCAACGTCCAAAACTTGGCTAGAGGAAAAAAGCTTCTTTGGGGTGTTTGCATTTCTCCGTGCCGAGCGTCGCAGCCGAGCGCGCGTCCTTGGAACTGAGCGATTCATCATTTTATTTTTATTTACTTGCTGGCTTCTTTAACTACTGCTTGTAATATGGAGTCGGATAAATGGAATGCAGATAGATGAATTGGAGCTTGGTGTCTAGGTGAAGGGACAGGCAAAGGGAGGCAGAAAATTACATCGGGATGTTTGTTGTAGCAAAGACACAGGAGAGAAGAGAGAAAGGAAAATCAGCAGTAGATAGACCCTGGCGTGTCGGTTGAAGGACTGTACATACGCCCCGGCTGGCTCGCTCGCTTGCCAGAGGTGCACGTCACTCTTGGTCGTTGACCCTGTAGTTGACGGCGAGGAAGAAGACGGCGGCAACTCTGGGTGAGTGAGATGAAGCAGCAGGCATGAAGTAATGATAGCCAGGAGGTCGGGAGGGCGGGAGAGCATGGGAGATGTCGATGTGATGGCGGAGGCGGGTTTTGGTGTCCCAGGGATTGTGTCTTGTCCGTGTACAGGTACAGGCCGACTAGATGCCATCAAAGTCGCCACCAGCGTCATCGTCGTCCATGTCTCCCTCCACAATCTCCTTGGCCAGCTCCCTCTCGCGCTCGCGGGCCTCCTGCGCGTTCTTCAGCTCAAGACGGTGTTGGTTCATAGGGAACCTCATTGCCTGGGATCAATGTTAGTATACGTACGCCCCACAGTGCTAAGATGCTGCCTTATTGGAAGAGTAAACATACCTTGACACTCTCGTCATGGAGACCAAGACAAGCTTGGATACGCTCGTGGAAGACTTCTCCCGGCTCCTGGGTGGCATACACATCGCCAATGTCCTTGCTCTTCATGTAACCCTGCTCATGGTCTAGCGAGGCCTCGATAACACCGTCCCTTATGGCCTTGGCAACAATATACTCGGCAGACTCCTCGCTATCTAGGCCGAGACGAAGGCAAATGTCACGCAGAGAGATACGAGTGTATGACAGCGACATCATGCGGATGCCGGTCTTTATGACATTCTGTCGTAGTCGGAGAATGAGTGTGTACGTGCTGTCCTTTCGGAAGACCGGGCCGTAGTTCTGGACGATCTTCTGGAAGCCGTCTAGATCGCCAACACTGACGGCCCGTACGAGCAAGAAATAAGGATACATCGCACGCTCGAGGGCTGCCTGGCGGAAGATGGCACGGTCAGGTATGTCGCCCATGAGTAGCTCGACGACGACAAGTAACTTCATTGATGCCTGGTAGAAGCCACCCGCGCTCATAGTCGACGGGGACTTCCGAGAAGCACCCACCAGATGCTGGTGGGCATCGGTGTAGCGCAGCTGGATGGCTCGGATCCGGCCTAAATAGTAGAGATATCGAGCGATCTGGTTGTTGGACGCACCGACGGGGAATTCGGAGTGGGAGATGAAGAGATCGGCTTGGGAGATGTGAGAGGTGGACAGGTAGTTGCGAAGCAAGAGAGTGGTGACGGTTGCCTGGATGTCGGTGTCCTTACGAAGAACGGCGGTCCGGAGAGCTGCAAGAAGCGAAGCTCTGGTGGATATGACGGCTGCAGTCGGCGAAGGTGGAAGCGGTTTTAGCTGTTCGAAAAAGAGAGAATAATAAAAGTACACACGAGCAGCCAGGCAGTCCAGAGTCCTTCGGTTATGCGTCCTCAGCTTCTCTACCAGCTTCTGCGAGAACTCAGCACCTTTCTCAGTACGTTTTGCGTCATAGAGATAAATCTGGACCAGAATGGAAAGGTAGACGTCGATCTCGGGCAGGGTCTCTTTGGATGAAGCAGTGGTCTTTGTGGTGGGAGTAGCTGACGGTTTCAGGTCTGATGCGTCTTCCATGTCCACATCTTCGGCAACGTTATCAAAAGCAGATTGCCTATCAAGGGCAGCCAGGAGGAAGGATGCGGTGGAATCCGAACGATGATAAGTAGATGTGATTACGCTAGCGAGCATGTCTGCATTGAGATGTTTACGCATGGACGAGATGGATCGTAGTACCCTGAGGGTAAAGCGTAGATCAAAATGCACCACAGCTCTCTCGAGTAATGTGAAATTTGTCCGGATATCTATAAGTTTGTCAGTATTCCATGGTCATCGTGGCCCTCGTCGTCATCATAACCATCAGTATCTTTACTCGTATAGAGAGACATACCTGACTCTGCCTTCTCAGCCGGGTCAACCACTTCATCCGACTTGACATCCTCGTCCTGACTTGTATCCATCTTGACTTCAGTTCGGCTCTTCTCAGGCTCTCCCGACAGTCTAGAAGCTTTTGACGGGGGAACAACAACGGTCATCTCCTCGTCACCGTCGTGGTTGTCGCGCTGCTTGGGTGATACAGAGCCGTTCAAATGCTCTTCACTCATCTGCACGTCCTCGGGACCATTCACGCCATTCTCGGTAGCATCAGAGCCCTCGGGGGTCGCCTTTTTCGAGCCTGAGGCCGGTTTTCTGGCTGGCGCTGCCTTGCCTCGTGACGCCGCCGAGCGAGTCGGAGTAGCTTTATCTTTGTTGGAGCTGGAGCTCTGCGAGTTCGAACGGGGCTTCTCACCGTCCGCTGAGGCGTCTGACCGGTTAGAGCGAAGCGTCCGCTTCTCTGCTGGCATCGTGTCTGAAGCTATTGGGCAGCTCCCTACGGCGAGAGCTTCTTCTGGGGGAAACCGGGCGTTCAAAGGACAACAGAGCCGGGAGGCGAGGCGAGCAGGGCGTGCTGGGGAGAGATGGAGTCGGCGTTTCAGCTGGCAAGCAGGGGCAAAAGAAGAGCAAAGCGGACACGGCGGAGCTCCAAGGACTACAGGCAAAGACGAGACAACGAGGCTGCGGGCGTTTGCAACTGAGGACGCTGAAGCTGATGGATTTGGTTGTTTTTCTTGATGTTGCGAAGAAGTCAAGATGATGCGAAGAGAAAGTCGCAGAAGGGTTTAGCGTGGATGACTAAGCAGGGCAGCAGTCGGCAGACGACGAGGAAGATGGAAGACAGAAGACAGCGAGAGAAGACAAGGCCAGGAGGACCAGGGAGACAAGGAAGACGAGGCGACAGCAGGATGATGAGATGATCGGGGGATGAGAGAGGCCCGGTGACGGAGGCGAGAAGGGTCGCTGAGAGGACAGACGGCGAGAGAAGGCGGAAGAAGGCGAGACTCGATTGGTACAGCGCACACACACACATCTACGGCCAGGCGACAGCATTCTAATCACGGCTTGGAGGGCTCGTAACTGCAGGCCCGGCGCGAGAAAGGTGGCGCCAGGCCTGATACTGGTCGATTGCCGCGCCAGAGGGTCGGACAGAATGCAAACTGAGCGTTGTAAGGCATCGGTAGCACCTCGGTTGGAAGTAAACGCACCGAACATACGGAAGACTGCTTGAGATCAAGACGCTTGCGCGATACCCTATACTCGAATCCTGGCTGAATCCACCCTAGGACTTCTACTCCGTTTTCATGGTTACACCGGGTAATGCCCGTGTCACTACCTATATACTCAGGTATCGGGCCGAGTACCTTTCCTATATGACGGCGATGCCGCCTTTGCTCACCTATGCTGGTAGTCTAGTACCCCGTATACCAGCGGAACTGAGGAAGAATGCCTACCAGGGATATACCCCGTATATCTCGCCGAAAATTCGTCGGCAGAGCGAGTACTCAGTGACGCCCTAGCAATAGAGATGCGAAGTACTCACCGGCACTCGCTAATATATGGTCAACAGAGCTTCATGTATGGCTTGACTCACGCTTATGCACACTAGAACCTAGCACGTATAACGGCTACAATTCATATTATATAGCTCTTTTCCCTTTCTCGGGTCTTATATGTAGATGTCTGCTATTTATTGCATAGTAGATTGATGACTAAGCCTTAGAGTATGCGATGTATCGTTTGTTTACTTCAACAGAAAAGAACCAAAGTCGAGGTGAAGGGGAACGATAATAGCATTAACTGACCAAGCTGCTTATAACTAACGATATACTTGACCGTCACGGCATAGGCTGATTGTCTGCGTCGTTGATATTAAAATGAGCTTATTACGGAACCATATGGAGCAGATATCCCTCTCCGCATCCGCGATAGCAGACTTATCGTAAGATCCAACGTCCAGATAGACATCCAGCACTCCATCTAATTCACCTGCCTCTAGATTCCCTCCTCCAAAGCCATTCGTCAATGCGCTTCTCGGCAAGCATGACATCACAACTCTTATCCGTGACACAGAGGCACATGAACGGGCCCTCTTCTCCGTCGACAATACCACCAGATCTCAACGGAGAGCCACCCGTCGAGGAACGATGTTTGTAGCTGAGACCGAACGAGAGTCCATGATTAGCCGTATATACGCTGTGAGGGACCGTACCAATCAGTCTGCTGTTGCGCGGGTCTTGGGCGGTGATATGATGGATGCTATCAGACGGTCCACAGCACCAACATCAGATAGAACTACCAAGAACGGGCTGGACATTGAGGTTCTGCTACGCGGTGCAGAAATGCTTTGCAACGTATAGTATGTATTTCTTCTAACTCCAAAGTGAATTGACTGCGTGCTAAGTCCTCAAATAGCCCAGTTGCGGGAGCCAAAGAGAAGATTGCCTCTATACGATCTCGTCATCGTGAAATTACGGCTTCTCTTGAGTATCTTGAAAAGCACGTTACTGACCAGGCAGAAGAGCTGGAACGAATGAATCTCTCCCAATATGATGATAATGAATACCATCAGTATAAGTCAGAGGATATTCCTGAGACCGTAGAAGTTACGGATGAAGATATCGAGCTCGAACTTGAAGCTATTAGGGAGCTTGAAGCGAAGAAACGGCGTCTAGAAGCTAGGGTTACTGGGATGGAGAAAGACTTAGGCGGGCTCCTACGGTGAATCGGACTGCCGAGACTATACCCGTGTGCTGGATTGAGTGAATACTACCGCTAAACGTGGTACTACTTACAACCTCGCTCCGTGTGCTCAATGAATACGGCATCATTACCGCCCTGAGGTGGATGGAAGCATGTCCTCGTAAAAACCCAACCGAGGTCTAGGCTATTTATTCTAAAGGGCGGTAGCCTAACGCCCTTTTATACCGAGCTGCTGCCTTCGGTCCCAGATATTGCTATCAAAGAGTGACTTGGCGTGCTGTGAGTAAGGAACTCATATATGCTGTCTTTATGCCGCCCAGACAGGATTACGCAGACCTCAAAGGTTCAAGTTAAGCACGAGTCCCTACGAATTTTCCGATACAAATGAACGTGCCACACTGATGGCTTGTTCAACAAAGCAAAGCCCTATAATCGCGGTTAGTTTAAAGAATATATGGTGTTGGGGACATGTCAATTGAAGCTATCGTATCTCTAGTAATAATCTTGCATAAACACGTTGTCTTCGTCACTGGGGTTCGTCGCAATAATCGGGATGTGAGCTTGCGAGATGATACATTTCCTTTTGCCATAACCAATGATCGCGCACCACTCAGGGCCGTCAAAAGAGCTTGGGATGGCATCCCAAGGGCAGAGGCCAGGCTGTGCGGTCGTTGCAATACTTTTATCTTTGAACGTGAATGTACCAAAAGGGACCAGTAGATACGGTATCTTGTCATTCTCTGGTAGACGCAACCGGCCTGCAAAGCTAGTGGCTAGTCCCTGGGGCACAGCCACTTGCCCCTGACAAATGTTACGAAATGGCGGAGCGACTTTGCTGCATGTAAGTTCGGTTTGGGGATCGATGACATATGACATGATTTCAGTGTATATCTCTGATGGGAACACACCTTGGCTGAAGCGCTGAACATACTTCTGGCTCTGTATATCAAACATCATTTGAAGAATTGCAAATCCCGGATGTCCTTGTACGGCTGACTTTGTACCCACAACAGGGGGCATTGGGGCTATCTGTCCATTGGTAAGAGGCAATACCTCTGAGTGTGAGACTGATGTCACATCACCATCCATAGATACTTTCACAACAATCATCAACTTAATTGAGAAAAGGATGAGATCAAATCCCTTCTTGCCGCTCTGGAGCCCAAACTCCACTGCCTTTGCTATGGCAGCATCCCTATCACTGAAAAGAGCATCTGCAGTGACAAGGCTGATCAAGATGCCCTGAAAATAATACATAGTATCAGCAGGGGCACATCCAGGTTTGGTACCCGGCGTATGGCATCCTGAACCGAGAATTGGGATTATCTCCGTCTCATCATCAGCTTCTTTCGCGACCATAAAGCCATGTGAGCGATGTTTAAAGTAAAAGTTGCCATATAGCTTCCTGACGTCAGTCACGCAGAATTCGCCAGCTGCTAGCGATAGGATAGCAAATGCCAGCTCTCGAAAGGCGAAGTCGCTAGATGCCCATTGGGAATAAAAATCCCATAACTGTGAGTGGGAAGGGTGTAGCAGGTATTCGTACAGCATCAAGCCCACTACTTGACGTATAGTATCATTGGAGCCACCCGAGAAGCTATATAGTTCGGAACACTGGTATCCCTTGTATACCTCATTGTACCTCTCACACTCGGCGTGATCGGTAAAGTAGCTGGGAGTGAATTGCCCTAGCGTGGCCTCCGGGCATTTTTCAGTGGAGCGTTTCTCCGTGTAAAATACTTCGATCCAGGTGTCCCGAGGGATGTTCCAGAGTCTAAAGTAGACCTCATTGTTCACCGAAAATATCTGCTGGTCAAGGTCGATTATATACACCCATTCAATAAATAGGTCGTTTGATGCCTCGCCAAAATGGCACGTAAGTAACTCAGTGTCAAGTATACGCAGCCGCGACCCCACGCCGGGAGCACCATCCTCGTGTCCTGTTCCATCTCCAACCAGGATCTGTGCTTGTTCCTCCGTAATGCAGAGGTGTTCTTCGAGTTCGACCAAACGGCGCTCATAAGTAGCACGCTCTTGCTGGAGCCATTCTATCAGGAGTAGTTTTAGCATTTGACTTCATCAATGGCCCCCATATTCTGTCAAAATACAATAAATAAATAAAAAAAGAAAAATTAAACAGATTTCAATTTAAAAGGCAAGTTTGTTATCTAGTGAGGGTAAACCCCACATCCCGCGTTTACCTAAGTGTATCTGGAGGCTTGATAGTATATAGGGGCTTCCAAAGTCAGCTATAAGGAAAGTTCTCACCTTCGTATTCTTTTCGGTCGACAGGCACTTTCGAAACGACCTGTTTACCAAAATGTTCCGGGTAGCTGTCGAGGTGGTTGTAATACACGAAGTATCTGCCTCGATAGCGAACTACACGATATCCTCTAGTTCCCATCACGACCACGACGCCGCATCCACCAGCGCGCGACCCCGAGAAGCCGTAGCTAGTAAATCGGCAGGCCGATAACGAAACCCAGCCCGTGTGAGCGCAAGTGGGCACGTCGAGATATCGAGATGTCGATCGCTGTCTTTTGCTGGCGCTCGCTCTACGCCGCGTCTCGTAGTGAGTTTTGACTAGTTTGTGTTTATTTGAGGTCAAGATAAAGTTAAAGTGAATTACTTGATGACTAATAAAGCCAAGACTTTGGCCTCGTTGCGATTTTGACGTCGACGCAAAGAAAAGCGAAGGCGAAAGCGAGGAAACGCCAGCTCGACGGTCGAAGACAGGCGAACCCCCTTGCGACTATATCATTAGCATCTATATCGGTCCGCAGCGGCACGGAGAGTACTATATACGGGTGATATACGAGTGTGCGTGGCGCGCCAGAGCTGGAACGAGCTGAGAAGTTGAGCTTCATCGCAAGCAGCCATGGATAACTCGTCGACCCCGGCCAACGCGGCGCATCAGACGCAGCAGACGCAGCAGCAGCAGACCCTCCAGCAGCAGCAACAACAAGCGCTGTCGAGTCTTATCCGGACGGAGCAGGTCCAGAAACTACCGCACCTCGCCGACTCGCAGAAGGCGATCCATACGCAGGCGGTCCGGAGCTGCTGGGAGGTGCTCCATTCGCACCCGCCCACGTCCAACGAATATATGAAGGCACAGCAGAAACTGACGCAGATGTCTTCACAGCTAATGAGGGGAATGAGACTATACCAGCAGAGCAGGTCTCAGGCCCAGCTCCAGCAACAGGCACAGGCGCAGGCTCAGGCCCAGCAGCAACAGCAGCAGCAACAGCAACAACAGCAACAACAGCAACAGCAACAGCAGCAGCAGCAGCAGCAGAAACAGGCCCAAACGCAGCAGGACCAGCAGCCACAGATCAGCCGGGGCCCTGCTGGAGTGAACCCGGCCCAGCAGAAACCTCAGAACTTTCAACCTCTTTACCCGCAGATCCAGGCGAAGGTCAACAGCCTGACATTTATCCCACCGCTCTCGATAAGCAAGGACCAGGTGGAGAGCTGGCTGCAGGAGGCAAAGAATCGATATGGTGCGGCGTTGCAGAAGCAAGAGCTGGGGAAGGTAAAACTGGCTGAAGTCCGGCAATCGTATCAACAGCGTCAAGGTGCTGGAAACCTGACAGCTGAGGAGATTCAGGAATTCAAGAACAGACAGCTCTTTGCCGATAAGTTATATAGAGAAGGAAACGAGTTTCTTTCCAAATTCAAGGATCAGCAAGACAGCTTCCGTCTCCAGCACCAGCAGGCGGCTGCAGCTGCAGCTTCAGGCCAGCAGGCAGGCCAAGGCGCGCAGACTCAAACTTCTGGTGCAGGAGATCAACAGGGCGTCGTTAGCCAGGCAGCCGTGCAGCAGCCTGTGCCAGCGACGGCTGCAACACCTGCCCCTCATACTATAAATTCTGCTGTTGTTGCAGCACGCCACCAGGCAGGCCAAACTCCTCAGGGACAGGCCCAGGTTCCTGGGCCAGGAGCAACACATCCTCCGACTCAGCAGCAAGGACAAGCAGGACAGCCACAACAGCAACAACAACAGCAGCCACAGCAACAACAACAACATCAGCAACCTCAACAGCAACAACAGCAGCAGCAGCAACCCCAACAACCGCAACAGCAGCAGCAACCTCAACAACCCCAACAGCAACCAAATCAGCCAGGACAACAGCAACCAGCTACACAACAAGCACAGGTTGTAGGCATGAAACAACAGCTTCCAGAAGGCGCTGGAGCTACCACTCTCTCCCAAATGCCACAAAACCAGGGACCTCCACGCGCACTCTCTCAGCAGGGAGCAGTGACCCAAGCGCGAAACAGCTATGATGTAAATGCAAACATGCACCAGAACTCTAACCACGCACATCCCCAAGCCTACATTGGCGACCGCAACAACATGGATACCCGAAAGATCAATATGGCGATACCCAAGAACCTCAGCATTTCTACCACTCCTGAGCCCGTTACCATGGGAGCGGCCCGGCCTACCCTCACCACCGGAGCCAGCCATGGATCCATGGGAATGATGGGCCAGCCAGCCATCCAGAAGCACCCCGGCTACGTCCTGGAGGGAGAAGGCCAACGCGTTCTCAGCAAGAAGAAGCTTGACGACCTAGTTCGACAGGTTACCGGAGGCGGCGAGGGAGAAAAGCTCACCCCCGACGCAGAAGAGGTATGGCTCCCGTTTTTCTTTCCCCCTTTCCTGTTGTTACATTAACCGTATCTAATGACTTCTATAGTTTGTACTCCAGATGGCCGACGACTTTGTCGACGATGTCATCACTGCCGCCTGTCGTCTCGCCAAGCTGCGCCCATCCTCGACTCTGGACATCCGCGATATCCAGCTCGTCCTGGAGCGCAACTACAACATGCGTATCCCTGGTTTCTCGTCAGATGACTTGCGTACGGTCAAGAAGCCTCATCCTACTCAGGGCTGGATCCAGAAGATGACTGCCGTCCAGGCTGCCAAGGTCACCCAAAGCCGCACTGAGTAGGTACGATTCATCGGCTCTTTACTACGACATGAAACGGATCTCTTCTACGGAGTACTGCTACGGCTGCTTCTTCTTTTCTTGACTTTTTTTTTCTCCTCACGCACTGGAAGTTTGGGGTGAACGGTCTCTCTTTTTGCTGAGCTTTCTATCATCTTCTACTTCGGCTTCGGCTTTTCATACCCTACTTAGGAGCTGTTTACGGTGGTCATCTGTCGACTGGCGAAGGGTTTATTAGTTCGTTCTTCTTTAAAGGGTGGATAAAACGGAGGGACGGCAGGTCATCAGGAGTTGTGTACAATAATATAACATATCTAGCAGCATCCACCATAATAAATACACGGCCTCACCACGAGTCTTCTTCTTCCGTTTGTCCTAGCATCCATCTGTATGACTTGCCTGTCTCCGTCAGAGTAAAGAAAAAAAGCAACGACAGGGCGATGTCCTCGGCGTCCTTGTGATGTTGCCGTTAGCAATACAAGGTACTGCGATATACCCGCAAGATACACTAGAATCGCATCAGATGAGCGCCATCAGCTGGGAGTCTACAGCAACTGTCTTGTCATGCCTGGGATCCTCCTTTGAAACCGCATGCATTCCTTGTCGAGCTCTTGACCTTCTGCTCAGCCTCAGCAGCTCCCTCGTATATGTAGCTCCCCCCGTAACTCCATAACTAAATAAATAACAAGATCCTTCGGTGCAGCTGCATGCGATCTGCGCCCTGAGCGCGTTTTCCCATAGTTTCTTCCGCTCAAGCCGGACCTGGTATTTGAGTGCATCGATGTCCAGGCCTGTTTCGAAGCAGACCTAGTTCTGTACTCCATCTCAGCGTCATCTTTTGCTTTCTCGTCTCTTTAGCTCTGTTCGCTTAAATATCGTCGTCGTCATCGAATATAGGCCAGGATGGCTGAACCTTCGGCTCGTCCAGCGATGCCTTCAGAGCGTCCCCGGAGCAGATCTCGAATTCCTCGCCTGCACACAGGAGACCCTATCCCTCCGCCGACGAGGCCAGCGAGGCCCGGTATGTGACCAGTCCCTTTTTGTTCTTCGTCTTCTATGCGGGTTTGACATGCCAGCACCCGAGATGCGGGCCGTCGTTTGTCTTTTCGTTTGTTTGTTTACGGCGCATCAACTAGATCTGCTGTTTGGCTAATGAACAACTCGACTGCAGAACAGTTGACGCCCTCGACGCGACTGGCGGAACAGCTGCCGTCCGTTGGGCAGCCCAGAAGTAAGCCTTCCTCACTGTTCCGGTGTTACCTTTGGCCAGCTACAGCTTTCCGATTGGATAACGAATGCGAGCTGGCTTGCAGGAGGAGGTGGTGATGGTGATGGGTTGTTGACATGTTGATTCTATTCAGAACGACAGACACGGCGACATGACCTGGGCCCGAAATGGCACAAGGAATACTCGGAGATTGACCAGCACTGCGGACGGGTCTTGATCATCGATTTCGTGAAACAAGGTAGGCTGCTGGATGAGCGATGCCCTTTTGCTGGTGGTGATGGAACTACAGAAGAAATGCTAACCAGGCTGTGTCTACAGAGGCGAGCAAAACCCGCATGCGCAAAGTCAGCGCAGAAGAGATCTTTGACCTTCAAGCGCTTCGAAAAGTGTATAACAACCCTGATCGAACCAACGAGGCCGTCCTGCGTGTCTTTCACGTTCAAAACGCCGACTGGGCTAAGGAGTATCTCCTGAGGAAGTTCAATATCGACAACCACGACAATCTCGTTGGCAATGACTTTGGGAAATATGTTCGACATAAGAACCCGGAGAGACGAGGCGGACGGCCGTTTCTGAACGGGAAGACATGGAAAGTCCAGTACGATCCGTGGCGAGGAATCAGTAAGACGTCGTTTGGGCTGGATTATCTGAAGCAGTATCCCAAGGCTGCGCATTATACCTCACACCACCGTCGAAGTCCAGAGGATGATACCCTCAAGATGATGGAGCTGGACTCCTGGGAAAGCGAAGGTATGCACTCATTACATGCGCGTTCCTTCGAAAATGCTTTGCGAATCTTTGGCTTACACCAGGCATAGGGAATCCAGCCAATGGCTACGATGTATATGTCCAGCGTTTCAGCTGCTATATCCAGCACAAACAAGTCACAGGAGTGCCCTCTCTGCAAATGGAGGATTCGGATATCAAGAATCCCTATCATATCGAAGATACCCAGGCCGGTGATTCGCCGGGGAAGCGAAGAGATGTATACGTGCCACGCCTAAACTCCCTGGATAACGGCAATGCAATCCTTATCTTTGACAATTCTCACACCGGATGTCTAGATGACACCCTCATCCCGCCGCGTCAGACATGGGAGGAGAGATGGAGACGTCTTCCATTCTTCCTTGCCTTTGAGTCCAAGGATCTGGTTGAAAGTGACGAGCAACTTGCTTACCATAGCACCAGGATTATTCTGGATGATATCTTCAAGGTCTTAACCGCAAACTGGGATTCGTTCCTAAACCAAGCCATGGACCATGTCAGCATGTTGGAGGACAAGATATATGAGCGGCCGGCGGACGAAACTCGCGCCCCATTGCTATGGACCAACTCGAATCTGTGGCTCAAAGTTGAAAAGTTGCTGTTCATTCACCTTGATATCGTCAAGGAGATGATAACACGACTGCAAGACCTGACGGGTTGGTTGATCATGGTTAATTTAGGTCTTCTTATAAGACTGCATAGCTAACCTACTGCGAATAGATGATGTAGAGTCCGACACTCCCTGGCTGGAGAGCATACCAAGTGACTTTGAACGGCTGGGTACCACCATTACAGAAGACTTGATCAAGCCGACTGAGAATCTGATATCCCTACTGTATCAGTCAGTCTCCATCAGAGACAGTCGACACAGCATTCAGTTGAACGTCAGCAGTAAGTATTCGAGCTAGCACAACCATCTGTATGAGCATAGAGATCGTTGGCTAACTATCTATAGTGTGGCGCCTGAGTTGGATCACCTTCATCTTCCTCCCGATGACCTTCATCACTGGGTTTTTCGGCATGAACGTTAATACCTTCAAAGATGACCCAGATATTAAATGGTACTTTATAGCTACTGTGCCCTTCATGCTCCTAGTCCTCGTAGTTTGGTACGTCATCAAGCATTACCTTGCAGGCCGACGCCAAACTCCACACCAACGAGGCATCTACGAGAATTTCTTCAACGAGATGGCTGATGGTAACCCATCGCTATGGTCTCGAATGGGTCCGCGTGATTATGTCGTTCCCCAGGGCTTTCTGGCACGCATCAAATGGCACTTTATCAAAGTCTGGAGTGCTCCTGAACGCACGATCTTGCTGGACACAGACAGCGATGGATCGGGTGGTGATATGGGCACAATATTTAAGATAAAGCAATACTTGATCCGCAGGTGGACGTCACAGCTCCGAAACAACAAGGCAGTCAAGGAAACCGCACTTGAAGATGGGTTAATAGTACCTGATGAAGACCATGCCAGTGAAGTACATAGCATTGCCGATGGACTTGCAGAGGCTACTGAAATGCTCGTGATACCCGCCACTCCAGCTGTTGAGTCTCAAATAGTGCCCGAGATAGCGGCATCGCTTCCCACTCATGAAACCAAGGCAGCTGCTCCTGAGACTATAGCTCCTCGTTTGGCCCCGTCTTTGCTTAGCGGCGCACATCGTCGAAGCAGCAGCGCCGGAAGGACCAGTGGTCTTCTGGTTGAAGAGGAAGATTACCAATGGCTGAGCGAGCGAGGCAAGCAAGGAAAGCAGTGGGCGTGGAGGACATCGAGTTCTAGAGGTAGAAGCCCCCATGGAAGCCACAGTCGAAGCCGTAGCGGAGAGGACAGAGAAGCTGGGAAGAGTGGCGGTACTACTCCCCCCATTGATGAGGGTACCGAAACGATGCCAAAGTCGTACTATGATGATGATGATAACAATGAATCACCTACAGCGGTGCATGATACCTCTAATGACCGTCCTTGATCAGCGTTTATGTTTAGGTGATTTACAGGCTACTGTCCTTGCCTTGCTCAAGGGGTGTACAAAAGATAGATATGATACCCGTTTTAGACCATTTGATATTGATTTCTTTCACATTCCCCTTTAATCTAGACATATCAGCGAATTTTCTCTCCATTACTCTCTCCCTTCCTCCATCCCTTTCTCCATCCCTTTCTCCATCCATCCATCTCTCTCACTTTCTCTCTCCCTCTCCCTCTCTGTCTCTCTCTTTTCCTGTGTGTGTGTGTGTGTGTGTGTGTGTGTGTGTGTGTGCGTGCATGTGTCCCTCTCTCGATCCACCAATGTCGAGATCCTCATGTCGAGACCATCACTTCAACATAAGGTAATCTTCCTCGATGACCTTGAAAGCAAAGCAGCCTGGGCCAGTATAGTGGACATGCACATACTCGACCTCCAGCTCCAGGTCATCAAACACCTCACGCTCCAGAGTTTCCATCAACTTGGCTCCCTCCACCACCTTGCTCCAGACCATCATGTTGCCAGCATCATAGGCCCTCGCCGTAAGTGAACGATTATGAAACTGCGGCGGAATGCCCAGGTCGCTGTCGTCGCTGTCAACGAACCAGGGGCACTCGTTTGCGTGCAGGAATATCGGTCCGGCGCCACTATAGGGCGTATCGCGGTTCTCAGGGAGGAACGGGTTGTACGAGATGAGAAGGACGTCTTCGTCCAGGGCAGCGTTTTTGAGGCAGCGACGGCATGGAGCACAGCCGAACGTTGGGGTGATGGTTGAGCGGATCGTGGAAGGTTGGTTGACTTCCACTGGTGCTGGGAGAGGGATAATTTGCATCTTGATGGTTGTTGGTGGTGGTTTTGTGTTTAGATTGAGATAATGTAGATATAGATGTGGATGTGGAGGTAGATGTAGATGTTTTTGGTGTGTGGATTGTCAGAATAGGCTGAAGAACGGGGAGAAGAGGGCTGTTTAAATACTTGTCCATGGCTGTCTATCTACTTACTATATTTGGTCTTTGGCTACTTGCTCCTAATGTGTTCAATGGCATCGATACCTGTACGGGACCATAAGGGGCAGCGGAGCTGTTCACAATACAATCAATGCAAGCATGTTCCCGCAGTTACATCAATCATCCCAAGTTCACTTTCGGATTGTTACATATATGGCTACAGCGTTATAGTTTCAGTGTGCTCGTATTTCCCCTTGCTGCCAATATGACCAAATACACCTTCCGTTGCGAGACAATGGTCAAGAATCTCTGAATGATAGTTTCATTCCTGTGATACCATATGAGAGAGACAGAGAGAGAGAGAGAGAGAGAGAGGAAGAGGAAAAGGAGTACAAGTAAAGCTTACACGAGACAGCTTCTCCCACCCATCTAGCCGGCCGACAATGGGGCCCCTATTTGCCGTCCTAATACCTGATCAGACAGACCAACAATATCAAATACAACCACGGAAAGAGACGTTAGAAGAAAGAAAGAAAGAAAGAAACCAGAGAGCTGTAATTGAACCGAAAGGGAAAGGAAAAAAGGAAACACAGCATGAAGAAAAAAATCACATCATTGACCATCCTCTTCGTTCTTGTTGACGGGTAGCGGCGACCGGGCTGTGGTATCGACAATGTCTTCATCGTAGGTCATGCCGTCCAGCATTTGTGCATCGACAACCGCAGATCGTGAGCCCGGCGCAGCAGTGGGCGACTGGGGTTGCTGCTGAGACTGGCTGTGGTGTGTGATTGGGTGGGAGAAACGGCTTGAGGTAGGACTTGAACCCGCTACTGCAGTGGTACTGACGCCCGTCATGGAAGAGGACTGCCTGCTTAGTCCTGCTGCAGCAAGGCGGCGTTGTACGGGCGTCGATATCGGCCCCGAGATGGTACTGTTTGCTCCCTCACCGAACCCAACAAGGCTTGCGTTTCCTTCATCACTGAAGGCGTCTGTGGAGCGGGCATCTGCATCGTCAGGATCGACATCTTCTTCGTCTATAGTCTCGTCCTGGCCGTAGACATCGTCACTCCCACTTGCCCAGGTAGTGCGAGTGCGCCCGCCCAGACTGCCACGACTCATGCTTTCCGTCGCACTGGCACTGCCGACTGTGCTGCGCTCCTTGAGCATATGCGGTTGCGTGTCAAAGTACTCTCCTTGCGAGAGGCCGCTGGAGTGATGTGGGAGAAGCGGATTCCCGCTTCCTGGAGCCGTGCGAGCAGAGAGACGCTCCAGGCCAGCGAGGCGTGAGATACGGTCTGCGCGCTCAGCATCAAGGGTTGTAGTAGAAGTTTCAGATGCGTTGGAGGAAGATCGATGTGGTCTATGGCTGTGGGGTCGACGGGCTCCCTGGTGGCCGTCCTTGATGGCTACGGTAGAGAGCGCAGAGAGAGAGGTTGTTCCTGAGTTTGGAGTGCTCCTGTGTCCACCGTCAGCGGGAAGATCTTCATATGGCCCAATGGGAGCAAACAGGGAGACACTTACGGGCCCATATCAGACGGGGTGACGGGGTCCGATGGAGGGGGAGGGAGGTTGATGAGCGTAGGAGTGGTCATATTGGAAGGTCTCTGAAACAGCAGAAGTAGAAGATGCGTGTATCTGCGTGTCTTGCGTTTGCGACAGGAGGCACAGAGTATCTCAGGGCGCTTTTTATCTAGTTATCCATGGTTAGCATCTAGCTGGCTGTGGCGTATGAGGCATCTATGCGGGTAGAGGAAGGCCACCAACCAGAGAGATGTGAAGCAAGGCACCAGCAGCAGTCACTTCTCTGCAGCCCGAATGCGTATTTCCGTCTGTCGATCGAATAGGGCAGTCTATCACTGTCTGCGGCACTCGTCTTCTGTCTGCGTCTCTTCTTAGTTATCTCGCCGTCGTCGCCTTGGTTGTTTCTTCTCAGGCTCTCGTGAAGGCGAAAAGCGCAAAGGACGTCATCGACTGGAGGGATCGTGATATTATGTAAGCAGGCGTATCAAACTCTGTTTTCGTTCTTTGACCAAAATCAGCGACAGCGACAGCGATTTGGCCGGCAGAAGAAGCCAGCTTTTGATAGGCCAGAAAGTTAAGCAGTCAACATAAGGCTGAAAGGGGAGAAGACTCTTTATCAGGGGTCGAATAACTCCTTAGGTGATAACTTGCTGATATATATATACCTGCACTCCATCCTCGACCATCTACACCTACTCTGCTGTCCACTGTCTACCATCTACACCGACTATCTCTATCTACTCTGCGCCTTACTGTCTTCTTCTTCCTCATCCTTGCTGTCTTTTCTTTCTTTTCTTCTTCCTTCGCGTCATCGACCCTTTTGACTGCTGACTAAGCGCGCACGTACCACCTCGCTTCTTCCCACTTTGGGAAAAGAAAAAAACTTCAGCTTCAACTTTTCTTCTTCTTCTTCTTCTCTTCTTCTTACGCCCTCACGACCTTCACCTTCACCTTCATCTTCGTCCGTCACCGTCGCCTTCGCTCTCCCGGTCTCTTTCGCCGCCTCGCCCGCCCTTCCGCTGTCTCCAGCCCAGCGTCCGTGGAGGATTTCATCGAGCCTGTCGCGTTCAAGCAAGCCAACATACAACAACCGTCCAGGCGGTGAAAATCAGTGCATATACATAGTCATCTCACAGCTATATACACTCTGCAATCTATCCGCGCGCGCTCGATACCGGTGATTTTTCGACCCTCGACTTCTCGCTGGCATTCACTTGTCTAGCAGATTTCGACCCGAGAGAAGAGAAGAAGAGAAGATTTGGCCAGCTGCGAGCAAGCGAGACAGCAAACTTGCAAATAGGACCCCTCTCCGCGCACAAAGAGATCCTCGAAACACAAAAGAGCTTTCGGTCAGATATCCTCGAGAACCAGTATTCTTTATTCCTTGGTTACTGTTCTATATATCGGAGCCTTCTCTTTTCTATTTTTGGGGAGGAGGGAATTTCGCTGCCTGGGATAAACCCCTGACTTGACACACAGCGTTGGTCTCTGTTCCGTGGCTTTCAGTAGTCATGGCAGCTCCAACTCAGCTTGCTTGTAAGACCTACTCAGATACTCACCGCACCTGAAGTGTACTGACTGACTGGACTGCAGACCGTACGGTGAAGGGCATCGGCATCTTGGATGCTGCGCCGGTTTACGAACCCTTGGCTGGTTTCGTTAGGTACGCATACACCCTCTCACGATAAGACGAGATACGAACGCATCTAACACATTGTCTAGACCTGAAGGGAACCTCCGGTGCTCCGCATACTCCGCCTGCGGCCGATATTTCGCTTGGGCTGCCCCAGAAGGGTAAGCACTGCCTCCGAGCCCCCCGAGATTGAGAAGATTACAGCCACTAATTACATTCCCCATAGTGTCACTATCGTCGACCCTTCCGTGGGCCACATAGTCAACCAGATTCCTGCAGAGAATGTCTACGAGGTAGATTTTTCGCCCCTGGGCACATATGTCATTACCTGGCAGCGGCCATCCAAGGACGCCAACGGTGATGCAGTTCGGAATCTCAAGGTGTGGAAGGTTGCCACCGAAAATGAAGCCCAAGACCAGCAGATCCCGATTGGCAGCTTCGTTCAGAAGTCACAGACAGGCTGGAATCTGCAGTATGCCTCGGACGAACAATATTGTGCTCGGGTCGTGACAAACGAGGTGCAGTTCTACGAGAGCGGGAACCTTGGAACTGTTTGGAAGAAACTGAGGGTCGAAGGCGTCTCGGACTTTGCTCTTTCACCGGGCAAGGGACACGCCGTCGCCACCTTCATTCCCGAGAGAAAGGTACCCTCAATATTCAATTTCGAATTATTTAGTAGAGAAAATGCATAGACTAACGTTGTGATAGGGCCAACCTGCTTCCGTCAAGATATTTGATATGCCCAACTTCAATGCTCCTGTTTCGCAGAAGTCATTCTACAAGGGCGACAAGGTGCAGCTGAAGTGGAATAATACCGGAACCACTTTGATCGTGCTCGCTCAGACCGACGTCGATAAGAGTGGTAAGAGTTACTACGGAGAGACCACCCTGTATCTCCTCAGCGTTAGTGGCACGTTTGATTCTAGGATCGACCTAGGTATGTTTTGAGTCCTACGATCCCCTGTTTTCCTTTTCAGCATAAAGTAGCTAACAGTTAAATAGACAAGGAGGGCCCAATCCATGATGTTACATGGTCTCCTACCTCCAAAGAATTCGGTGTAGTGTATGGATACATGCCTGCAAAGACCACCATCTTCAATACCCGTGCTGTTGCCACACATTCTTTCCAGCTCGGCCCACGAAACACAATTCTGTTCTCTCCACACGGCCGTTTTGTTCTGGTTGCTGGCTTTGGTAACTTGGCAGGCCAAATGGACATTTACGACGTGGAGAAAGACTACAAGAAGATCGTTACTATTGAGGCATCGAACGCCAGTGTCTGTGAATGGAGTCCAGACGGCAAGCACATCCTCACTGCTACCACCAGCCCACGCCTACGTGTCGATAACGGCGTTCGTATCTGGCATGTTACCGGTGCGCTGATGTACAACGAGGACATGAATGAGCTGTACTCCGTGGCGTGGCGGCCACAGTCTCCCAACAGCCACCCACTGACATCGAATCCCCTTACCCCCGTGCCGAGCCCGCACCCGTCTGCTACAGCTTACCTGAGCACCAAGAAAGCGCCCACCAAGCCAGCAGGTGCATATCGCCCTCCCGGTGCTCGAGGACAGAGTACACCACTTGCTTTCCGCCGCGAGGATGAAGGAGGTGCCGCATTTGTCCGTGAAGAATCGTCCGCGTTTGGATCGAATGGCGGCTCCGCTTCTCCCTTCGGCAAACCCCGTCGTCGTGCTGTACCCGGTGCTGAACCAGTGGAAGAGTTCCTACCACCCGGAGCCGCTCCGGGAGGCGGAGTTGCTCTACCCCCTGGGGCTGACGCCGGATCCGAGAAGTTGTCCAAGGCTGCTGCAAAGAACAAAAAGAAGCGAGAGGCCAAGAAGGCCAAGGAAGCCGGTGCTGGCGGCCAAGGGGACAACGGCGAGACTTACATGTCTACCGCACCTGGTTCGGACAGGCGGGATCGCAGTCGCTCCCGAGGTCACCGTCAGCAACCTAGCGGCGGCGCGAACGGTGCCAACGGCACGAACCTGGACCCTAACCATCCCCGTAATGGCCGGGACCGAAGCAGAAGCGCCCACCGCCGCCAGCGTAGCGATGGCCGCACCGGCACACCCAACCGCAACGGTAACGCCAACCATCCCCATGACCGCCGTGCACCAGCCGTCAACGTCAACACCGCTAGCCGCCAACAAGCCGCACCACCAGATTTGACCGTCACTTCTCCCGATGGCGGTAATACTGCCAATGCTGTACCCGACGCAGCAGCCATTGCTCGTGACAAGAAAATGCGCAGTCTCCTGAAGAAGGTCCGCGCCATCGACGAGCTCAAGATGCGTGTTGCCAGCGGTGAGAAGCTGGAGGAGACCCAGATGAAGAAGATTCATACTGAGGAATCGGTTAGGAACGAGCTGGAGGCCTTGGGATGGACCGGCTGAAGGAAAGGTGGGAAGTAGAATAGTATATAATGAGCGGAGGATATAAATGAATAAACAAGAAAACAACAAATTGGTCACATTATTGGACTACAATATTATATATCTCTACTCATTTACCCCCTCGATGTTCTTTTATGTAGGCTGAATCCGTATGTTGGACGAGTTAGCGAGTAACTAGTTGATAGACTCCATCCTCTATCTTCGTATCACAGCATCGCAACAGCACAGAGTAACGACTCGGCCAACGTACTACCCACAGAATGCTAATAATACATTAGCAGCCAGCATTCACTCCCTCGCTTCGCCTCGATAATCCCTGTCTCTGCAGTTGTCTCCTGTTGGCCTGTTCTGCGCGTTCATTGGGCAAAAGCATGGCTTGTCACAGACCTAAGCGCCGTGTCTGAGACGCAGGAACAGAGCACAGCGAGCGAAGAAGCGGGACCAGCGCAGGGTCAGAAGATGGATATAAGTCCTGGAATAGCTATGAATGGCTGGCTATTCATGTTATCTCCAATCTGAAGGTGGCCTGATACATCATCCAAGCCCATATCCATGCCTGTTTGTCCCTCCCTTTTCAAGGACAACATCGACTACCAAGGAGCCATAAAGGACTCGATACTTGAACTCGATTTTTATACCCCGTATATTTCTTAGAGATCGGCGCTTTGGTTAAGTAGTTGGTGGCTTCCAGGCCTGCTTCAGCGGCATGAATCGACTACCGCATGGCAGTGGCAGGAGTCGCCTGCGCGGCGGCATCGAAATGTCCCGTATGCCATGGCAGTCGCATGAACAAGAACGGTCCAGGATCCCTCCGTTGGCCAGGATGTTGATGTCGGGTGAGATGAGCGGAGAGCCGCCTAGGAGTCTGAATATGAAAGAGAAATTTGATAGATGGTGTGCAGTATCACTCTGGGCGAAAACGTGTATGTGACTAATACCGTTTATTGCAGGATGGTTAACGATGGATGGAGAAGATTGTAAGTCTCATATCTGCAGTGTATACTTGTGCATTTACTAATGACTACAGATTCGTTACGATATTCGCTTTGGTGCATGTTCTTCTGTTTGTAGTAGGTATGCTCAACTATAGCCTGAAGGTACTGCTCTCTCCTCTAGAAAGACAAAGATTTGGTTATTAACATTGATAATAGGACAATCTTAGTAAAGCTAGAGGGTTACTTGGATCTAGCTATCCTATTGCTAGAGCAGCCGCTTTAGTGCTCCATTTTGACGTTGCGATCATCCTGATTCGTATGTAACCCCCCTTAAAGGGAACCTTCCTACTATGCTGATAGATGTACAGCTGTCTCTCGCACGCTTATCTCCCTTCTAAGACAAACTCCCTTGAACGGCGTTATACCCTTTGGTACGTTAATATCGAGCTGTTAGTCTAGGTTTGAGAAGTATGGCCATACTAATTTTATTGTAGATAAGAGCATAGCATTCCACCAGAGTATGTCTGGCCACCCCATTCCCTTTATACCTAACTAACTGGCTTAGTTACCGCATGGTCTATCGTGTTTTTCTCTCTCTTACACACCGTTGCCCACTGGGTCAATTTTGCTCGCATCGCAAGCTCCGAGGGCTTGGGAATCACGGGCTTCCTCCAACTAAATTTCACCACAGGTCCCGGATGGTCGGGGTATGTTATGTTGATAGCCCTGGTGGCTATTGCAGTAACATCTTTGGAAGGTCCACGAAGAGCCAACCACGAACGATTCTGGAATACCCACCATCTCTTCATTATCTTTTTCCTGTTTTGGTCCTTCCATGGAGCGTTTTGCATGATCAAACCGGATTTACCTCCCTTTTGTGACGGAGTAGGCGTATTTTATCTCTACTGGCTATTTGGAGGCTCTGTGTACCTGATAGAACGACTCATGCGGGAGGTCAGAGGTAAACACAGGACAATCATTACCAAAGTGATCCAGCATCCAAGCAATGTCTTTGAGATTCAGCTTCGAAAGGAGAAGACCAAGATGAAACCAGGACAGGTATGTAGGCTAGCTCTACTACAGCCATAGCTGTTTTCACCCATGCTTACCACAGTCTAGTATATCTTCATCAACTGTCCGGTAGTGTCAGTATGGCAATACCACCCCTTCACCCTTACTAGTGCCCCGGAGGAGGATCATATATCCGTGCACATACGCTGCGTTGGCAATTTCACAAAAGACTTAGCAAAAGCGGTCGGCTGTGACTTTGACGGGAGAGAACTCCCTCCTTCATACGACCGACGTAACAAGCGTGAATCTACAGTCATTGGTGTCGATGCCAATACAACCGAGCAAGATGTCGACCCAAGACTTCGTCGTATACTACCACGTATTTTCGTTGATGGGCCCTTTGGCAGCGCATCTGAAGACGTGTTTAAATTCGAAGTAGCCGTGTTGGTCGGTGCTGGGATCGGTGTCACCCCGTTTGCTTCCATCTTGAAGAGCATCTGGTATCGAATGAGCCAGCCACAAAACAAAACGCGGTTGAAGAAGGTGTATTTCTTCTGGGTGTGTCGAGACTTCGGCTCCTTTGAGTGGTTCAGCTCACTGTTGCTTGCCATAGAGGCTCAAGATAGGTATAGTAACATCGAGATTCACACAGTATGTCCTCGTACATAACTATTTGCTCCAGTGATTCGATACGTTGCTGACTACTTCTAGTACCTCACGGCCAAAATCCAATCCGATGATGCAACGAATATCATGATCAATGACGCCGATGCAGACCGAGACGCCATCACCGGTCTTCGTGCCCCCACCAACTTTGGCCGGCCAAACTGGGATATGGTTTTCCGATCAATCCGCAAGATTCATGCACCAGCCGAAGCGGGAGTCTTTTTCTGTGGGCCAAAGGCTTTGGGGAGTGTGTTGCATGTGAAATGCAACATGTACTCCGAGCCCGGTTTTAATTTTGTATGGGGAGAGGAGAACTTCTAATTTGGATATCACTTTCTTAGCCCGCTTTAGCACATGCCGTAAATAATATACCAATGTAACTTATCCTTAATCTGCGCTAAACGCGAGAATCAACTTGGAAGGAAATCTGATATGTAGACAAGAAAAGGCTGAAAGTAGCACTATTACGTCATCCCGCATCTCTCCACTAAATAGAGTTTCAGCTACGGCATGCGAACCTTCTTTTCGTCTTCTTCTCTTTTTGCACGTTGAGATTCAGACCATGCGAGCAGCAAGGCGTCTTTTAACTACTAAACAGAGCGATTTTAATTCGATAAAAGACGATCCTCAAGTTAGAGACTAGTTTTTATTTAACAGGCTCGTATTATTCCTGACAAGTGTTGTTATAACAAGGGCGCGGGTATGCCTCATCACCGGGATCATAAGTAGACAGGTATATGTACACTGTACCCTAGACCAGGTTATATTAGGCGGAGGGCGTTATTTACAGGGCTAAGAGCGCACTATAGTAAGCAGAGATACGAGCAGACATACTTTAATTTAACTAAACCTGAAGTTGTCGAACTGGTGGATACCATGGATAGAGGGGCATACAGACCGGTATCTATAACTCCATCCCACGATCTATATCGTGCCACGACTAACAGTACCGCCGATTTCCACGATATACACTCATAGGTAACAAGCTCTCCGGCTTCAAGTATGACTTTCAAATCCAGGTAACAGAGAAACACCTGCCGTGACATGATATGGGTCAGGGACGAGTCGCACACCCAAGGTTGTAACCCTAAACCATTACCACATAGATTAATGCCTGACTTGATATCACGGCCGGTCACTTGAGCAGGATGACGACGACGTTCATTTCACTTGCTTTCACGGGGCAGGTAAATGATGAACTTTATCATATTATGCTAAAGCTTAGATTAATGGTACAAGCCTATCCTAGGGGATTATATCTCAAACCTGAGGGTCACGTATAAATACGGAAAGCGGGTGGCGTTGGTCGTCTTTTGCCGGGGGTAGGTTGCTGCCTGTGCCTTCCCATATACGTTTGGGCGGGAGAGTATATTATTGTGTTGAGATGGATGCCGAAGAATGCTAGCCAGCTGGGAGGTATCAAGTCGAGGCCGGGCACCAATAATAACTTCAAGATAGTAGGCGGCAGGTTTCTACATGCAAATGGTAACTGCCAACCACCCATCAATCATAAACATGATATTCATTGTTCGTGGGAACTGGGACTATATTAGCTGGTCTCGGCCAAAGCTAAGAAACAAAAAGGAAACTAATATCATCTCATCATCGCTATGCTAAGGAAATAGAATAGAGTACGGCGTGGATTTATTAACAAGGGTATTGAAAGGGGTGGGTGGGGTGGTCGAGACTGGAACAGCTAGTAATATATAGTCTGTTGAACTGAATGACTCATTTATTTTTTATTTCGGGCACCTTCGCCCTCTCCGACCTGACCGCGGAACTCGTCGAGGTCCTGCTGAAGTCGGGATAGATTGGCTAGGATATCATTTGCATTTGAAGGAGGAGAGATGCCGGATTCAACTGGATTGCTGCCTCGGCTGGTTTTGCGGGGCGGAGGAGGTGGTGGTAAGGGGTGATCCTCAGTCTCCGCTGATATTGAAGATGGCCTTCTAGTGGATGATGGAGAGGAATGGTTTATGTCTGTTGAATGGTTTGAGTGGGTTGAACCGGCTTTTCGACGTGGAGGGGGAGGCTGTGGTCTTGATGTTGAGACTGCTGTATTGTTGTGAACATGGCTTGGGAGCTGAAGATGCGAGTTATGTTGTGGAGATGGCTCTGATTCTGCCTTTTGATATGATGTAGGGGTATCAGTTGATGAAGTATCCTGTATAGATGAGGCCGTTGATCCTTGATCTGTAATACTGCTGCCTGTTCCAGTCCTTCTAGACGGCGGAGGTGGAGGTGTCTTGGGGTTTGTAGCACTGTTCAAGGAAGCGGATCTATTCAAAGGCTTGGTGGAGACGGGTGGAAGGGATAGTCTGGAGGCGTTGGCATTACTCCGTTTCATCTGGCTGTGCCGGCGTGTTATAGGAGGCGTTGGGGGCCGTTTAAGCTGTGCATGAGTAGGCGGAACTGGCTCCGATTGCGCAGCCTGTCGCCGTAGGGGAGGTGAAGGGGGCTGAGCTCCGTGTATGGAAGCGGCGGGTGATTTGTATGGCTTATTGTGAGGGGGGAAACAGGCACAGGAACAGGAACAAGACCTTCAGTAGACTTATCAGTAGACTCTGAGCTGTGAGAGGAAGATATAGCTTTTCCTCGACGGGACTTTGGCGGAGGAGGAGGCAGCTTCTTCTCGCCGACAGGCTTCGTCTGGTTCTCTTGCCTGGTGGCGGTGGTAGTAGCTGTAGTAGAAGCAAACAAATCTTTGCTATTTTTCATACCCTCCGCCGTATCCCCGGTGAGTAGCAGCCTCTTAAACGCATCGACGTCCATAGTTGCTCTCTTTCTCGTAGATCCAGCTTCCGCATGTGCCTGTCCTCTGCTTCTCAGGTCTCCCTGGTATGACACCCTCCGTAGAGACGGCGGATCAGCAACGGGACCTAGCCCGAGGCCTAGACCGTCCTGCTCCCGCTTACTCAAGCGCTCTATCTCCTCGTCTTCATCGTCTTCATCCTCCTCGTCGTCGCCGGAGCTGCCGGGACTACCGATGGCAGCATTGAACGGGTCCTCGACTGGCTCAGTACCGGGCGTCGAAGCACGATGCGTCGACCCCGAGCTTGTAGGCGTATATTCAGATGCATTCGAGCCAAAGTAACCTTTTTCATTGCCGTCATGGTCCTCGTTAACGCTGGGGGAAGGTATCTGTTTTGCCGGCGGAGAGGCGATGCGAACTGTCTTTGAATTGGAAGCCGGACGAGACGAAGAATGATCTTCCACTGTCAGTACAGCATGTTAGTCCTATGGATAAGCCCGCCCCTCAGTAGCGTATATACAGCTCTATCACCGGGTATCGACAGCGTATAGTACGTGGTACAGCATGTAGCATAGACGGAGCCAGAACGTACCCCTCTCAAACAGCGCTCTACCCTCTTCTTGCTGCTGTGTTTCACCCTTCTTCTGCCTTGCAACAGCTGTATCCAGACTCGCAAGCCATTCCTCAGCTGCGCCCGGCCGTCTATTATTGTCCTGCTGTGTCTGCTGCTCGTCCTGACCGTGAGGTTTGGTGCTGCTGCTGCCTGGCTGTGCGGCGGGGAGAGACGCCGGCGGTGAAGCGGACGCTGGGTCTGAGGCTACGACGGCTCCGGCGGTAGAAGTAGAGGTAGAAGCGAGTTTCTTATGGCGGAAAGGATTTAATCCAGACATCGTACATGAGGGCACAGGCGGGTGTAGGCGTGGGCGTAGGCATGGGCGTGGTGAGTGAGTGAGTGCGATGCGATTGCGATTAACTACGTTGGAGCTGCGGAGGTTTAGCTTGTTGGTTAAACTATCAACCACCACACATATATCTCAGATACCTCTACGCCTACGCCTACGCCAGCACTGTATTAATTGATGGATTACGGAGGATGAATAGGTAGAGATAGACAAGTGACGTATTTCCATCCTAAACTGCGTGCAAATGTCAGTAGCTAACTACACAAACCGAAGCCCGACGTGGTAAAACTCCATCCGTCCATCCATAGCAAGCCGTCGTCCGTCCAAACCGCCAGGTCCGTGGTAAAATAGGTAAGTAAATGAATATAACAGGAGAAGAAGAAGTATCAGTAGTAAAAGAAGAAGAAATAAGTGAAAGTGTTCACCCCGAGCTGACCTGAGCCGACCCTCCACAGGGTATAGCGTAATAGTACAATTTCCCCCTGTCCAAGGATGTAAGATGGAAGACGAAGATGAAAGAAGATGGAAGATGAAAGACGTATAGACGTAGAGTTTCAGTATCAACAGCTTCCGGTGTAGATCCTCCAGTCCTTGTCTCCGTAAAAGGTCTTCATCAAGGCACAGCCGCTCTCCGTGGGCTGGCTGAAGGCTACCTGTGTGCGAGCCATCTCCATGCCGTAGAAGTAATTGCTGACGACGCAGTCGAGCAGGTCAAGAGCTATGCCCTTCCGGCGGGAGGAGCGGGACGTCCAGATGCGCGATATGCCTACGAGGACAGGGTATGTTTCCTTCGTGAGAGAGAGTGAGCAGCTGACGCTTGTGGGCGAGGCTGGGATGTGTTTGGACGGGTTGGTGGTGATGCCGTGGGCTTCCCAGATGCGTTCGGCGAGGGCAAGGCCGACGCATTTGCTGCCCTTCATGTGGAGGAAGAACTTGAACCGGTCGACTTCCTCGCCGCCCTTCTTGGCTTCGACTTTGCTCCAGAGGATGCTGTCTTCGATGTCTGCGGCGCCCAGGTCGGTGTTTGCTACCTCCAGCACCCGTCTGGCCTGGTTTTTCGATCCAGCCGAGCTCTTCCGGTCGACGATGACGACGTATCCTTCGTCGAAGCGAGAGGCCTCGTATACCCACCGCGAGGCGTTTGCGCGGACGAACGACTTGCCGAAGTCGACGCCGGAGGCGTGTTGGGAGTGTTGGTCATGGTATTTGCGGTGTAGGGCGTTGTCTTCTGCTGACGACGGGGTGTATTGCATGCTGCATGACGGACATGTCTTGCGTGACGACGAGCCAGGCCCTACGGCAAGATCAAGCGTTGTTTGTTTCAGGACCGGCCGGGGTGTAGCTGCTGCTGACGTTGTCGATGATGTAGTAGTTGTTGTTGTAGTTGTAGTGGTAGTTGTATTTGATGCCAGCGTAGATGTAGTGGATGCGGCCTGAGTCTGCCTCTTCTTGGCCGGAGGATCCATCGACCGCATGCTGGCACTGCCTCCGTTGACCTCGAGCTCCGTCAGCGGCGTGTCGTGCGCAGACCGCTTGCGTTTCAGGAACCCGAAGGTTGGCTTGCGGGTGCTGGCGGGGGGCGGTGTCAAGGCCAGCTTCACCTTCACCCGCTCGGACTCGTGCTCTCGCGGCGGCGGCGAGCTCGGAGGCGTCGACAGGTCGTCGTCCAGCTCTGGGATGTCTTCCGAGTAGACCGTGGCGGCCGTAGAAGGGTGACGCGACGGGCTGGACAGGATCGCAGCAGACGACTCGCGGATCGCACAGACGAGGTTGTTCTCGCTGCCTATATCGCCCAGCAGCGGCAGCTGGACATGTCCGTCGTCCTCGTTCTCATTGGCACTGCCGTTGGCGGTGCTGGCACTGTTCCTGTTCCTGGCATTGCTGGCGGTGCTGCTGTTGATGGTGTTTTCGTCCACGGGGATGCTCGTTATCCGGCGTTTCTTCAGCGCTGGATCAGGACGCGACTCAGGGCACAGCACGCGCCGGAGCGGCCGCGCATAGGTTTTCATGAGTAGACCTCTGCAGCCCGTCAGTGATCGTCTCAGAGCAGTAGAAATAGACAGGAGACTCACCTCTTGAACGAGTTGGTCACGGTGTAAGGCGTGTCCCGCGCGGAAACCATGAGGCCTGCGGATGTTGCTTTTAGCAGCGGGCGGCGATGGCGAGCATGTAAGACGACGCTCTCTGGTATAAACAAGAGACGACGACGATGAAGACGATGAAGAAGAAGAAGTAAAAAGGAGTGAAGAAGCAGTTCTGGAGTCTTGTCTCGACTTGTTTCTGGTCGATGTCTCTGCAGCTGCTGGTGTTTTTGTGTTATTTTCTTTTTCTCTCTGTGACTCTCGCTGGCTCTTAATAAAACAGTCTGATATAGGCTGGTCCTTGGCCGTTGACCCGCGACGAGACGAGACAGATAGATGAAGAAGGATAAAAGATAGATGAAGGAATGAAAAGAAGAAGAGAGATGAGTATTTGTCTGCCTGGAAGATTTATCGCTGACTGGGTTTTTCTTCAGGCCGGAAAGGGGCTTCTCTCGTTCGCTGCTGCAAGGGTGCCTGTTATCGACGGAGCTTTCAGGACGAGACGGCGAGGTCGAGGACAGCTACAATTCTACAGACAGAGAGAGGGAACAGGCAGCAGGATGAGTTGATATAGCAAGAGAGAGACAGAGTATTAAAGAAGAGGCTGCTCAGTCGTACCCGTCGAGTCCAGCATCACCGTCGACCTTCTTTCTCGCAGCAGCAGCAAAAGGATGTGGCGCCCTATTCGTGTGCAGGGCCGATATTAACGTCCAACCCCCAGCCAGCCAATAGAGACGGACGCGAAGGCCTTCTACAGGGACTTGCAGGGGGCTTTACAGGGAGGCTATAGAGGCCATGTACGTGTGGGAAGCACTAGCACGCCGACTATCGACAGGGATCTCTGCCCTGCTCGCGCTGCCCGACCTGCATCATGCGACGTTTAACCTTGACGAAAAAGAAAGGAAGGGAAATCAGGAAGACGAAGACGAAGAGGATGAAGCAGAAGAAGACGACGAAGACGAGATACAGCCATGATATTGGTGAATACGCGGGCCAGCGGAGCCCTGACTGGCTGCCTGCGAGTAACTAACCAGCCCTGGTTACGTTGGTTACGTTGGTTGGTTACCTTTTGACTCGACAATTACGTACGGATTACGCCTTGAAGAGAAAGAAAGAAAGAGAAGAATGATGATGAGATGATGATGCTGCTGCAGCTCTCCTGGTGCTGTGCCACCGTTGAGTAACTCGGCCGCTTTGGACGAGAGACAGCAAGCAAGCAAGCAAGCCGGGGAAAGACGAGATACTCATCTTTCTTCCCATTCCCGGAAGATTGGCCGCTTGTTTGTCTGCCTGATTAGCAAATGATAACTAACACTTTTATGCGGCCAACCCGGGCAGTTGTTTTATTCTAGATGCTTCAGCCTGCTGGCTTCTCATGCCATTGGCCTATCCCAGGAAATGCCCTAGGGGAAAGGAGTAAAAGAATCCCCCGACATACTTACGTCCGTCTGGCCGGCTGTGTCCTGCTGGCCGGGTCAGAGGGCCTCTACGGAGTACGCACGTACATGCATACTACATGCTACATGCATACATAACTCCTACGCTGTGCTGCCGAGTGGATGACCCGGCATAAGACGCTGCTTGATGTCGACGTCGAGGGAAGAGTCTGCCAGCCAGCCGGCTTTCAGCTTATGAGTTGGCTCCTGACCTGAGATGTGAGACATCCAACTGGACTTATGTATCACTGCAGACACTTGAGAATGCTCCGTATACTGAGAAGTGACTCGTTTCTTCTTCTCTACTGCGTCCGCTCCGTACCTTTGGAATCATTAATCATTACGTATATATGTAGAGGGTTTGGTAGTGTTTATATCTAGGTAGTCCTTGGTATGGATATCACATCACCAGTTGAAATACAACTACGGCTACAACCACGGTATAAAAGTAATTCGATACAAAGGCTGCTCACTCTCTACCTCCTAGATATATACATAACCACCGGCTTCTACAAGATAGTACATGATATCAGTAACATCTAATAACACCTAATGTTTAAATATTTACTCTACTTTAATGACAGCCGAGGTTTGCAGCTAAGATCCCGAAACATCACGAAAAACTCCACCGCGACACCTGGAGCCGACACCCGGAGCTCACTCTGGACGTTTAACTATTAATTAATGTCTGGCTGGCTGTCTTGTATTTCATACGGAGTAATAGCTGCTTAATTGGCATTGGATAAGGAGCTACAAGATGAACGCTGCACTGAGAAGAGCTACGCTGAGAGCCGCGAGACGGCCGGCAGTCATCAACATCGCGGGCCGACGCAGCGCGCACTCGGCAGCGAGCTTCAAGTGGACGGATCCGCTGGATGCAGAGAGTCTCTTCACGGCGGACGAGCTGGCGATTCAGGACACGGCCAGACGGTACTGCCAGGAGCAGCTCGCCCCGAGGATCCTCGGTAGGTCTTTTATCATATATCACATTATCTCATATATTTATATTGTTACCCGCCTGTCAATGTCCAATACTGATAGAGAGTAGAGTCATATCGAAATGAAGACTACGACCCGGCTATACTGCGCGAGATGGGCTCGCTCGGCCTGCTGGGGGCGACGATACAGGGCTACGGCTGCGCAGGCGTGTCCACTGTGGCCTCGGGCCTGATCACCAAGGAAGTCGAGCGAGTCGACTCTGGCTTCCGCAGCGGCATGTCCGTCCAGTCCAGTCTGATCATGACCGGCATCCACGAGTTTGGATCCGAAGAGCTGAAGCAGAGACTCCTCCCGCAGCTCGCGGAGGGTAAACTGCTGGGCTGTTTCGGCCTGACTGAGCCCAACCACGGCTCTGACCCAGGCAGCATGGAGACCGTCGCCAGGCCTCACCCTACCAAGACGGGGTACTACAGCCTCTCAGGCACGAAGACGTGGATCACCAACTCGCCCATCTCAGACGCCTTCTTGGTCTGGGCTAAGCTGGACGGCAAGATCAGAGGGTTTGTCATCGAGCGAGACCAGTGTCCCGAGGGAACGCTCAAGACGCCCGCCATCAAGAACAAGACGGCCCTACGAGCCTCGATCACGGGCATGATCCAGATGGACAACTGTCCCGTCCCTGAAGCGAACATGTTCCCCGAAGTCACCGGTCTGGTTGGGCCGTTTACCTGTCTGAACAGCGCCAGGCTGGGCATCGCCTTCGGTACCATGGGTGCGTTGGAGGACTGCATCAGCCGGGCGAGAGAGTACGCGCTGGAGAGGAAGCAGTTCAAGGGCAACCCGCTTGCCAAATACCAGCTTGTGCAGAAGAAGCTGGCGGACGCAGCTACCGATGCGGCGTACGGCACTCTGGCGGCGGTGCAGGTCGCCCGGCTGAAGGACGAGGGCAAGGCCGTGCCGGAGATGATATCCATGATCAAGCGGCAGAACTGTGACCGGGCCCTGGCTGGCTCGCGGACGCTGCAGGAGATCTTTGGCGGGAATGCTGCCAGTGACGAGTATCATATCGGCAGACATGTAGCCAATCTCTTCGTCACCCAGACGTACGAAGGCCAGAGTGACATCCACAGTAAGACTCTCTCTATATGCCCCTCTATACCACCTGCTAGCTTCTAACCATCTCTAGGTCTGATCCTTGGACGTGCCATCACCGGCGTCCAGGCTTTTGTATAGATTGTACTCCGTATATAGACCCCTATCTAGTTACTCTATATACTCTGTGTGCTCTGTGTACTCTATAATCTATATACTGAACATATACTACTATATACTCCTATATAGACCACCGCTTCCACCGCTTCTACCATCTTCCATTATATTCTACTCTATCATCTATCATCTTCCACCCCTATCCCCTATCCTCTTACTCCCCTTATGCTCTCCTTCTATCTATTTGTCAGCTCTTAGTCAGCAACCGCCTTTTCTTCTCCTTCTTCCGCTTTTTCTTCTTCTTCTTCTTCTTTTCTTCACCAGCAAAACAACGAACAAGAAGAAGACGACGAAGACGATCTCGAGCTTCACTTTGAGCAGGTATTAAAGTCCCTCCCTCTGCCTCGCTGCCTCTGCTGCTTGTCTCTCTGTTGCTCCCTTTCTCCCGCTTCATCCTGCATAAGAAAAACGCTTGTCTCGGAACCAGCTAACGCTTGCAACCCCGCCATAGCCACCGAGAGAGAAAAAAAAACATCACCAACCGCCGAACGCACACGACCAACGGCCACGCCAGGTCTCGCTCTCTTCTCCTCCCTTAGACACGCCTCCATATCGCCGTCATGGCCCTCAAGCGCATCAACAAGGAACTCACAGATCTAGGACGGTCAGCCATACCCTGCTCCTGCCCCCCTTGCCCTCTTTTTCAGCTCCCAGCCCCCGGGGGAGTCCGGTGTGCAACAGCGTCTGGAGAGACATGAGAAGGCATAAGGAAGGGTGCTCTATGTGATGTGGACTGGTGCTGACTGCTGTTGATATAGTGATCCCCCGTCCTCGTGCTCTGCTGGTCCCATAGGAGATGATCTGGTATGCACCCCGCTATTATGACTTGCACGTACCCTGGTGGTTATACAGGCAAGAGAGACACCGAGATATGCTGACATACGGCAGTTCCACTGGCAAGCCACGATCATGGGCCCCGAGGGCAGTCCCTACGCTGGCGGTGTCTTCTTCTTGGCCATACATTTCCCCACAGACTACCCTTTCAAGCCTCCAAAGGTCAACTTCACCACACCCGTCTACCACCCAAACATCAACTCAAACGGCAGCATCTGTCTCGACATCCTGAGAGACCAGTGGAGCCCTGCTCTCACCATATCGAAGGGTCAGTTTTGTGCTTTTTTTCTTTCTTGTCTTCTTTTTTTTCTCTCTCTCCTTTTGAGACCGCCATGCTAATACTCGCAACAGTCCTACTCTCGATCTGCTCGATGCTCACAGACCCCAACCCAGACGACCCCCTCGTTCCCGAAATAGCTCACCTGTACAAGAAGAAGGACGGAGAATATGAGAGAATCGCCGCAGAGTGGACACGCAAACACGCTATTGGTTGATACCCTTGTCTCCCTCTGATGCTATGACTAGGGGACCGTTCCTTTTTGCTTTCTACTTTGCCAACACTACGGACCGACTTCTTACCTGACTACCTGAGTGCCACCCTACCGAACCAACCCTCCACGCGCAACCATCCACTGTGACCATCCACTTTGAACCAGAAACACCTTCATTTTTTTCTCCTTCGTCGTTGTAACTCGTGTGAGAAAGAACAAAAAGGCGTTGATCGTACATGGATTGAAGCATGGTTTACCGAGGAGTTCGCCCTTTTCTACCTACTACCTACTTTACTTACTAGCTTGAGACGTCGTGGTGCAGTGATATGACGGTGGCGGTAATGGATGGGAGGCGATTATTCATTTTCTTTTCTAGTTCCTCTTCCAGGTATTGTCCCTAGGGGCTGTTTTTGCTGTTTGGTTCAACGCCGGTCGAAGCACATGGCCTGCCGCTTGTCTTCTACCAAAACCAGACTTACAAAACCAAACCCCCTACTCTATCTGTCTGTCTTATCTCCACCAAAGACCAACACACAAACACACCTCGTCGCTCTCTCAGCCTGGAATAAACTCACTTGCATATCTCATGGGTGTCGGATTGTTTTTCCCCTTTCCCATCATCATTCCCTACCTACCCCTAGCCCCCTTCTCCCCCCTTATTCCCTCGGTGCAATCATGCTACGTTAGTTATGCTATGTTACGTCTGCCCATGCCAACCAATAAATATTAACGCTTGCTACGTCTCATATGTTGTTTTCATTCTCGGGTTCTCAAGTGCCGTAGTATGTATCATTCAGTCATTCATTATTCTTTTCTTATTGTTTCCACTGGCCTTCATAGTACACCGTAGACAATCTAATTAGTATATAAGGGAAAACAGCAAAGCATCAAGAAACTCCTTTAACATGTAAAGTGATGTAGATCAAAAGGAAAATAAGCAAAAGAAGAAGAAATAACTCCCCGTCGCCTCCCGTCCCGGCCCTCGGCGATCAATCAATCCACATATCAACATAGACTATCATCATCAATCACCAGGTAAATGTAAATGCATCATAACTAACAGATCAAAGATTCAACTCCGAAAAAATACCTAAAATGCATGCATGCATAATATATATCATGTATGGGATGTGAGTGGAATGGTGGAATGGACAAGACTACCTCCTGCTCTTGCTGCTCCGCTTCGACACACAGCTGCCAACCTGGCTGACGCTATCGCTAGGCAAAACCGGCTCGTCGAACTTACTCCGTGCACTGCTCGAGTGGCCCGTCGCCTGGCTCGATCGGCTGCTCGACTTGGACCGTTTGTGTTTCGACTTCTTCGAGGTGGTCGAGGATGCTTCGAAGATGGGTCGTGGCGTGACGTGCGAGTCTGCGTCGATCATGTCTTCGAGGTACAGCGCGCTGCCGCCGGCTACGCTGGGTGGGAGCGGGATCTGGTGGGCGTGGGAGCGGTGACTGGAGGAAGCTGATGAGCGGCGGTCATGGTCATGGGCATGGTTATCATGGTGGTGGTGGGAGTGTTTACTGTGGCTGCTGTGGTGCGAGTGTTTGGAGCGGATGGACAGCTTGGAGACGGTCGTGGTCGAGCCCGCGGGTAAAGGGATGTTGCGGGCTGAGTGGACGGAGTGAACGGAGTGGACGCTGTCAGCTACAGGCTCGAAGTCGTAGCCGTAGTCTTCTTCGATGGTGCGCATGCTGCGGTCGTTGTTCTTGCTGCTGCTGCTGTGCTTCGAGTGGTGGCTGGAGTGGCTTGAGTAGCTTGATTTGGCCTTGGTCGACTTCGCCTTGACGGTCGAGCCCGACGCCTGGCTGGAGGCGACGCTCTTTGCGTAGTGCTGCGGGCTGTGGTCGTAGCTGGAGCGGCGCTGGGAGCTGCAGCTGCCGGAGCTACAGGCGCTGCCGGCGTCGCCTCGTTCGCCGTGGAAGCTGCTAACGAAGCTGGGGCTGGGCTGGTATTGCGGGTACACGCGAGAGTATGAGGAGCGGCTATCCTCTGCCATGCCGGGGACGCCCTCGATGGCTCGGATCTCGAGGTCGCCCGAGGCACCGCTGTACATGCTGCCGTCTGATGGGCGTCGCTCGGAGCCAGAGGCCGATCCAGGGGTGCCCGGCAGGAAACCGGCAGCAGCAGCAGTGCCGGTGAAGCTCTTGGCCTGCTCCAGGATGCGGCTTGTCTGTTCTAGGCCCTCGAACACGGTGCTGGCCCAGGGGTTCTTGGATGCAGTGCTGCGGGCGTATCCGTCCTCGAGCTGGCCCTGTTGCTGGCCTGGCTCAATGCTACGGTACGCACCTCCACCACCAGCGGCAGAGGGGCTCGATTGAGGTGCTTCGATGTAGCGGGTGGTGGTAACGGGCGTGATGGTCTCCTTCTGGCTCTGCGAGTCGCCCTTGACCATGGCGTATGCAAGAGCAGCTCCCGCAGCAGCGCCGAGAAGAGTACCCACCACCGCCTTTGCGCCGGCCAGGTTGTCACCGCTCTTTTCCTTGGTGACGATGTAGTGGACGTTGGTCGTGGTCGTGCTGGACTCCCGCCTGGTGAGCTGGTGTGGCTGCGGCTGGGGGACATGGACGGGAGCGGGAGCTGGAGCAGGCACGGGAGCCATGACGGACTTTGCAGACGATCTTCTGGCGGTCGAGGCAGAGCTGACCTCGGATTTGGGTGCTACCGTCATGGCCCTGGATTTGGCAACGCTGACTTCAGACTTTGCGGGAGCAACGGTCATGGCCCTCGATTTGGCGGTGGAATGCTTCGAGACCACGGATGCATTGTCGACGACGGTGAGGGCCTTGTCGTTGACGACGCTTCCCTTGCGGCTGGGAGCAACGCTGGGAGCGTCGTTCCGGTAGACGGCCTCGATGCTGTTGCCGTCAAAGTCGATCACGGCAGCGCTGAAGTAGCCCCGTTCAGCGTCTCGCACGCATGGCTCGCCGTGGATCTTGCCGCCGGCCTTGAGAGCGGCAATGAAGAATGCACTGACTGCATCTCTGGAGGGAGCTGGAAAGGCAATATGTGCGGCTCCAACCGGGACTCTACTTGCTATTAGTTTCTCTCTTTTCTTCAATGGATGTTTGATTCAATGGAACGCACCCAGGCCTCTCTTCAGCAATCCAGAAATCAGCGGGCTTGCCAGGCTCGGTACCGAAGCCGACGCTGTTCTCATGACGGCCCATGAAGCAGTATCCCAATGGCTGGAGACATGACAGGAAGAAGGAGGTGGAGGTAGGCAGATTCGAGACGGTGAGGGTGAGGTGGGAGACGGGCATGTTTGATGATTGATACGCCCAAGTTCGAGGGATAGACTGGGAAGTGTGTAGGAGGTATAGGTAAGTGCTGGGAGTAGAGAGGGTATATATGTATGTATGTATATATGACTGAGCAAACGAGTGCTTAGGCGGGACAGCGAGTGTCTCGAACGAGAGATAGAAGCAACAAACAGAAGAGGTGAAACTGTTCTGTTTGCAGCCGTAGTATATACACCCGTATGTATGTATATACGCGAGGGATATATATATAGCAGAGCAGAGGGACAAGACAAGAGACAAAGAGATAGAGGGCAAATACTTCGAGGCGGAAGTATCTAATATATCAATTCCGTTCCTCTGACTCCGAGGGACGACCAGAGAAGCGGGAATTAAAAAAAGACGAAGAAGAAGCAAAAACGAGGCCAGCAAGCAAGCGGATGGAATCCCACCAGCCCACACTCATGCAGAGAGATATGTATATCCAGCGTGAGTTGCAAAGAGGCATCCCAAAAGAGAAAAAAAAAAAAAAAAACAACGAAGCCCCTTCTGGATCCACGCATCCGATGTCATCCAGGGGCCGAGAAAGGCGTGAGCGTAGTTGGTAGCAAGTATAAGCGTAAGCGTGAGTACCCAGCCGATTGCCATCGAGCAGCGAGCCAGAGCAGCCAAAGGGAGAGCAGCAAAATAGGGCAAAAGAGACGGCTCTGGACAGCATCAGCATCCCTCCGTTCCCCATCAGCATTGACGAGGCATCCCATAGCGTAGCAGAGGATAACTAGCAGGGGGGGCAAGAGTTCCGTGGACCAATCGAGCAGTCTCTGGCAGCGGATACACGTATGTAGCACTGAGCGTATATGTACGGAGTATGTATATGTATGGTATGTATGTACTTCATCCCCGGCCCGGGGAGTGGGCTTGACTTGGGTTCTTGTGCCCATCAGACGCTCATGCATGGAGAAAGCAGGAGAAGGCGAGCCAGAAGCAGAATCGAAGGAGGACGAGACGAGCCACTGCTCTTGACTCTGCACCTAACGCCTGTAACTGTAACTAGCTGGCGGATCTCCCACGGTGCGGTTGGCGATGCAGCCAGCCATGGATGAATGCCCGACGACCGTGTCCTTTTTGGCCCAGCCAGCCAGTCACTCGCTGCCATAACTAGTCAGTCGTCTATCAGTCGTCTATCAGTCAGTCTGGCTGGCTGGCTGGCTGTCTGGAGTGATGCTGGGTGATGTGTAGCGTATGGCTGAGGGTCAACCGTGGCGAGCAAGACAGCGGTAAGCATGAAGCCCGCCCCCCAGTAAAAGAAGCCATGGAATAAAGCGTAAGATGTTTCATCCAGCATGAGCAAAGGCCCTCAAAGAGAAAGCCGAGATGGATAAAGATAGTTAATGGATCAGGGCGGTCCGTCGGTCATTGGCCGCGGGCATGCGTGAAGATGCAGGCAAAAGGGGTGAAAAGATGAGGCGGTGGCCTTGCCTTGACCTGCATCCACGCCTGACGAAGCCGGGGTCGTCCTGGGGAGTTACTGGATACTGTTAGTTAGTGAGTGACAAGTCGGAGGACGGGGGGTTTCTTTTCTTTTCTTTTCTTTTGCGAAGCTCCAGTTTATGTTAGCTAACTTGGGTGGTTAATTATGGCGAAGAAGCGGTAACATGGATGGAGTTGGAGTTGGTAGAAAGGAAGAAGAGGCTGGTCCAGTCGGATGGCGGGTTGATGCTGATTATGTCTATTCTATATTTATAAGACGACGGCGGCGGATACTTCTAGCCGACCGGCGGTGAGGTGACGGTTATTACACAGGATTAGAGGATGGAGTACGGAGGAGCTGGTAGAGAGTATACGGAGTAGTATGTCAGGTTGATGGAGACATAAAGACAGAGACAGATAGACAAAGCAGAGAGACCACTCCAACGCCGTGATGCCCCTTTTTCCCGTTTCCCAATTCCCTTTTTGCGTGCGTTTTGCGTGTGTGTTTTGTGCATGTTGTTGACCCAGGGCTGTTGAACCGCCCGTGTTCGTGTTTTGGTTGCAAAAACAGAACGAGGCCCAGCAACATCGTATCATGTCATATCATATATTCCAAAGATGCAGAGAAGAAGAGATAGAAAAAGAGAAAGAAGAGAGAAAGAGAGAAAAAGAGAGTCCAGGAGGGTAAGACAACTCCCACCGCCAGATGTTCCCCAGGCCAGATAGAGTACATGAATCATATCAAATGGAAATATTTGCAGCCGTTGATGTTGGTATCATTGGCTCGAGCCTCGCCAGTTTGGTGGACAATCTAGCCTGGAGAACACTGGTGAAATGGAGAATTGCAGTGACTGGTATCTTTTGTTGTCGGTAGGTGGTATACGAGTATCCTTCTGGTGTTGAAGTGATAGATGCTGGTCGACCTACATGTTAGCATTCAGGAGACAGTTACCTATGACTAAAGCTAAGGTTAGTATATATATCTATCGAGAAGAGAGTGAAGAGTGACGGACATCAGTTAGACAATGTTCCATGCATCCTCGGCAGCGTGGCAGAACTTGCTGCAGGCGACGCTGGCACTGAGACTGAAGTTGCTGATGGAGATGGTGTCGTCCTTGAAGGCGTCTGCAAAGTCATCTCGCCCCTTGGCCATGGCACCGACAAAGACGCAGATACTCTCCTTGGGGCCCAGGGTCTTGACGTAGTCGTTGACTCGCACGATGGGCGCGTCGAAACTGAGGGTCACCTTGCGGCAGTTGGGCGGCAGGTGGTCGGTGATGGGGTTCTTGATGACCTTGAGCAGCTTCTCTTCGGAGTTGGTGGAGCGGATGGAGAGCCGGTGCAGCAGCTGGACCATCAGGCCCGCAAACCGCTTGAAGGTGCGCGGGATGCGGACGGTGGGGGAGACTTCGATGAGCACGCCCTTGGCCGTGTGGATGTATATCTGCAGCTTGCCAGCCTTGTTGACAGGCGAGTCAAGCAGCGTAAGCAGGCACTATCAAACCACTATTACTACTTATCCAATTGTATATAATACTGTATAATAAGGTAGATCGTCACGTCTGAGACGACGAGGGCAAACCTGGTGGGTGATGTCCGGCCTGGCCTCGCTGATGTCGCGGTTCATCTTGCGCATGATGCCGATGTGCTCGTCCGAGTTGAGCAGCGAGTACTTCTCCTCGCGCCCGTTGGCAGCCCGTCCGGCGCCACCGCTGCTGCCGCCGCCGTGCGAGGAGCGGTACGTCTCGAGGCTGGCATTGGAGAGGACGACGATGAGACGCTTGCTGTCCTTGTCCTGGGCGGATACGGGGACATGCTGCTCGGCGACGAGCTGGGGGAGTTCCGGCGGCGGGCAGGACTGGGTTCCTATCACCGGCGGCTTTAGCTGAGCCATCATGTTGAAGCGATGGCGTAGATGTTATAGCAACAAAGAAGATGCAGGGCAGAGGATGCAAGGTAGGAGTTGGTGACGAGGACTAGAAGTTGGTGAATGGAAGAAGTAGATGTAGATGGAGTGGATGTAGATGTAGGTCTCGGAGCGTTCCAAGGTTGGTTCGTGATGTGTCGAGTTCTTCTCCTTTCGGTGGGAAAATCTCTGCGCCCAACGCCGACTCGAGGAACACAAAGAGACAGCCTCTCCGACAGGACAAAAGTCACAAAAGAGAGACATGATGGACAGACGGTAAGGGGAGATGCGACGGGAGGGAGTGTTTCTTACTCGGTCTCTTGCGCTTTGCCAGCTCAGCGCTGTCGGAGGCTTTGGTCATCTCGCCCATGGTTCGTCTGTTTCGTCTGTCTGTGAGCCTGACGAGTCAAGTGGTGGGGGTTTCAGAGGCAGAAGAAGACTAGAAGACAGTGAAAAGGCAGAAGAAGAATAAGAAGAATAATAAGAAGAGACGAAAGGAAGAGAAGAGGAAGAGAAGGAGAATAAAAAGAAGAGGAAGAATAAAAGGAAGAAGAAGCTGAAAAACGAAGCGAGGCTGAAGAATCAGAGAGAAAAGTCGGAAGTTTTTGCGATAATATTTTTTATACTAAGAAAATCCGCCCTTAGTGTCATCCTTACGAACTCCCAGCGAACACTCTACGAACCATCTAAAGGACGGACGGACGGAGAGACTTACTTTTGTGCTCTTTGCTGCTGCTCTAGATCCTGATGCTTTACTTGCTCTGCGTCACCGGACTTGGTGTGGTCGGACAGCCTGCTTGATACCCTCGTACAGCGAACAGAGACACGAAGAGGCCATGGAGGACAGGCCGGAAGGAGACGCCAGGTGCGACTGGGTTCTGTTGGACTTTGAGGGTTACTGTTGACCTGGCTGTTGATTTGATGTCCATTTGGCTGTGAAGAGTCGAGTTAATGGTTTACGGTTGACTGTTGAGGATATATAAACTGTCGTTGAGGATGGTGATATCCGATGTTGATATCAACTCAGACAGACAGAGACAGACAACAGACGAAAGACAAGAAAACAGTCTATACACATCTATACATTTATATATACATTTATATTTGCATCTGCATCTGCATCTTCCAGCCTGCCACAAAGTACTGTACGCTGTACTCCGTACTACTGTCAACATGCGTCTCTCGCAGCTCGCTGTCCTCATGCTCGCACCCGTCGCCCTCGCAGCACCAGCTCCTGCACCTGAACCCACCAGCATCATCTCAGGCGACGCAGCATCTCCTCCTGCTGCTGCTTCTGATGCTGTCCCAGACGAAATGTTCAGGCGTAACGTCGCGTGTCTCCCCAACGGCGCACAGTGTAACTCCAACTACGACTGCTGCTCCCAGGTGTGCTTTGTCTACCCGGACCCTCGCAAGCGCAAGTGCTTCAAGTAGTCCTCTTTTATTTATCTATTTTTTATTTTCTTTATTTTAAAAATTTAGGAGGACGACGATGGATGGTGATTCGTGGGAAGATAGGCACTCAACATGCGTCGACTCGGCTTACACCAACATCAGGAATGCATTCAACATCTGTCGACATATCTATATCATCTTCAACATGATTACTACATAGCATCAACATATATCAAATATCAAATGTCAAATATAATCAGTCAATATCATCAATATCAACAACACCAACTTCTTCGCTTACATAACTTTATTATTAGTCATATATTAGTCACACTCACGTAATCATTGCGTAATAAACGCTAGCCCCTTTTGGTAAATTACTTCGCGTCCCCAAAAAGCTCGAACGCGCTGTTGCTTCTTCATCTTTTTCTATACAAGAGAAAGACGAGAGAGAAAGACAGGAGAAAACAGACATTGACAGCCAGGATGGGAATAAAGAGTAGGCAGATACCCATTAAAAGCCTTTTAATATATACCAGTATAACTAACAAGACAGACCTCTACCAGATAATATCGGAAAACGCCCCCGATGCCGTCAAGACGGGCGAGATCAAGAACCAGTTCGGGCGCAAAGTGGCCATCGTGAGTCTGCCATATTTTACTTGTACAGGACTAAGCTAACAGTAGCAGGATGCGTAGGTCATGTCAATGTGAAATATACAGAGGATAAGACGCACTTACTTACCTACCTACTTCTACAGGTCCATGAGTATCTACAGCTTCCTGATCGCGGTGCGGTCGGATGGCCAGCAACTCACCAACGAGACCGGCGAGACCACGTCGCATCTCATGGGCATGTTCTACCGCACCCTACGCATGGTCGACAACGGGATAAAACCGCTCTACGTCTTCGACGGCGCCCCTCCCAAGCTCAAGTCCGGCGAGCTGGCTAAGCGGACCATGCGCAAGGCCGAGGCCCAAGAGGCAGCTGAGGAAGCCAAGGAGACGGGAACAACAGAGGACGTAGAGAAGTTCTCGCGTCGGACGGTGCGGGTCACAAAGGAGCACAATGCAGAGTGTAAGCGGTTGCTGGGGCTGATGGGGATACCGTACCTGGATGCGCCGACGGAGGCAGAGGCGCAGTGTGCGGTGCTGGCGAAGGCCGGTAAAGTGTTTGGAGCTGCGTCGGAGGATATGGATACGCTGTGCTTTGCGGCTCCCGTCTTGCTGCGGCATCTGACCTTTAGCGAGCAGCGGAAAGAACCTATCCTGGAGATCCATCTTGAGAAAGTCCTCGAGGGACTCGGCATGGACATGACGCAGGTATTACTCTTATACTCTTATTCTTCCTTTATTCTTGCTTGTGTTTAGTACTGATGGGGTGTCTAGTTCGTCGACCTATGTATACTGCTTGGATGCGACTATCTGGACCCGATCCCCAAGGTGGGCCCGAACACGGCCCTCAAGCTGATACGGGACCACGGCACGCTGGAGAAAGTAGTGGAGGCCATGAGAGCGACCCCAAGAAGAAATACGTCATCCCGGACGACTGGCCCGTACCTCCAGGCCCGCGAGCTCTTCTTCAACCCGGACGTGCGTCCCGCCGACGCGCCCGAGTGCGACTTCAAGTGGACTGCGCCGGACGTTGATGGACTGGTCCGGTTCCTGGTGGAGGAGAAAGGGTTCAGCGAGGAGCGGGTGAGGAACGGCGCAGCGCGGCTGACGAAGAATCTGAAGAGCGCGCAGCAGTCGCGGCTGGAGGGTTTCTTCAAGCCTGTGGCTAAGACGGAGGAGCAGAAGGCGAGCGCGAAGCGGAAGGCAGAGGAGAAGGCCGAGCAGGCGAAGAAGAAGAAGAAGGAAGACGCGAAGGCGAAGAGAGCGATGGCTGCGAAGCCCCGAGGAGCCGGATAGTCCCTCTCTCTCTTCTTTCTTCTTGATGTCTTCTTGTTGTTCTCTATCTGTTTGTGATGCATCTTCGGCGTTGGCTTTCATCTTCTCCTAGTTGACTAGTTTAGGGGCTGTCTACTACAATCTATCTATGTACACCACCATCTATGAACTCTGATTACTCCTCACTCCATGCATGTATCAGCGTAAAAAGGATATCGTCTTGAAGAGCGTCTCCCGCTCCATCTGCCAGTCTACTTTTTATGTCGTTATCTCTTCTGCCTTCGTCAAGATCAGCTTTTCTTCCTCGCTGTCTTCTTGTCTCTCAAGTATCTTTTTTGAAGTGGGTTTACCTGCCAAGATCTGCTGACTAAGACGAGCATCACCAAAACAAATACAAGAAGAAGAAGCAGAATAAGAGAGGAAGACAGCGACGGCGAGGTGAGAAGAAGTTGATAGATGATGAGAAGAAGAGAAGTAGATGAAGAGTAGATGATGGGAAGATGAAGTTGCATTAATTGTAGGTGTCATTGAACCATGGTACAGGAGAAACAACAAGAAATGGAAGCAGGTCGATCGCTGCTCTCCTGGTCGTGACCCTTGGTTGCTGTCATCAACTTCTGCCTCCAAGATGAAGAAGTCACTACAACTACGGATGGACTGTATATTTATTGAATTAAATGACGCAAGACTAAGAAGATGCCTATCCTCTTACTGTTTATACATGGGTAGTCCTAGTAAGATGTGCGGACAGCGGAGTGGAGAGTAGAGAGTCGAATGAGTAGAAAGAGAGACGAGACTCAGGATATAGATCTAGATAACCAGCCTTCTACCGGCGACGACGAGGTGATGGAGACAGTAACATGATCAGAGACGCAAAAGAAGACTCTCGCATGACTCTGCGGTCTCTCCCAGGGCGACTCTACTGCCTGTCTTCCCCTGTAGCCCTGTCTGGCATCAAGCATCACCTGGTTGAAGTCGTGGCAGACAGCGAAGACGCAGCGATGAAGACAGCAAGACGACGACGACGAGAGCGAGAGACGGAGATGCGCGCGTTCGACTTAGAGCACGATCTAGATACGAAGAACTCGACACAACAACATAACACAGCCCAGAGAAGACGAAACAGCATAAGAAGATAAATAACAAGAAGATAAGAAGAAGAGTAAAAGGGACAAGGTGATGGCGGGAAGATCAACTCGCCCGTCCCGGCGCGCCTTTATAAGAAGGCCGCCCATGCCCCGCCAGTCGCCAGCCTTTTTCCTCTCTCTCTCTCTTCCTCTTCTTCTCCCTCGACCGTAACAACAACAACAACCGCGACTCGACAAGAAGATAAAACTTGACTTCGACTTCATCTTCACCTTCATCTTCTTCTTCATCTTCTAACGACTCGTCTTCTACCGACTTTCCAACATGCCTGCTAAGAAAGCTGCCGGTGCTGCCTCGGGCAAGTCGTCCGCCACCCACGCTTCATACAAAGGTAAAAGCACACCACCCGCCGTGATCCAGCTGAAGCGCCCGTCGCTGGCCTTCGAGATGGACATCGCTGTGATCGCGTTCGCTTGCTGACTCGTTTGATGTAGATATGATCAAGGATGCCATCATCAACGTGAGTAGATCAGCTCCTTGTAGTCGGTGGTCGGTGGTTGTTGTTGTGGTTGTTGCTGCTTCGTGGCGTGCCACGACAATAACAACGACCTCAACCCCAGCCAGCGACAGAAAGATGATTAAGAGATACCCTGTGTATATGCATTGAGCGATGTTCTAACTTGTTCTTTTTCTTGTGGTACAGCTCAAGGAACGCAATGGAAGCAGGTACGTACCTTACCTTGTCGATGACGGCGATGGGTATGACGACGATGCTAACAGGATGCAGCCGTCAAGCGCTGAAGAAGTACGTCCAGAACAACAACACCATCAACATCACCTCCCAGGCGACCTTTGACGCGCAGTTCAACCGCGCTCTCAAGGCTGCCGTCGAGAAGGGAGAGTTCACCCAGCCAAAGGGTATGTCTTACTCTCTTTCACTACTAACTGTTTCATCTGATGCGGTGATGTGATATGATACTGACGACGCGTCGCAGGTCCCTCTGGCCCCGTGAAGCTTGCTAAGAAGGAGGTCACCAAATCTGCTGCTAAGCCTGCAGCCAAGGTATGTTCCATCCATTCATTCATCCCGTGCTGAGTTATAGACTCTACTTAATGATCACATCGCTAATATCCGCGTAGAAGACTGCCACCAAGGCCGCTGCTAAGCCTGCTGCTAAGAAGGCCACCACCACCACCAAGAAGGCCGCTGCTTCAAAGGCCGATAAGACTGACAAGGCCGACAAGGCCGACAAAGCTGACAAGCCAAAGAAGGCCGCTGCCTCTACCACCAAGAAGGCTGCTGCCACCAAGTCGTCAAAGACCAAGGCCAACACCACCAAGCAGCGCAAGGCCACCTCTTCAGTACGTTCCTCTTACCCTCCATCTCCAGCATATATAATACCGTCAAGCTAACAAGTGTAGGCCCCCGCCGTTGTTGATGTGCCCAAGGTCATAGGCAAGACCAAGTCCGGCAGAGTGACCAAGACAGCTGCTAAGCCTGCCGCTAAGAAGGCCGCCGCAAAGAAGAAGACCACAACCACAAAGGGAACACCAAAGAAGGCCGCTGCCGCTGCTTCTTCTTAAACCGGACGGACATGAACATGATATAATATACGTGCCTTGTTGAATCGGCCTTCTTCGTTCCCTTTCTTTTTTTCTTTTTTTCATCATGTTTGTCTTCTCCCTGGTGGATATCTCTCTCGCTTTCTCCTGCGCTCGTCCTCAAAATACCCCCGTCATCTCCTACTTCGCTCACTCTCGCTCCTAAAACCACCACCACCACAATCACCACCAGGGAAACAAACAAATGAACCGGCGTCTCGAGGTGGGGGAATAGGTATGGATGGAACTTGCATTACCTTTCTTTTTTTTCCGTCTTTTTTTGTGTCTTGTCTTGCTTCTTCCTGTTAATGTTTATGGCTATGCTTTTTTGTCTCCTTTCTTGCTCTCTTCATACGTCTGAGTAAACTAGTTCAGCCTTTTTTTGTGTGTATGGATATGAAATCTATGTTTCTCACTACTCGCGTCTTGGTTCTTCGTGTGTTTAAAGTAGACTACGCCTGATACGGTGCCATGGAGCGCTCTCCCCAGCCTTGACATGACCAAGAACATTGGCATTGCATCCTGGCCTGTGGATGCAAGTGCAATCTCATCTGGCCTATAAATATCTTTACTCTGCGCCCTGGGGCCTGTTGGTTATTGTCTATGTTCTCTCCTCCCCAAAGGCTCCCACCCAAACCAACCGCAAACATGACAAACTCCATCACTTCAACCTCAACCTCTACCTCTAGCTCTACTATTGACAAGATCAAGTCACTCAAGCACGCATACAGCCAGAAGAAAGCAGCCGAGAAGGAAGCCAAGAAAGTCGACTTTTACCTGAAGAACTACGGCTTCGTGCCCAAGAATGTCATGACCGAGGCTGAGTGGGAAAGGGCCAGAAAGAACGCGCCAAAGGTCAAAGGAGCCACGAACGGGTTGAAAGCCACCGCGTATCAGGGCCACTACTGGTGAAATCCTCTTAACTACTTCGATCTCCTACGGCTATCTAGCGATATTGGAACAAAATGACCTCTTTGCAAGACTTGCCGCTGGAGACACTGCTGGACATTATAGGCTATCTCTCACCCCGTAGCTTGTCCAACTTCGCCCTGGTTAACCACGCCTGCAGTGCTGTCTCAGATACCCGACGCTTCCAACACATCCGGCTCCAAACCAGGAGCAGGGAACACCTAGTCGACGACCTGAACCGCTGGCGCCGCATCCTACGTCGCGGTTCAAGACATAGCTATGTCCATCGTCTCACCATCAGCTGTCACTGTGACTATAAGGAATATAGTCGGTGGACGGGTTTTCCTGTCTGGGCTGAAGTTGATCACTACTATTGCACGAGCTCCCATCACTATGCAAGCAGTGGGAATAAATTCTTTTATTTGTCTTCTCGCCCGTTGGCGTTGTCCGCGGCTGAACTTGATGAGGAAGACGAGATGTGGATGCCCGTAGCGGAGTTTATTAGTCTACTCCCGGTCTTGAAGGACCTGGTATGGGCTAAGAACTCATTTCCTCGCTGTGTGTTCAATGCTTTGCAAAGCAGGCCTCAGAAGTGTAGACTGCATATCCTATGTCTTTCCCTTATATCACTGGCGCGCAGGGGCGGGGAGGTAAACGAATACTTCCGTCGACTTGTTGCTTCGCCCAACTTATATACGCTAGGGATGCACTGGCCGTGGGAAGAGGTGCAGGGCGTTCCTGACTCCCAGGCTGCACTGCAGTTTGTTGGAATGGTTTCATCGCATGTCAGAGAGGTATATGTGATAGGCTCTACAGAGTTAGGTCAACATCCCAGGCATCCATTGCCGTGGACAGGCACTTTCCCTGGCCTCCCTCGGGATACGCCTCCGAGAAAACTCCATGGACTGGGTGCCCCCAAGGGACCGGGCCATGTGCTGTCAAGAAATTTTTTTCAGGCCTGGAGCAGCCATATCCTTTTCTCTGGCCTGCGTACCCTATCAATTCCATCTGGCATGACCCCAGATGCGGTTGAGTGGTTAGCCTTGAATGGGCGTATGTTTGCCTCGCTTGATACTCTGATCATTTGTCTCTGCGAACCAAAATTTCCAATCCCTGCCCTAGAACGACAGCAGAGGGATGAGGCTGGTGCTACCTTTCTAAGAAGCTTGCCTCCGCTTAAAAGCCTGAAGCTAAATGGTATCTACGGCCCCCGGATATTCAGTGCCATCTTACAGTGTCACGGCCAAACGCTACAGCAGCTTCTCTTCCCGCATGTTAGGTCGGACGTGTATCCGTTCCCTGTTACTCTCGAGATGACCGACGATATACGCATTCACTGTCCTGAGCTACGGAAGCTCCAGCTCTCCGTCCCCCGTTCCCAGGGTGATCAGTATGAAGTCAGCCAGTACCGTGCTCTGAGCAGACTGGCGAAGCTGGAAGATTTACACATCTACTTTGTCTGCTCGGACAGTAAACGCAGTCCGCGCTTCACGGCAGAAGTCTCCTCGGTATATCTTATGGACGATGCATACATCCGTCGAAGGCTGGTAGACACCGCTATCGACGCACCCCTGGCCCGCAGCATATTCAACATCATCTCCAAAACTGCTGATGGGGACGGAACCTTTACATTCAAAGATCTAACTCTGCAAATATCGGTTGGAAAAGGTGGAGAATCGTCGTTCCGAGTACCTACGTTTCCCTGCAACGATCTAGGTCCTAGATCGTATAGGTGTGCTGTCCCTGAGGGACAAAGTGAGGCAATCGTTGATACCATTGAGATGGTGTATCATGATGAGTACTGGGATAACGTTTTGTTTCCTGAGAACATGTGGGAGTTGGTCAAGAGCATTTGGCCGGAAGCGCGAGAAGATACTTGGTTGGCGGACTGCCACAGTCTGCCGCTTTATGTTGATATCTAGATGGCTGCTTATCAGAGCGTACTTCTTGTTGTTTTGTAGTATATTTATTAGAATTGGCTGCTAGAGTTGGTAGTTAAATAGTTGTTTAAATAAATAATGGACTGACCGAACTCTGCAAAAGATAACAAGGTACTTACCAGATCGTATATTCCATAGCAAAACACACCTGCGAATGCTGGAGGCGAAAGCTCATGCATGGTTTGATGTCTTTCAACAGGACGCTGGGCGTCAGCTGGAGATGTAGTCCTTTGCTCCCTCGCTTTGCCGTCACTGTCCGTCATCAGCGTCACTCAACACATCAGCTTTTCTACCATACCACAGCTGAGACACAGATACAGCCCCTGGAAGCCGAAGAAAGGATATACCACCCCCAGTCAGACGTGGAGGAACTGGAGGGATACAGGCCTAGCGGATACCATCCAATTCTCATCGGGGACACTCTCTGTGGTTCCCGCTACAAGATTGTCCACAAGCTAGGATATGGCGGCTATTCAACCATCTGGCTTGCTTACGACAAGCACCACCAACGCTATGTCTCGCTGAAGATCCTCATTGCAGCAGCCTCACAGTACAGTGGTAATAATGAGAGTGGCATTCTCCGTCTATTGACAAAAGGTGACCCGGAGCATCCCGGACAGCGGTTTATACCAGCCTTGCTTGACCAGTTCTCCTTTGACGGCCCCAATGGACACCATCAGTGCCTCGTTGGAGAGCCAGCAGGTTGTAGCATAGCCAGCTCAAAGTAGAACAGTACAAAATTCATGTTTCCCCGAGACGCTGCGAGGTCTATTGCGGCTCAGCTCATCATGGGCTTGGACTATTTGCATACCAACGATATATGCCATGGAGGTATGTCTGATACTGATACCCCTGATTTGGTTCTGTTCAAATTATCTAACTATTGAACCTACAGATCTTCATTTGGGCAACTTTCTTCTTCGCGTGCCTGGCTTTAATAACTTGAGCACAGCTGAGTTGTACGAACGCCATGGTAAACCGTACGAGGTCCCTACATATCGTCTTGATGGGAAACCTAGCGCCCCCACGCACCATCGCATGTCGTTTATCCCATGGTACAGAACATGCCTGCCAATGAGATGAAAGATCCCGAGATCCTCATATCAGACTACGGAACGTCCTTCATTATGTCAAAAACATCGTCTCCAACTCTTCATACTCTAGCTCTGTGCGCTCCTCCGGAAGAATTCTTCCATGACCACATCATCGGCACTGCAGCAGATGTATGGACTTTAGCCGTGGTTCTGTATGATGCCATGGGCGAACGGCCACTCTTTGAAACCTTTGCATGGGACCCAGACGACATCATTGGTGAGATGGTCAACACCTTGGGCCATCAGCATATGCCGGCACGATGGTGGAAGTCCTGGAAGAACCGCTCTGAGTTCTTCAACGAGGATGGTTCTTGGATCAGCAACTTCCAGCGCATCAATACGCCTGAGTTCTGTCGCCTTCATCGGCGGATGTGGGATATGGGACGGGGTGAGACGCCAGAGAGCTGTCAATGGGATGTTGCTGGGGGTGAGCTCAGAGCATTGGAGGCCATGCTGAGGTCTATGATGACTTTTGAGCCAGCTTAAAGGCCGACGGCGAGGCAGCTTATGGCGTCTGAGTACATGGTCAAACGGGCCATGCCGGCGTGGCAGAGGCAGATGCGAAGGAGGCACTAGATAATAATTTATAGTTAATGGTCGGTACGAACCTAGATAGAGTGTGAGTTCGCACGAGAAAAGAGCCTCAACCGCTTACTTTTTGCCAAGAAATATTAGATTTAATTACCTTAGCCGTGGCGCCAACCTTGCAAGTTCCAGAAATTCCGAAACTACAAACAACGAACCACAACGAGAGAAAGATCATATACAGAGAGTCCCGGGTGCTACGGAGTGTATGTATATTAATACAAAGAGACCAAACTGTACTCAGGGCGCTGTACTTTCTGGAGGCTCGCTTTTCCTTACCTAACGAACTACTTCCACACCGCCGTCAAATGGCGCGCGAATGGCGCGTCACGACCACAGCTGACCCCCCAAGAGGTGCATTGTATGTTCATATGTTCATTCCCCCCTGCTTGTGTGGTGCATATGGGGCCAGATTCTTACCCAATGGGACTTCCGTTCAGGCCGGAAGGCTGAGGAGTGTGAGATGGACAGACTGGCTGACAGACCAACCGCATTTTCCCCATGTCGTGAGCCCATGCGCCAGATTTATATAATCGACTACCCACCCCACGACGCTTTCTTGAACGAAGATACCCTTCGGCTATGCCTTGCTCTGTCGCAGTGGAATCATCTCGCAAACGACGGGAGCGCGAGGAAGAAGACCTTGATCGGGATCACTCATCGAAGAGACGGAAAGGGGCCGACCCGGTCACATCAACAGCATATTGGGATAATCTATCGAAGGTCTGGTTAACCAAGGACGCTCTTGAGGAGCTAGATAGACGAAACAAGGCTTCTGGCAACGTAAAAAACCTTCAATACTTCCATCACCACCGACACCGACACCGCAGTCGCCGGCCGCTCACCCGACAGTTACAGGCGAGACTTAAATGTCGTGGCCAGACGCTTGTTCCTGACCCCCTGGTAAACTGCAAGCCCGAGATTCAGAGGGAGATTAAAAGACTCTCCAGAAAAGGCGGGCCTGACCTGTCTGATCTTCGGAATGTATGTGACTCTTATGAAATACTAGCACTCTTTGGTATCATATCCACCACGCGGGTGCATTTAATACTGATATCTATGGCTCCTCAGTTCCCGAACCCTGGTATCCCTTATTATCAATCAATGGGTGCAAATAATTCTCGCCGTCAGAAGCGCCGTGCGGGAGATCCCCCGGATGATAGCAATACCAGCAGTAACAAGATTACAAGAACGACGAGTAGCACTGCCTATAACCGGAACTTCGAGCAGAAGTTGATTGATTATGGCGTTTATCCTCCCGAATACAGGGAACCTGGTTGTCCGAGACCAGCAAAACCTGATAACTGGCGGGAGCTCAATGAACGACTAGTGCAACCCCGGGCTTCCCTCTCCCCATCAAAGTTCTCAGAACAGGAATTTGAAGAGTTTAGAGAGGCGGATATCAACGCCGCTAAGGAGAAGACGATTGTGCGCTCGGCCTTTCCGAGGATTGAAGGCCGCATTGATGATAGTAGGAGTGTAGGCGGAGACTATCTCTTTGGGAATCTTGCTCCTCTAACAGATGGTACTTTGGCCAAAGCAAAGCCGGACCATTTCTTTGGTGCTCACCCTAAGAAACTCGACGAGGAAATCCGCGAGGAGCTTAATGATTATATCATACCCTCGACGCAAACTTCCCTCCCAATGCTTCCAAATTTCTTCCTGGAGACTAAAGGTCCTGATGGATCGTCTGCTGTAGTCACGAAACAGGCCTGTTACCACGGTGCGTTGGGGGCTCGAGGAATGCACAGGCTGCAGTCATACAGACAGGATAAGCCGGTCTATGATAATAAGGCCTATACAATAACATCAACCTACCAGTCTAGCCAACTTAAGCTCTATACGACGCATCTCACCGGCCCCAGAGAAGATGACGGTCCTCTTGAGTACATTATGACTCCGCTAAGGTCTTTTGCGATGACAGATAACCCTGAAACGTTTCGGCAGGGAGCAACTGTATATCGGAATGCACGAGACTGGGCAAAGGAGCAACGAGACGATATGATCAAGTGTGCAAACGAGAGATACAGACAGGCTCGTTCTGAGCTTCCGTCTGCATCTGAACGAGAGGAAACTGCAGAGGCAACTGCCATCCCTGAGAACGCCGGTACGCCGGTCACGTCTGATGAGGCTGATGCTGCGTGGAGCTTTACACGGCCAAACGACAATGATAACATCGAGGATCTTCAGGGTTCAAATATACAAAGACCTAACTAGAGATAGAGTAAAAGCAGCAAAGAACCAGATCCAATGGTTCTGGGAAGTTTCTCCCCAGTGGCCTTTGGCCCTTGGTACATGGATAGCTGTAACTATTATTAAGTATGGAGTAGCTGGCTATAGCTTTGTATACTTTGATTCTGTTCCTCTTCTAACAATCACCTTTTGCTGTGCTACATAAAGAGCTTTTAGTCGGGTTTACCCCCTGTCAGCCACTGAGCTAGGCTGCCTCAGCTTCTATTTTACGGAAGACGGCAGACGTAGACGGCAGACTATTACCTAGACGCTGTACTAGATGCTTCCTTCCAGCACGCGATTTTTACTGGGTAGATGGAGATATCGTCTCTTATCACCTCCTTCGTTAGCTCGAGCAGGCTGTTTACACCAGACTAAGCTATTATCATCCTCATTTGAGAGAAGATTTCATGCCTCCAGCAATGGACTCAGGATCGAAGAAAAGCCTGCTGCCTCCTACAATCCTAAATATGAATACATCGAAGAGTGTGAAGAGCTGGAGAGGTACTGCCCCGGTGGCTATCACCCAGTGAAACTCGGCGACCAGCTTTGCAATGGACGTTACAGTGTTGCTCAAATGCTGGGACACGGCGGCTCTTCGACGGTATGGCTGGCTTCAGACAAGATACAGCAAACGCTAGTTGCCGTTAAGATAAAAACAGCCGATTCAGATGATCAAGAGGAAGATATCACGGCTCAGCTTCATGATATGCCCTCGATCAGACGGCTGGAGGACGTGTTTGTTGAACAGGGTCCGAATGGAGCTCATCGATGCCTGGCCATGGAGGCTGGATTATGTAGCCTGAGACAGGCGAGATATATGGCTGCCCATGAACTGTTGCATCTTCCCACAGCTCGAGCTATCATTGCAGACCTAGTTTGACTGTTCAGTCCCTACATGATCGAGGGATTGTCCACGGTGGTTAGTACTACCGCTTAGCTATGTTATATCTGCCACTGACTTACTGTACATAGATATCCACGCTGGTAATATTCTACTTCGACTTCCGGAAGATACCAGGCGGATAACCGACACTGCAACGATAAACCAGCGGTTTGGAAGTTCATTTAGGGAACCCATTGTCAGAAGAGACCGTCTGCCACTGGAAGTGGGTGTCCCAACTCATGTAGTTGGTTTAGCAAGTCTCTTTGTTCGATCGGATGAGATCACCGACTCGCATCTGCCCATCTTGCTATCAGACTTTACTTCCAGTTACTGTCCAAGCAAGACGAGACAGATACTTTCCCGTACTCTCCCTCACATTGTCCCGCCAGAGGCTTTCTTCATCGACAAACACAACGAGAAAGAAACACTGTCCTTCCCCAGCGAGATCTGGACTCTAGCATGTACCGTATTCGACATTTTCGGCAGCGGAGGCCCCTTTAGTGTCATGGGAGGTGGCATTCTCCAAGACCAGGCCTGTGCTCTAGGTAAGTTTCCTGAGCCCTGGTGGTCTCAATGGGAGGAGAGGGCAGAGTTCTTCATCGAAGATGGTACTAGTATCGAGTTCCCAAATTCTCGGGACAGAATAGAGGACCGGTATGACTGGTTCGTCACTGCTACTCGACGAAGATATGAGATGGCCTATCCGGAAGAGGACGAGAAGAAGGCCTTTCTCGAGATGATTAGGCCGATGCTTCGATATGTCCCCAGCGAGAGGGCGAGTATTCAGGATGTCATTGATTCTGAGTGGATGCAGGAATGGGCACTCCCTTGCCGGCGTCCGAAGTAGTTGGATACCTTAGTACTTCAACTCACCACCTATCCTACCTTGTAAAATAGATGTCTGATGACACCATCTCCTATCATAGTTCCCAACGACATCCCTTTAACCGTATCTAGTATATCGGTACTTATATATATCAGGTCTCCAGGTTGTGGCAGTGCACGCTAAATCCTTCCCACGCGGCCATTGACTTTGGCCCGGTTCCGCACCTCAGAGGTAAAAGAAACAAAAAGGCGAAGGGAACCCGAGGATTCCACCTACTGTAACCAGGGGGTGGATCATGGCTGGGCATCCATGTCGGTTAACCCATAACGAGGCCTCATAATGTGCCTGGGGGTTGGTTCGTCTTCAGCTGAACTGAACTGTGTTGGCCCGGAGACTCGATGGACATCTCATCTCTCAGCATCGCCTTAACTAATCCCTTCCTAGTGACCAGCATCGTCTTTATCAGCATCACTGTGACCGTCACAGTCTCGTCTTACTTGCATCGTCATCGTCTCAAGGCCTATCAAATCGCAGTTAGTCACCTCTTGCCCTGCAGCGAGAAAGGGGAAAAGGGCCGAATCAACGACGGCGCCAACGACGACGCACAACTGACTGACTGACTGACTGACTGCCAGCGTGTCTATCTCCCTAGCCTTGCTCGTATCTAAACAGCTAAAGTAAAAGTAATCAACCCATCCCCCTGTCTCTGTTTCTTTTTTGCTTGTGAGTTTCCTTTTTGTGGCTTGACAGCAAGAAAAACGAACTTTTTCTATGTTTCTTGCTTGGCGGCGAAGTTCGACTTTTGACCTGACTTAGACTGAGAGCGACTTTGGGCGGCTTCACCAGCGTCTGCGTCTTCAACACCAGCAACACCTCCTCCGCCTCCCATCATCGCCATCTTGACGCGGACGACGGCAGAGGCGAAGACAGAGAGAGACGACGAGGTGACGCTGACCGGCTGGTGAGTCTCTGTTTGCCCTGTTTCTTCGTCTCGTTCTCTGGCTCTGGCTTGCTAAGGTCAAGACCGCACAGTAAAACGTCAGGTCAACTCCGTCATCGACTGTTTTCCGCCTCGCCCTCGACTTCATCACCACCCACGGCTCGTCTGCTCTCTGCTGTCTGCGTGTGTATCAAGGATCCTGGCCTTGCGGAGAGGCATGAGAGTCGCTTGACTTGGTTATCGTGTCTGACTGCATCTGCGGCGTCGACGTGCCAGCCGTGCACTCCCCCGTCGAGAGACAGCCTGCTCACTCCAGAAGCGCGCCCTCGCTCGCCCGCTACACATATGTTAGCCTTCACCGGCGGAGAAGAGAAGGCCGAAGGAAACTGGAGAGTCGACTATCTGGTCATTGAGCAGCCTCCCTCGCCTCCAGCCTTCACGCAGAGGTCGAGTTTCCCCCAAACCATGCCGGCTCTCGCCTCGCCGGACACATCGAACAGCCAGCATCACGAGCAGCAGCACCACCATCACCATCATCAACATACCCCAGGAACCAAACAGACGAACGCCTCATCCTCCCTGTTTGCTCACTCTACGTCGAAACAACCTCACGAGAAAGCTGCTGCTGCTACTGCGGCCAACGCCTTTCTGTGGAACCCAGATTACAGCAACGGAGACACTGGAGATGGAGTCGCTGCATCTGCGAATTTCTTTGTTGAGAGTCGCTCCAGGGGCCCAAATCCGAAGACTAGAGCCACAGTTTCCATCTCTCCTTCGCGAGAGTGCACAGAGAGCGTCGACTCCTCGTCGCTGAGGAACGGGCGTGCCGTCTCCTCTCACAACTCCATGGCAGACATCACAACAACACCCGCTACCACCAACGGTGCGTCCGCCCATCACGAAGCATTTGCCGACGAACACGAACGCTGGGTGAACGGAAAACGGCCAGGCTCAGGCTCAGCACGGAACTATCAATGGTGCAGCACTGCCATACAGACCGAGCTCGAAACCGGGCTCGACGAACTACCCAGCCTCGCAGCTTCACAGCTACACAGGATACCCGTCTACCGCTGAGCTGACGCCTCCAAGCTCCTCGTCTCAACACGATGATGTAGGGCCTGCTCCAACAAGACCACCACCACCTATTCCAACCGCTGCTGCTGCTGCTTCAACCTCAATACCGACCACACCTACACCCAGACCTACTACTCTTGATACCACCAACCTCGCTCCAGAGTCACAGCCCATCTCTTACAGACACTCCTCTCCACCACCACAAGTATCTACAACCGCACACTCAGAAATACCTACTTCTCCCTCCAGCCCGCAGAGCGGACGTCTTAGCCACCGACATACCCTCCAGGTTCCACGCCACTCCTCGTCACGAGCAAGCCGTGACGTCTCGACTCCCATCGCCATTGACGACTCCCTCTTGCCCATAGACCGTGTCTCTTCTCCTACCTCCGTCCTGCGTCGTGGCTCGTTCACCATCCCTCGTCTTAGCCAGCGTTCAAACCAGTCAGAAGCTCACCTGGATGAGGCCCTACATGACGAAGGGTGCCGCCAGATGGACAGAAGCGTTTAAGCAACGCCGAGCCAGCAAACGAAAACGACGAGAGGAGGAAGACGAAGACCGCGTCATCGTTGGGACAAAGGTCGATCAGCATCATGTCAACTGGGTGACTGCGTATAACATGCTGACAGGCATCCGCTTCACGTTTCAGAACCAACGCCAAGCTTGACCGAAGACCTCACAGATGCTGACTTTGATGCCAA